GCCGGCGGCGGCGGCGGCGGCGGCGAGCGGCTGTTCGTCGTCCACGGCCTGCCGGAGGACTACGTCAAGGCGCTGCGCGCGTCCCTGGACATCGACCCGGCATTCATCGAGGCGCACGCCGGCCGCAGGCGCTACCGCCCGCTGCGGTGGCGGCGGGACGCCGCGTTCGCGCACTACGAGTACCCGGAGCTTGTGCGCGGGTACGGCGCCGCGGCGCTGACGCGGTTCCGGGGCCTGTCGGCGGCGCGGCTGGCGGCGGTCGACTTCCTCGACGACCCCATCATCCGCTCGGTGTCGGAGGACGGGGACACGGCCGCGGTGTTCTGCCATGCGTCGCTGTGGATCACCGCCCGCGCGGACGTGCTCTTCGTAGACCGGCCGCTGTGGCGAGACCCGGCGTCGCCGCTGCGCAAGGCGCGGCGGAGGGTGTCTGTCACGAAGCCGTACCAGCTGCGCCCGGGGAGCAGCGGCCAGGAGAAGCGCAACTCGTGGGACGTCAAGCTCGCCGAGGGCGACGAGATTGGCAGCCTGGAGGACGTCCTGCAGGAGACGCTGAAGGACGCGGCTGGCGTCGGGGACAGGCTGATGGACATACTGTCGGAGCTGGCGCACGACCACTGGCTGGAGCTGTTCGAGGTGCTTGCGCCGCATCAGTTGCCGGCGGTCCATGACGGCGGATCACTCTACTGGCATGTCACGCAGAGCCTGGAGCAGAACTTCGATATGGCCAAGTATCTCGCTCGTCAGGGCCAGCAGGTCCGGATCGGCTGTCCCGACTGGGAGGCGCTGATCCAGCGAACGCAGCGCCGAGTCGAGCTGCTGTCAACCCTTGGCTCAAGGCCTAGCATCTCGAAGAAGTCCACCAAGCTCTCTGGGCCAAAAATGTTCGCCCGTGAATCCACAGCCGGAGCGTCGGGGAAAGGCCCCAAGAAGCCAGTCCAAGGGGACGAAAATCAGCGCAGCTTGGACAGGGTCAGCTATCTAGGCGGCATCCTGCTGCCCTTCTCGATCGTGTCCGGCATCCTCTCGATGAACGAGGACTTTGAGCCGGGCGGCGGCCTGTTCTGGGTCTTCTGGGCCGTCTCCGTGCCCATTGCCGCGCTGACGATGCTCGTCATCTACGCAGACATCATCCGCAAGGCGGAGGTCTGGGTCGAGGTCGCGGCCGACGGCGTCGCGCACGTGCTGGCTGCGGCGCCGATGTCTGCTGCGGTCCCGATCGAGATCGGCGAGGACAAGCCTCCGCGCCCGAGCCAGCAGAGCGGCCGCGTGGGGGAGGGTGATGTCCAGACGAGGATCACGCCGCATGCGGTCACGTATAGTGCTGGTGATGAGGTGATTATTGATATACAGGCGGAGAGTCACGAGCAGGCTGTGGACGAGGTCGACGACGGCCTGGATGAGGCTCCTGAAGAGCCCACGATGATCGTGGAGACGCCATCTGGGGGCGGCAAGCCAAGGGCGTGGCGGAAGGAACAGCTGGGTTGGTATGGAGCATGCAAGGCGATCCTTGGGTTTAGAAAACCCAGGGATGCTGCTGATATCCCGCTTGGGACACCTGCTGGCGGCAGACGGAGCAGGCGGCAGACCAGAACTTACTGAGGTGCAACACGTAGATAAATGTCTGCCACCTAAATTAGATATACCAAAGTGCTCATATCAGGCCAACTCAAGCCATGGCTCAATGTAATTCAGACCTGGGGCTACTTTAGACGAAGTTGGATTGCTGAGTCACGGCATACGGTTGTGCAATCCAATCGTTGCACCGAGTCATGTAAGCTGGGACTACTTGCTTTGTACTACAGATGAAACCTTCGTCGTGGTGTTCCTCCTCGATTGCGTGGCATATTGGGCGTACAAGTGGTGTTCCCATTGTTCGAATAGATCAAACCGTGTCTGGAATTCTCAAAGAGGCGTGGACAGTCAAATGGGAAGCAAGGACATCCCGGGAAATATCTCAGACCGTGAGGCATCATTGAATGGATGATGCCTTTCTTTAATGATGAAAGAATGCTTAACTTTTCTTGCTCTTAATCCCTGAGTAAAATGATACTATGCAGTAGATATATTTGCCAAGAACTCTTGTCTTGCATGCCCCGCCCATCATGTTGGTCAGCCTCATTCATTGATGGATACCTAGCTAGGCATAGGGTTTCAGGTACACTATGGCAACAACTACAACTCCAGCAGGAGATAAAACGTTTATTACCAGCTATTCCAAAGGTAATAACCGCTAAAGATAAATCTCGATCGAGCAAGATATATCCTACAAGAAGGGAAAGCCGAGCAAAAAAACGGGTATAGAGTAGAAAAGTGGTTACCGTAATAATCTCTGAAAGAACAGCGGCAAAAAAAAGAAACTCAACGCCACAGCTGTTCATAACAATGCCAGCTGCCGTGCCTACGTGGACATGGGTAGATAAAGAACACATGGACCTATAGGAACTGCAAGCCGGTTCTTCTCTTGAGTGAACGACTGAGGCCCCAAATAGAGCATCGTGGTAGCCTAGAGGCTGGGTAACGGGTGGGTGGGCACTGCTCGACCCAGCTCATCATCCATCATCCATCATCCATCAGGCTTCTACTGTACATGTAGGCAAGGCAGTTCTCTTATCTTATCGGGCAGCTTTCTGTGGGCGATTACATGTACGCACAAAAGCTGGAGGACGGGCGCACTCTACTGCGTAGACTCTCAATGCGGGCAAAAGATGAGGTCAATATCTTGCAGGGGTTGACACAAGGCTCTGACACCGCCCCGCCGAGCTAGAAGAGAGTACCTCTAGGTACAAGCAACGCCAGCGGGGTACCTCTTTGTCTCGTCAGGTTGGCGGGGGAATCGCCTCACTCAGCGACAGCTAGCAGGAGCAATTACCAGCAACAGAACGGCCATCAGCGCGGAAATTTCGTCTGAAGGCTAAATTGTGGGATTGGGCATCATTGGAGCTTTCTAACAGCTTCCTGAAAATTCAGAGATCCGTGCTTTTTTGTGGGTGCTGGAAGCCAAGCGAGCAAAAAGGCGGCTGCGGGTTGCCACCAGAAACCGCTGGTATTCTGTGGAAAACGCAGGAACACACTGGGTCACTCGGTGTACCTCCTCAGAAGCTTCGAGAATCGCAGTCCCCAACCCCACCAGCCCACCAGCCCGCCGCCTGTTTGGCTTTAAAATAATCCCCAAGCTGCAGTCTCTGCCTTCTCTGCTCTCTTTTCTTCCCTCATCCTCATCAACAATATCACCGAATAAATCCTCCTTTTCTTTTTCTCAAATCGCCTAAGAGATACCCCGAAGTCGTCAAGACTTTCTCTTGCTTGAGGCTTTCGTTTTGAGATACCATCAAATCCGCATTTTCCACACGAACTCTCATCTTCTACTACCCCGCACATCCACATCCCACAACCACAACCACAACCACACACAATGGCGCCCGCTGTCGGTATCGATCTGGGCACGACCTACTCCTGTGTCGGTGTCTTCCGTGATGACAGAATCGAGATCATTGCAAATGGTGAGTTCTAGATACCCGAAACCCATTTTTTTTATCAGTTTGCAGTCATACTAACAGTTCTCCAGACCAGGGTAACCGCACAACCCCCTCGTTCGTGGCCTTCACGGACACCGAGCGTCTCATTGGAGATGCCGCCAAGAACCAGGTCGCCATGAACCCTCAGAACACCGTCTTCGACGCCAAGCGATTGATCGGCCGCAAGTTCTCTGACTCTGAGGTGCAAGCGGATATGAAGCACTTCCCCTTCAAGGTCATCGAGCGTGGCGGCAAGCCCGTCATCGAGGTCGAGTTCAAGGGCGAGAACAAGCAGTTCACTCCCGAGGAGATTTCCTCCATGGTCCTGACCAAGATGAGAGAGACTGCTGAGGCCTACCTGGGTGGTACTGTCAATAACGCTGTCGTTACTGTCCCCGCCTACTTCAACGACTCTCAGCGTCAGGCTACCAAGGATGCTGGTCTCATCGCCGGCCTGAACGTCCTCCGTATCATCAACGAGCCCACTGCTGCGGCCATTGCCTACGGTCTCGACAAGAAGGTCGAGGGTGAGCGCAACGTCCTCATCTTCGATCTTGGTGGTGGTACTTTCGATGTTTCTCTCCTGACTATCGAGGAGGGTATCTTCGAGGTCAAGTCTACCGCCGGAGACACTCACTTGGGTGGTGAGGACTTCGACAATCGTCTTGTTAACCATTTCGTAAACGAATTCAAGAGAAAGCATAAGAAAGATCTTTCTAGCAATGCTCGTGCTCTGCGTCGTCTTCGCACTGCTTGCGAGCGTGCCAAGCGTACTCTGTCTTCGTCTGCCCAGACCTCCATCGAGATCGACTCTCTCTTCGAGGGTATTGACTTCTACACCTCCATCACCCGTGCTCGTTTCGAGGAGCTCTGCCAGGATCTCTTCCGATCCACTCTGCAGCCCGTCGACCGCGTCCTCACCGATGCTAAGATCGACAAGTCTCAGGTCCACGAGATCGTTCTCGTCGGTGGCTCTACCCGTATCCCCCGCATCCAGAAGCTCATTACCGACTACTTCAACGGCAAGGAGCCCAACAAGTCCATCAACCCCGATGAGGCTGTTGCCTACGGTGCTGCTGTCCAGGCTGCTATCCTGTCTGGCGACACCAGCTCCAAGTCCACCAACGAGATCCTGCTGCTCGATGTGGCTCCTCTCTCCATCGGTATCGAGACTGCTGGCGGTATGATGACCAAGCTCATCCCCCGCAACACCACCATTCCTACTAAGAAGTCCGAGGTGTTCTCCACCTTCTCCGACAACCAGCCTGGTGTGCTTATCCAGGTCTACGAGGGTGAGCGTCAACGCACCAAGGACAACAACCTGCTCGGCAAGTTCGAGCTGACTGGCATCCCGCCTGCTCCCCGTGGTGTCCCCCAGATTGAGGTCACCTTCGATGTTGATGCCAACGGTATCATCAACGTCAGCGCCCTCGAGAAGGGTACTGGCAAGACCAACCAGATCGTCATCACCAATGACAAGGGCCGTCTTTCCAAGGAGGACATTGAGCGCATGCTTGCTGAGGCCGAGAAGTTCAAGGAGGAGGATGAGGCTGAGGGCCGCCGTGTTGCTGCCAAGAACGGCCTTGAGTCATATGCCTACTCTCTTCGCAACACTCTCAGCGACTCCAAGGTCGATGAGAAGCTCGATGCCTCCGACAAGGAGACTCTCAAGACTGAGATCGACAAGATTGTTGCCTGGCTCGATGAGAACCAGCAGGCTACTCGTGAGGAGTACGAGGAGCACCAGAAGGAGCTTGAGGGTGTTGCCAACCCCATCATGATGAAGTTCTACGGTGCTGGTGGCGCTGGCGGTATGCCCGGTGGCATGCCCGGCGGTGCTCCTGGTGGCTTCCCTGGCGCGGGTGGCCCCGGTGGTGCTGCTCCTCACGATGACGGCCCCACCGTTGAGGAGGTCGACTAAAGAGTCAAAGCATCATCATAATGTTGTTGTTCTTTCGCACTCTTAGATTGATCCTGCATAAATATGAGATTGCAGTGCGCGCTCAGTAATATGCAGTTGGCAGTTCAGGAAGGATTCACAGGCACGGTTAGACTTTGCTTTTTCATGACTGATGATCAGGGGAAAAGTTCAGGTGGCTATACAAGTGCATGGATGTACTTTAATTGATTCCCAGATTCATGAATATGAAGAAATTCAAAAACTCCTAGGTCCCAACAACCTTGTATGTGAAATGAACTTGACATGTCTTTTTGTGAGACTATGTAATCCCCAGTAATTCCTTGTCCAAAATACTGTAAAAGCCATGCTGTATTGTGAGTGTCGCTATAAAACTTATGAGTCTCCCATCACCAATCTCATTTACAGTCCCTGTCTAATCCTCCGAAGTCTTTCCATCTCCGCCTGCTGCCACTCAGCATCGCTGACGTCCGGCTGCTCGTACGTCTCATTGAACACCGTCCCCGGCTCGACCTTGCGCTCCCGCGGCTCCCAGATGTCCTCGCTGCTGGGCTTCCCCGGCCCGTACTTGGCGTGCTCCTTCTTGCGGTAGTGCTCGCGGATGAGGTCCTCCTTCATCGGGCCCGAGTAGCCCTTGCTGCGCATGCAGAACCAGAAGTCGTCCCACAGGTCGCTGCACGTCCGCACCGAGCCGTACCGGTAGATGGCGTTCCACTGGCCGCCGGGGGACTGGCAGTGGAAGGCGAGGTCGAATGCTTGCCGGCAGTCCATTGTGGTGGGGAGGAGCGACTCGGCTATGGATTCGGTGGGTGTCTCGGTGGCGGAAGGACTTGATGTTGGAGGCAATGCGTCTGTGTAGGTTGCTCGGGAGGAGACATCGTTTGTAGGCGTAGTGTTTGAGGAGGGAGTGGACGCTGAAGAGCGAGAAAACCAAGACGACCACGATGATGGCTTTGGTGACGGCTCTGGTGGTGCCGTGGGCTGCTGTGAGGGCGCCGGCGGTGACCGGGCGGGAGCTGGCTGTGCGGGCTTGCTGCTGCCTCCCATCTCAGCCTGGATCAGAGCTAGGAACTTCGTGATCTCGGGATCGGCATCTGGCTCGGCTTGCGGGGTGGAGGTGGGTGCTCGCGGCGGTGGTTGAGCAGGCGCTTGCGATGAAGGCTTTGCCGGAGCCTCGTTGGCCCATAACCAACCCATCTTGAGCCTTGATCGAGTGCTGTCTGATGCCACTAGCAAAGTCTGTTCGTCTGCAATGGTACTACCCGTCAATATTTACAAAGATCTGGGTTATCTGACCATTGGTGAGGGGTAGCGATGGGGGTTAGAAGAAGCATCTGTGATCTACATGCCATGGCAGTCTGCCGGGCCGGCCAATCAGTGCAGGCGGAGATTTGCAGTCTTTGGAGCTCTAGCCGGTCCCACCCCAGCACGATAGTGACCTCATAGCCCTCAGTAGCTATGAGGGAGGCTAAGGAACCTGGTTTAAAGCGTCAACAACGCGACAAAACGGGCTGCGATCTCTAGACTCCTCTACTTGATCTGAAGCTGTTGTAGCAAGTCGACTTCAAGGCGACCCTACAGACTCCGACTTCAAGGAATTGTGCCCTGGGTTTCCTATACTTGCGCCGAGCAGCTCAGCCCTTGGCAGCGCATAGGGTGATTTCCACCACCACCTGCCATCCACTCTTTCTCTTGACCATGAGGCAATGATTCCAAGACGCATTGCATTCAGCCGCATCGCGCGGCCGGGTCTGGCAGCCCAGGTCATTCACCGGCCACAAGCTCGACTGCCGCCGCCGCGATGGGCAACCAAAGCATGGGAGAGTACAACGACTGGCGACCAGAAGTCGGGACACATCTATGCCGGCCCGAACGAGTCAATCATCTTCTTTGACAGTAAGTGGTTTCGTAGAATGCGCCTACTCGGTGCGGTGTACTAATCTCATCGCCCAGACTTGTTCCCATTGAAGCTAAGCACCCTCATCTGGAGACCATGGCAGACCGATCGGGACCTGTCAACGCTGCTCAAGAAGTTTGACGAGTCATCTTTGGGTATAATGGACCCAATCAACATGGTCAAGAGAGCCATTCCATCGAGCCTGCCAATAAAGGTCACAGACATCATTCCAAGACTCAAGGATGGCGGTGCCTTCGTCCGGTTTACCTACTCGCCCGAAACCTCACCAGCCGAGGTTGAAGAAGCTCTGAGGAAGATCTTGGACGAGAAGCCGATACGCCCGTGGTTCAACCCTTTCCGCGGCATCAAGGCCGGCCTCGTTCAAGGCGTGCCGTGGTTGGAGGACTTATACAGGTTTCCCAAGAGCCGTCTGAGGGTAGAATTCGTACCTAAAGAGCCCGGCTCGGAGGCTGTCGAACTTCCCCAGGAAACTCTCTATTCACTCTTTCGACGATATGGAAAGATCGCCGAGATCACTCCTCAACCTCCAGACTCGAAAGTGCTGCCAAAATTTGCTTACGTCGATTTCGTACTCGTTCGAGATGCAATTATGGCAAGGAACACAATGCATAACTTCGTCGTCCCAGAGAATGAAGGAGGTGGTAAGCTCGGCACGAAAATCAGAATGTCTTACGAGCAGAAGGTCAAGGCGCATCATATCTGGTCTTGGGTCACCAACCACCCACGGATCGTCATCCCGGTGGTAGCAGCTCTCATCGCTGGTCTCACCGTTATCATCTTTGACCCAATCCGCGAATTCTTTATCAAGGCGCATATCCAACACAAGTTCAGGCTCACAAATAGCAAGCTGTACAAGTGGTTCAAGAGGCAGACTAATGACATATTGTCCTTCAGACGCCAGAAGGGCGAGGAAGCGGGCCTCAAGGCTCTCTTCACCCACCGACGGGACGCCATTGACTCAATCCGAACCTGGCTGCTGGAGACGGCGGATACTTTCATCGTTGTTCAAGGCCCACGGGGCTCGGGCAAGGAGGAGCTCGTGATTGATCAGGCTTTGGGAAACCGTAAAGACGTTCTTGTTATTGACTGCAAGCCAATAACTGAAGCTCGGGGCGAGAGCGGAACCATCAAACACCTGGCGGCAGAGGTCGGATACCGGCCTATCTTCTCATGGGCGAACCAGATGAGCTCATTGATAGACCTGGCGGTTCAGTCTACGACCGGAGTCAAATCAGGCTTCTCAGAGACGCTCGACTCTCAGCTCAGCAAGATCCTGCAGACGACTGCCGCTGCGCTAAAGTCGGTGACCTTGGAGGGCCGGGACAAAAACGACAAGGACTTTAGCGCCTCGGAGGATGCTTTCCTTGAGGCGCACCCCGAGAAGCGAGCGGTTGTGGTCATCCAGAACTTCCTCCACAAGAGTGATGAGAACAACCTCGTCTACGACAAGATAGCAGATTGGGCGGCAGCACTTGTGCAAGCCAACATCGCTCATGTCATTTTTCTCACCAACGACACCTCATATTCCAAGTCTCTGTCAAAATCCTTGCCAGACAGAGTATTCAGGCAAATTGCCCTTGGTGATCTCTCGCCGGACGTTGCTAAGAAGTACGTCCTGAGCCATCTTGAGGAAACTGACTTGGAGAAGGTTAAAGCTCCACAACACGAGGAATCTGAAGGAGGTGACACTGAAGAGAAACGCGAGCAGCAGGAACGTACGGAAAAGGAACATCGCCGCGACATGACTGAACTCGATGAGGTCATCGAAGCCCTAGGTGGAAGGCTGACCGATCTTGAGTTCCTCGCACGTCGCCTAAAGAGTGGCCAGAGCCCCAAGGAGGCCGTGACAGAGATTATCGACCAGAGCGCCTCTGAGATCATCAAAATGTTCCTCCTGGCCGGGAGCGGCAGCTCCAAGGACAAGAAATACTCCACTGAGCAAGTCTGGTTCCTCATCAAGGAGATTGCCAGCAAGGAGAGTCTGCGCTACAATGAGGTGCTTCTCTCCGACACTTTCGCTTCCTCGACTACGTCAGGTGCCGAGAACGGCGAAGCCGCACTCGAGAGTTTGGTAAATGCCGAGCTGATCATCGTGACATCCCACAAGGGGAGGCCGCAAACCATCAGGGCCGGAAAACCTGTGTATCAGTCCGCTTTCAACACACTCCTGCGCGACCCAGTTCTGAAGGCAAGGATGGACATGGCGGTGCTGAAAGAGCTGGCCAAGGTTGAGGCGAAGACTATTGACAAGTGTGAGCAGGAGCTCAGTCTCTTGGGCTCACTGCCTAAGCAGCCGGCGCAGACAGGAGAGAGAGTGAATTATCTCCTGACCAAGCTCCAGGACAGCCAGACAAAGATAGCGGGCTACGAAAAAGACATTGGCGCTTTGAAGAAGGTTCTAAAACATGAGGCATAATAAGGGCATTGGCAGTGGCAGTGGGTGGAGTTTATGGTTCGGGGCACATGGCAAAGGGATGGGGAAAAGGCAGGATGTGACGGGAGCTTATGATACCCTTCCAGGCCTTTTCTCATGTATTCATAGGTATTCAAATAATCTTGACTCTGTCCCATGTAGCAAATGAGTAGTGCTTCCCATACACAATACAAAAATACTGTGGCATTAATCAATACGAGTCCAAACTCTCGTGACATGTACAATGATATCCGACGCGATAAAAAGACGAGAGCCTCCAAGGATAATTTTCCCTTCCCAACACAGCCCTACAACCAACCACAAGGCAGACTTCATAATTCATTAACCCAGCATACTTAGCTCTGCTTGGCCAGGATTCGCGGTGACTTCGCAACCCTGGGCAAAGAATATCCTCGCATGCTGGTCATAATCGTTCTCAATACTGTAGTAATTGCCTGCGTTGTGTCAGTTATCATCCTGTAGTGTATGGTTGTAGCAACTCCTTACCTCTCGGCACAAACCACATGCCTCCATTTTTTATCCTGAACTCTGTTTCGCCCACCGAGACCTTGACACGCCCAGTATACACAAAGAATGTCATGTGCATCTTTCTCGAGTTCTTCGGGCGCTTGATCGAGCCAGGTGGCATGTCGACCACACCAGAGCCGAAGAAGGGCATACTCAGCGTTTTAGCGAAGCGGAATTTCGCATTACGAATATCCCGGGTTTCTATCGCCGAGCCCGCAATGGCAACCTGCTCCTCGACAACCTCAACCTCGTCGTCCATAGCGGGAGGGTTGAACTCGTGATCTGGATTCCATACAATGACCTCGCCAGTCACGACGCCTGGATCCTCCTCCCAAGGCTCTACCTCTTCTTCAGACTCCTCATCCGAGGTTATGCGCTTTGACTTCTTGCCCGGAGCGCGTCCTGCCCGGCCCTTGCGCTTTGTCGGCCTGTCATCCTCCTGCTCCTCTACGCGAACAATTTCCTTGATCTTCGGTAGGAAAATATGCGCTTTGCCATCTTCCAGGATATCTCCTCCATCATGTTCCACGTGCTCGTTCTTCCAGAACGCAAGGGGCTTGTAGGAGGTTCGGCCCGATCGGGTCTGGAAGATGCCCGGGGCGGCACCGGGTGTCTCGCGACGCATAATCATCAAGCCTCTGCTCTTTGGTGGAGGAGGCCCACGAGGTGGCTCAACAAAAGACGCCTCGCCCACGGCGGGTGACTCTCGCTTACGGCCCCGTTTGGCCTTCTGCGCGGTCGTGGCCTTCTTGATGGCTTTCGATGGCTTGGATGACTCTGCTTCAACATCAGAGCCTGCAACTCTCGGTCGTCCTGCCTTTCCCGTTGGTCCTCTCTTCGCTTCTTTGGCGCTCGCAGCATCACTTTCTTCACCTCCGGAGCGGCGTCTTTTAGTTGGCTTCTCGGTCGCATCGTCATCCTGGACTCCCTTGCCCTTTGCTGGTCTGCCGCGCTTCCTTCCAGCTCTGATTGGTTCATCAGACTCGTCTGGCGTAGGTTCTTGTTCCACTGTAGGCTCGGGTTCCTGATCCTCCTCGGGCTCCTCTGGTAGGGCGTTCTTCTTAGGGCGTCCTTTGCGGCCAGCAGCGGGCTTCGGCGCCAGGTCTACCTCCTCCTCTTCCTCCTCCTCCTCTGGCTCGTCCTCTTCTTCAGGTCCTTGGACATCGTTGTCAATATAGTCATCAACGCCGGCATCGATAATGGCCATAGACTCATCATCATTTGCCGGCAAAGACGCATTGTCAGATTCGTCGTCTTCGTCCTCTTGCGATTGATGACCGTTCGTAACACCGTTTGGCTTTTCACCGAATCTCTTTGTGCCGTTAGCAGTCGGCTTGGCCGCGCTAAGTGACTGCATCCCGAAATCTAGCCTTCTCTTCACCGTTTGTGAGGAGCTGGGTCCGCGGGGGTGAACAACTGATCCGCGCGCCGGTGAAGATGAAGGACCAAGTGCTGGGTTCTTGATCGCTGGGGACTGAAGGAAGGTCTTTGGCGGCGACCGGCCACGAGGGATAGGCAGCTGCACACCGTTTCGTGCGTTCATGAAAGCAGACGGTGCGGGACCAGTAGCTTCGAGAACAGGCGCGTTAGTTTCAGAGCTCGGAAGCCAGGAGGGCCTGGTTTGGCATGCATACTCTCGTCAATGTCCATCTCTATCTCCTCCTCGTCGCTCTCCTCGGAGTCGTCCTCGATCACGCGGAGATTCTCCTTCTCAACCTCGACCACGCGGCGATTCTCTTTCTCAGGAGACGAAAATAGGTCATCGAGGGGCTGCATCCCGTGCTCGTCGCGCACACCGGTATCCTTCAGAAACACGCCCGTTTTCCTGAATAGAAATCGTCAATCGCCGTTGATCTGCTTGGAAAAGCGTCATCGTCCTACTCACCGTCCTCTCACTCCCAAATCGTAGATGTGCTCATTTTGCGACTGCGAGCGCCGCTGCGCCGTTGTGCGCGGCGCCATTTTGTTGAGAGGTGCTGTTTGCTGGCTAGAGCTGCGCGCTTGATCGAGAACGAGAAATATCCTTCAGCAACGTTGATAATACAGTCAATCACAGCAGACGTCGAGCGAATGCGCAGAGTGTCGTTAAGGAGGGGCGAGTTGGTGTTGTGTACGTCGAACAGTCGCGGAGCAATTTTGGTGTTCCTCCTAGGTTCATTCACTTAATTACTGGGGGTAGGGGGGGCAAGCGCTAATATGGTTGGCTGCCGGACGCGTTCTCGCGCGGTCACACGCGTCCGCCCAGAGCGACCACCTTATCGGAGTCAACAATCTTCCCTTATTACTGTACTAAAAGGGCTACTTACAGACGACTTTGCATCTATCGTCTAATTCACTACAGTTACCCAGCCGTTATTACATAGTAATTTGCAGGAGGGTTTCTACCTTGATTTGAACCTTCATTGCAAATATTGAATAAACGCATGGCAGTATATTGAGGGGACACATTCTCAAATCACTGTGGAAGTTGATCTAGGATTGGAGTACATTCAAAATCGTCAGAGTCAAGATGGAAGACTCCCAGATGAACGAGGATATTGCGCTGGAGACTCCTGCCTCGGACGTCTTCATCCCGCCCTCAGTCAACCAAAAGGCCCTCCTCTCAGGGGACTCATACACACATTTCTCACAAATACCACCTGGTCTCCTCCCCTCAACAAGTCAGGATGGTTCTGTATCAGAGGGTCTGGCATGCTGTCTCGGCGTTGATGAGGCCGGGCGCGGCCCTGTCCTCGGCCCCATGGTCTACGGCATCTTCTTCCTGCCGCTGGAGCTCTCGGATTCATTACTACGGACCGAGCACCACTTCGACGACTCCAAGGTCCTCACGGCCGCCGTGCGCTCCTCGCTGATGGAGACGCTCTGTACAACCGATACCTCGCTGTTCAACTCGTGCGGCTGGGCCGTGTCTGCACTCTCGGCGCGGGATATTGGCGCCAACATGATGCGCCCGGCCACGTACAACCTCAACGCACAGGCCATGGATACCACGATCGAGCTGATCAAGGGCGTCTTCGCCAGGGGCGTCAATGTCCGTGAGATCTACGTCGACACCATCGGCAGCCCCATCGTCTACCAGAAGAAGCTAGAGCGCGTCTTCCCGGCCATCAAGATCACCGTCGCCAAGAAGGCCGACAGTCTGTACCCCTGTGTCAGCGCGGCGAGTGTGTGCGCCAAGGTCACGAGAGACGCTGCCCTGGAAGTGCTGTATGCGGCCCGCGCCGGAGAGGGCGATGGGGCCACCGAGGAGGACGGCTGGGGCTCAGGCTACCCGTCTGACGCGAGGTGCGTCACCTGGCTGAAGAGGAACATGCATCCCGTCTTCGGCTGGGGCCCGGAATGTCGCTTCAGCTGGGGTACCGCAAAGGATATGATGGACTCGAAAGGGGGTGTCAAGGTGGAATGGCCCGTGGACGAGGACGCCGACACAAGCAAGTTAACAGATTTCTTCTCAGCAGGAAATGACCAAGAGAAGGACGCAGATGGGCTCGGTTCATGGTTCGGCACGCCTGTGGGATTGGAAGCATTTTAAGGTCCGGATATTGGGTATGGAGTTGGGGTTGTCATTATTTGATTAAGGCTTTGGACTGTGCAGTTTGATGAGTAAACCAATGCTCCTGCAATGAATCGACAAGAACCTCCGCCAAGCACCGACCAAACCATGGTTTCCTCATTGCTATATACCTAGTCGTGATCAGATGTCGTCGTCCTCATCTACAGTATTCTCCCTTCTCTTCCCCCGGCTATCCAAAGTCTCCATGCTGATAGCGTCGCTGTCTCGTGCGGGCATGGCCAATACCTGGCGGCCAGTCTCAGAATTCTCCAAAAATTCTCGGAGACGCTGCTTGCCAATCTCTACAGCCTGCTGGGCCGCGGCATTGGTCATTTGCATCATAGGCCCTAGGAGGTTGAGATTATACGACACGTAGGTGCCTCCGGCAAGCAGTATGATCAAGAGAAAGAGGAAAGGGTTGCGCAAGACTAGGACTCTGTTAGTGACGTTACCACTTCAATGAAAAACAAGCATGGCTTACCCATCCAAATTTCGTTCCACCCAAGCACTAGGAGCAACGCATAGAAGTAAAGGGGGACCTGCGTAATTCCTCCAATCGCGCTACGCTTGGCTTCAACGTAAACACCATCTGCAGTCTTCTTGAAGCGGATGACAAGGTCTTGACGCTTGCTCTCGCTCAACACAGTCGTCTCCTCTTCCAGGCTCTTGCCTTCCTCCTCATCAACGCCGCCAATCGGGGTCATATCCTCTTCATCACCCGGCTCGGCGGCACTGGGCTGAGTTCCAACAAATGCAGGGAGATCAGGAGGGCCATAGGTTTCAGACAACCTGAATCTAGACAACAGAGGAATGAGCGTAAGTGTCGACTCTCTTGCTTTTGTGTAGATGCCCTCGATATCATCGCTGGGCCGCCAGATCCTGGGAACACCAGCCTCGTCATATCGGAACTTATCCTCGAAATTCTCACGAAGCTTCAGCAGGATATTACCTTCCATGACTTCCTCTTCGATCTTCTCCCTGAGGGCAATCCAGCTCTTGCGTCGTAGTCTCCACAAGCCAACTTCCACTTCTTCCTCACTAGCCTCCAGGCTCTTAGCTCTGTCAGCGAAGCGGTCTTGAGCTTCCTTGGCAATGGAGATAAAGACGTTCCAGATACGGTCCCACAGATCCTTTTCTGAAGGTGGCTTTTCACCGTCTTCCGGTGCGCCGTTTCCAGCACGACCGGATCCAAGCTTGTTGAACTCGAGACCGATGGCCTCTCCAAGTCTGGACCTGACCCAACGGTCGACTCTGGTCGCTAAGCGACGCAGCTCTTCTTTACGTAGTCTGGAGCCAACTTCATCAAGCTCTTTGCCGAAGAGCAGATACTGTGGCTTAAAGTTTGTCCATGAAAGCCCTTCGATGGCAAGGCTTTGCGCCTCTTTCTTGTAGATCTCCATGGTCTTCTTCTTCTGCTTTTCAACAATCTCGGCGAACTCGTAGTGTCCACCAGCCTTTTGGCCCGCCTTGACCGCAGCTGTGACTGCCTCGGTGAAGGCAGCGACACCTGCCTTGTGAGCAGCAGACAGTTGTCCCTGGTACAGAGCCTTGAGTTGGGAGTCGATCTTTTCCTCCAGCTCCACGCGCTTTCGCTTATAGACGCCCTTGTGGTATCTGCTAGCTTGCGTTTCGAAGGCCTTGATGCATTTCTCGCGGGCTTCCTTGCCGATCGATCCCAAGTCAGGCAGCACAGTCGGTTTACCCAGCCGTACAGCTTCGGCTTGTTGTTCTTCCAGCGGCTTGACCTTCTCGTCGAAGCCCACAAGCACCTCTCTTGCAATCTCATCGCACCGGAACTGGGCGAGAAGCTCTTGCTGGGTGGGCAAATCTAGATCTTTGTTGTTCACAATCTGGTCCCAGATGCCCTCCGCGTAAACCGAAAAGCCATCTGCAGGTATCCTACGGTGGTACTCAGCAAGGAACACACCACCTTCGAACTCTTGATCCTTGGTGGAGCGGTGACCTGTACCAAAGCGGCCTCGGAGCTTGTCAACACCAGCGATGAACTTGTCGGGTTGAAGAATCTTGTGGGGAAGAGCTGCGAAGGCGAAGTCAAAGTAATCGTCAATCTTGGAATTCTCGAGGCCCTGTGGTTTCGAAATGGAAGTCCAGATTTTTGTGAGATCTTGTGTTAGCGTGTTTCGTAGATTAGCAAGAGGTGTTGTGCCCAAGTGATCACGAATGACGAAGAACAAGAGCGATCTGGGGTTCGACCTGATGTATCAAATGATTAGAGCTCCGAAATTCGATCAAAGGGGGCTGATGACGACTCACTGTTTGTCTTTGAGGAACAGCTGCAGATTGACCTCAAACACGGTCTTGAGCAAACCCATGTTTGCGCCTTGATACAGTCCGACTTGATGCTCCCAGATATTGACAATGAGGACTTCACTTGTAGCCAGCGCAAAGAGAGCGCTCTTGCGCTCGAAATCCTGATCTTCACCTCTTTCACGGCCGTCCGTACCCTCGACGTCCATGACGAGAATGTTCTCTGCTATCTTGCCCTCGGAGCCCTCGGACAACTCTTTCTTGTTCTTTGACATCCATATTCCTTTCGTAGTCTGCCGCCTTTCCGTCTCCGACATGACGCTGAACTCGGTGCCGAACAGATGGTTGAGGAGGGTTGACTTTCCTGTCGACTGAGAGCCGAAGACGGAAATGAGGTGATAGTTGAAGCCAGCTTCGGCAACATGCGTCTCATGGAGGTATTCGTTCACGTTTTTGCTACGAGAAGGGCGCGTAAGTATGTGTTGGCCGTACATCTACACGTATATCAATTGGGGCGGAGGGGCAAACTCACTTGAACTGCTTGTCCTCATCGATAACCTGAATGCCATGCTCGTAGTGCTCGGCGCCGCCCGGCGCATCGCCGACGGCAGCAAAATGGCCGTTCATGGTCGCGAAGGCCGAAGCAAATCAAAATCAAAATCAAAATTCCCGCTTTCTTAGGTATATAAGTGTGTGGCCATGATCTGGTAGGGTGTATCGTGTAGGAAGAGTGGACTTGACGTATTCAACAATCTTTTGGGGAAATTGGCGGCGAGTTGTGACATCGACCCTGGTCACTTTCCAGTACACCTGGCAGGGATGTGGCGGAGGTACAGTTTGGCCGAAAGGGTGTAAGTGCCTCCCGGATTGGCTGCGCTACTTGACATGTGCTACTGGAGAAGCAGCCAAAAACCTTACACATGCATCTGCTCAGCGTCACAAGGACGCAATGCGCCGCGAATCAACACGCACAATATCAGTGCCTACACCAAACTCCGTGCGAAAGTGCTGAAGAGTCATTACATGACACGCGATGTATACGGGTGACTCCTTGACATGTATCAATCAACTCATCTAGCCTGACTTTCAACACACTTCACCTTCCTGAAGCTACCAACGGGCCTTCCCGTCCCTTGTAGAATTACCCAGATACCTACCAACCCCCCGCATGAGTTTGGACCTCAACTTGGGCATTTATGAATTCTGAGTTCCATAAACAGCATCATGTCAGATCAAGCAAGGCTCATGAAGCATAAACGTGTAGAGCAACGTTGTTTAATATGCCTTTTTACAGAGAGTTCAGCCATATTTCCTGATGAGCTTCTTCATGATAGACATTGCTCCGCTACGATAGCCTCCACCAAACAAAGCAAAATGATTCAGATGATGATAACTATTATATATATTAGCAACAATAGGTCCTCACAGCACGCAAGAATATACTCACAGCTCGTACAACGCAACTCGATCCTCCCACTCCTCCTTCGGCTCAGCCTTAGGAACGAGTTTCTCATATTCGCTCCAGAAGCTCCCGCCATAGCCCCCGAACATTTTCATGATGCCCAACTCATACTCCGAGTGACCGTAGACACAAGACGGGTCGAACACGACCTCTTCCGCACCGCCCTTGCCGGCAATCTGGCCCCGGCCATGATTCCCGGACCACAAATCTCCGTGTATCACAACTGGCTTGATGCCCTTGACATGGTCGTCTCCAATCAGACGTGGCACCACCACGCTCGCGACCTTCTCAACCTCCTTCTCCAGCTCGCTGTCTTTGCCGTTGGAGCGAACAGCCGCGCGTAAAATGCTCCGCAGCCTATTCTCAGCGTAGAAATCTGCCCAGCTCTCCTTCCATGAGTTGTCCTGGGGTGTGGCGCCGCAGCATGTCGAAACCGGGAACCCGAACATGGGCTTGTCGTAGCCCGCCGGTACAGGCGCCGGCGTGGTGTGCAGCTTGGCGAGTTTCGCGGCGAGCGACTGCCCCGTGCCCCCCGGTGCAGAGGAGCCCAAGTCCAAGAAATCAGTAGCAAGGAAGTATTTGCCGGGTGAAGATTTCATCTCGCCATGTGCATGAGACGCCGGGCAGAAATTGGGCACGGCATTGTGAATGGCATTTAGGGAGGCATGTTCACCTGGAGTATCCATCAGCAAACAAGCACAATCAGTAACTCCCTTGTGTCATATCTTCTTGTGTTGCTAACCTGTGAACATGAGTTCTGCGTCCTTCCCGGTGCCTGTCTTGACGAAATAGTTCTTCACCTCACCATCCACTGTACTTGACAGTTTGAAGGTAGAGGCGAAGCCGGAGCCGCCGTGAGTGGCTATCTTTGTGATGCTTGGGTCCAAGCCCAGAGCGTCTAGAATAGCAGAATCTACATTCGGCGCCATTCTTCAAAATTTTGAAAAGTCTCCTTTCTGGTGAGGATCGAAGTTCTGCACTATGTATGTAATGTGAGAGCTCACGTTGTCAATGGGTTTGAGGGCTGTTACGAGAGCACACCACTGTGACGTCAGCGTTGCTGTATACCCTCTCGCACAGAGGAATTCGCATCATCCTCTTATAAAGTATTATAGAACTTGGTGCATAATTTCGCCAAGCCCGCACGAGATAGAGCTGTATCGCTGTTAAGTCTTCGGAAACCTTTTATTTTCATTTTTTTAATGTCCTGGGATTTAAAGAAATGAATGCAATGATTGAGAGAGCTCCATAGAAGCACTGAGGGACAGCCCCTACCAGCTAGCGGCTCCTCTGCAAGAGTACCTGTGGAACTGCATGATATAAGTCGAATTCGGTCTTTTTGGGTACAACTTATGTTCTGCATGTTCGCTCCATCGCCACAGACTTACATGGGATTCTTCAGTCTGCCTCAAGTCCCTCGGTGCATCCGGCACGTGCCAGAAATGGCTAGATAGTCTCCGGCAGCCTCGCATGGCTGAACAGAGAACAACACACTCACCTGCATTCTCACTACTAATGGGCTTCTTTTTCGCCCGTCCAAACACATTATCTCTTTAGCAAAGCTCATTCAAGGCCACTTTTAAACATGAGCGGCTTAGAGGTTCTGGCCGCGGTACAGACAGTCATTGCATTGAGCAGTCGGATATACAGTTTCTTCAGCCCCGTCAATGATGCCCCAGGTGAAGTGCGTCAAATGTGCACACAGCTGCAACTCCTTCAAAAGCTATTTTCAGAGGTTGGCCGATCAAGCTCCAACCTGGCCAACGCCTCGCGCCTGAGCCTCGATATCATCTTTGTCTGTTTGACCGGATGTGAGTCTGAGTTCAACACATTATGGCTGGCTGTCGAGCCTCTCCGCACTGACCGGGGTCTTGTTTGGAAGGAGACATTGAAGAAGGCTGCTTCGAGCGTGAGGTGGATCCTTAAGACTGAAGAGTTTGAGAAGCTCACGGGGAACCTCGAGAGCACGAAGCAGACCTTGGCTCTCGCCATGTTGGTCGCTGGGATGTGAGTACTGCCAAGGGTAAATAGCGGCGAGGATGTACTGACAACCGGTATCGATCAGGAAAGTCGACACTGCGGTCCTTGAGGAACTGGCGGTCATTGGGACCAAAGTCGAGGAGAATGGGCGCCAGCTCGAATCTCACCTCGAAGACGTTCATGCCAAGATTTCGTCCCAGCTCGAACAGTTCGAGTACAGATTCTTGCAAAAGGTGGATGTTCTTTCTAGGAAAGCAGCCGAGAGTCACTCGCAAAGTGACCTCCGAATCACTGAGCTCTTTGGTAGCATTAATTCAGACGGGCAATCTCAAACTGATAGTTTATTGACTACTCATCCGTCTGGTAGCCGTGAAGGCTCGGCAGTGTTCAACGTTGGACCAACGAACACAGCAGCTCCGGTGAGCCCACGATCAGACATGTACGGGGAAATACCATTAGTCACGCCTTACAGGATATTGAGCAAGATACCACAGTCTTAGCTTGGTCTCAGAATGCCAAGAAAGCATTGCGTCTATTAGTCAAGGAGAGGGGGAAGGTTGACGACCCAGGCCGTGATTCATTTAAACTGCCGGATGATCTAAAACTCGCCCTACAGGAAACATCGATCGACCTGGTGGAAAGGTATCAGCAACGAACGATGATTCAGGTAACTCTGCACGCCTTTATTTCAGTCGACGCTGGATATCAACTTGTGGTCTGGGAGGCAGCGCAATCAATATATCAGGTGAGTTGATATTAAATAAGTGTCAAAAGGGAGTAAACTAATTATCTTCAAGCTTAAACGACATTTTTCATGTTATGGCATGGTTTTGGAAGCATTAATTGAGCTGCAAGATATCTTCGATGCTTGCAGTCGAGAGTATGAGGTCTACCCTGAACCTACAGTCAAGAATAGAATCATTCAACTCTACAAAGATAGCGTTGAAGGCATGACAGCTATCATCATATCCCTACCTACAACGAAAATAACAGAGCAAGATCTGCGAAATATCATGAATAAAGCCAGGCGGTCTTCCGAGATGGTAATGAAAGAGGTCGAACATCTTCACAGAAGGGAGCTACGGCAGGCTCATTTCCGACTTCGCGAAGTCGACAGGAAGCAGGATCAAGTCCTTCGAGCATTAGAGGAGCAGCAGAAGATTATGATCTCTATGCAGGAGGAGACCAAGGCTCTGTTTCTCATCAGTAGCCAGCAGAAAGTCTTGCAGCTCGTACAGCAGCTGCTCGCCAGATTTCCTTCGCCAGATTCTATGGGTATTCCTACCAATGCGGGTACACCAGCTACAGCTTAGTACAAACTAAGATATGAATTTGAGGCTCTGAAAAGAATACTCGATGCGAGGAGTTAAAGATCACGATAAGGAACTCAATCTAGACGGCTGGGTTGCACAGTTTACACAAATGCACATTTTAAGAAATCCGAAGCATTATTTGATTGATATCTAACTCATCTCTTCTAATTGCAGCGTTCAGAAAGAAGTCCAACCAATTCCCAAGCAGGACCCAACATGGAGTACATCCAGACGATAATCCGGAGCCGGCGGCTGAAGTTCCACAATAAGACAGACAGACGATATTTTGAGTCTATAATAGGTCATTGCAGTGACCATTGCTTGTTTTGTTTTCTCTTGTGAAATAGCTAAAAAAGCTTCTGCTAAACAACGTGATGTCGAGACCTTGTAGATCTGAAGCATAGGGCTGGCATCGCATCTGTTCCGTCCAAAAACCACTGCGTCCATTGTAATTCCCCACTTCTAAAGGAGGGCCCTGCAGGCGCACCTGACGGGGGGACACCAGATCCCCCCCGGGGCCTTAGGTAACTCGGGTAGGTGATGTAGCGTGTGTAAGTCACGCCAAAAAGAGAACACCACATACAACCATCGTAACCAGCCAGGTTAAACCAATCTACCAACCAACGAACCATTGAATTTAACGCCAATCAATGCAACCGGGCCACAGTGCAGCAAAAGTAGTTGCTGCACCGTGGGCGGAGGATGGAATGATTCAGGAATCGCTTGAGAAATGTTCCTCCAAAAGTGCATACACATACACACACACACACAACCGTAGTTTTTGACTCGAGCCCTCTTCCCTTCTGCCAAGGCTCTCGTCGGGTATATCTCGCAACGCTTCGGATTGCACAACAAAAGGATGCAAGTCGCTCAATTGGCCTTCGCCAGTGCTCCTCGCCGTCTCGTCCAGTCGATGGGAACAGCCACGCCGGATCTCCTTCCTGTTTCTCCGCCTCAGGCCCGCGCCGAGCGCTGTGCCCAGCGCGTGCCAAGGTGGAGGTGGTGTGTACCCGCACCCCGTGTCCAAGTGTGTGTAAGTGGTACCTAAGGTCCAACGACGCTTACACGCAAGCGTATGCGCGCGCACGAGGAAGGTAGGCACAGTCGAACAACACATGGACAGACAGGTCTAGATCTTGTCGTCCAGGAAGGAGTTCCCATCGTCGCTGCTCCTCAGCGTCTCGGCGGTCGACTGGAACGACATGGTCCCTCGCAGCGGCACCATGTCGCTGGCGAAGCTCTCGGTGCTCGGTCGGCGCGTCAGCTTGCTGGCAAGCGTCGTCTTCTTCTTGCTGGGCTTGGGAGAAGAAGACGGCGTCGACTTCTCGCTGAGGGTCGATGCCAGAGACGACGTCGACGAGGCCGGGCTGTCGAATTGCTTCTGCTGCTGCTGCTGCTTCTTCTTGCGCCAGGAGTTCATCGCTTTGGTCCCATGTGGAAGTCCTTCCCAACAGGCGCTGCAGGGACACATGGGGGCCCGAGAACTCCCGGCCGTGGTCCGCACGGTGGTGGAGTCTTCCGCGCCGTAGTACGAAACCCGAAAGCCGAGAACCATTGTGAAAACAAAAAGACGGTTATTTTTTTTTATGATGATGTTTATTTGTTCCGGTGTGAAGAGTGTTTGATGAGTTGGTATCAGACAGGTAAACAGGTAGGTGGATAGGTAAGTAGGATAGTCTTTAGGAGTATAAGGGAAAGGCGAACTTTGGTACTGGGAACAGTACGGTGAGGTATGGTTCACTACTAAGGGGGAGACAAGTAATAGTGAGTCGTTTGAGTATAACAGCGAAGTTCGGTTCGTGTGAGGGATCGATCTTCGGGCTGGTTGGACCTCAGGCAAAGTCGCAAAGGACTAGGGCAAAGAACTAAGGGAAAGGAAAATGACTTGAAGGGCTCCTTTCAAACGGTTTGTTTCCAAGGCCGGGGGCCGGCCGTGATTATATACTACTGAGACGTTTGGGATGGATGGCCTCGTTAGCCGTGGGATAACCGTCTTAGAGGATTTCGGAGGCGTTTGGCACTTGCATCGCTCGGCATGCCGCCCGCCCACATATTCCCACTCCCCGACACGCCCCCGACCCAAGCTCAAGGGGGTTTTCTACTAGCCTAGCCTAGCCTGGCTGTCTGTCTATTTGTCTATCTGCTTGTACCGAAGCTACCTTCCAGGTTGTCCCCAATCTGGGCTACAGTCTACTAGAATTGGTACCCGCGGGAAGCACCAGCTGCAGCTGGCTGGATGGTCTAAGGTACATCTACACCGTGCAGGTGGGTGGTGTGCACAGCCAAGCGCGGAGGCTAAGTGCAATCCCTTATCTGCTGTTAACCGCACCCGCTTATCATTTTCCATCCACCTAGGTACGTACGAAGATAGGTAGGTATGAAGTAGTCATCCTCCCAATCCCGTAGGACGTCCCGACTAAACAGGCGTGGTTTGTCGTAGAATAATCCGACTTGATTATGTCGATATGGAATCAAGCCTCGTCTGCAGGCCAGTCACCGGCGGGCGCAGCCACAATCTCTTCGAGATCGACAAAGCTGTGGTCAGCTCTTATGACGGTAGCTAAGGTGAGGTAAAGGTGCTGTAGCTGAGGTGTCACCCTACCGAGCCTGCCTGCCACATGCATGCAAAAAGCTTAGGAGAGCCGGACCCCACCATCACCTGCCGCCGCCGTCGCCGCACAATTACACGACCTTGCATCCAACAACGGATTCCAGCCTCAGCAATGTCTCCCAAACCGGCCTGCAAGTGCGCATCCTCCCAGACCGCCCTATCGCGAAAAAAGAAAAGTCAAGTAGCTTCAATTCTTCACGATCCACCACATTCGCCCCCTTTCGCAGCCAGTCGTCACCGCTGCCCAGTCATACAAGCCTCTTCCCGGATCAAGCCGGAGGGGCCACTGAGCACTGACACCGGCGACCCGCAGCGGCGCGTCGGGTCCGGTGTGGGTTTTTGCTTGTCTGTCTTCCTCAGGGACCAGCCTTCCGGTTGGACGAGCTGGCTGATTGGGGGCTCAATGGGCTCCATCCAGGGCGACACAAGGACGCAAAGGACGAAGGAAACAGACACAAGTACCGGTGACACCCGGGTAGCATGCCTCGACGATTATCTAAATCATCTAAAAAGGGGGCCCAGAGGGCGAAATTCACTGAAAAGTATCGTGATTACCCACAAATTTCGGACGTGGGAGGCGTCGCGGCTACCTTAGTCTGCTGGCAGGGCCCTCCGTAGATAACTCGGCGTACGCTCGGCGAGTTGCCGTAGCTGCCACGCGCCTATGTCGTCTACTTGTATAACCGCTTATGAGCTCTCTCATAAGTCACATTTTGGGTAAACTGACCTTTGCGAGTAGTCCTCCTACCCAGCTGTTCCCAGCTTGGATGCAACCGGATGGATGAGGCATACGATGCGCAGTGGTGCGCGCGTATGAGGTCAGCGACACGTACCGGTCTGCCATAGGGATTCCATCGACTCGAATAAGCCGGCCAGACCTAGCGCTCCCTCTGGAACGAAAGCTATCGTCCCTATGAGCAGCAGCAAATGATCTAGCTACTTTACAGACCCGGCACTCACTCACCTGGCTTATTCCCGCCGGCATCTGCCCTTGTGCCCTTGATCGACCTTCAGCATGCAGTCTCGTGATGCTTCACAAACAAGTCCATTGCAGTGACACGCCGATTACTGAACCACAATTATCGATTCGCCCCCTCGACGAACAGCCATGTCAGCAGTACAGAGTCTTCGAGGCTGGCTATGCCGCTCTCAGAGTTGGTTTAGATGGTATTCGGAATTAAGGGCTCCGAGTAGTTCGAGCAGTGACGAGTTGCGTAAAACTGGACACTAGCCTGAGCCTTGTCTGTGGAGCCTCATCAAGCTCCATTGCTACGCTCCTTATCCGTCGAAGATACGATATTACCCGAAGGCTTCAACCACGTCATATCGGGATTGATAAGTCGTGGCTGATCCAAAGCTTGCAGCTTCGACCAGTCAGATATCTCTCCTATATGTCAGGCGGACAAGATTTGTCCTTGGACAAATGCCCAGAGGACCACAAGGATGCTTCTCAAGTGTAAGCACCATGAGCAGACGGAGAGGTTTTCTCCACGCATTAGAAGTCTAAATGATGAATCGATGTTGATTGATATGCATTGACGACAATCTGTTGTCGAGCTCTATTCCACAGTCCACATATTTGCACATATCATTGATGATGAAAAACCGCCCGCCAGGAAATAATACAGAACAGGAACCCCGTCTAAGTCATTTCCTAAATACCCAGAGTGAACTCAACACCAACGTCGATGTCACGGGCTCGAGGGAGTGTTAGCGTCGTTCGATCCAAGGGGGGGAATGATTATCCGGCAAGGATGTTGGTTTAGGCCTTCCACTTACCCATCTTCACGACCTTGGAGAGTTGCACGGCCTTCTCCGCGGCGCTCTGGAGGTCGTCAATCGAGAAAATCTTCATGCCGGAGTCGTTGATCAGAGCGTGGGCCTGCTCCATGTTGGTGCCTTGCAGACGAGCAATGATAGGAATCTTGAGGTTCAAGGTCTTGGCAGTGTTAATGAGACCGTGAGCGATGGCGTCGCAGCGGACGATGCCGCCGAAGATGTTGACAAAGATGGCAGTAACCTTAGGGTCGCTGGTGATGAGCTCGAAAGCCTCCTTGATGGCGGCCGGGGTGGCACCACCACCAACGTCCAGGAAGTTAGCAGGCTGACCACCGTTCAGCTTGATGATGTCCATGGTGGCCATGGCGAGACCAGCGCCGTTGACCAGGCATCCAATATCACCGTCCAGCTTGATGAAGTTCAGGCCGGACTGGGCGGCACGAACCTCCTCCGGATCCTCCTGGGTGGTGTCGCGCTGTGCAAAGATCTCCTTCTGGCGGTAGTCGGCGTTGTCATCGAAGCCAAACTTAGCATCCATGCACATCACCTTGTGATCGGAGGTCTCAGAAAGAGGGTTGATCTCGATCTGTGTAGCATCCTTCTCGAGGAAGATCTTGTAGAGCTTCTGAATAGTGTCCTTAGCATCCTCAATGCACTGCTCGCTGAAGCCCAGCTTTGTAGCGATATCCCGTGCCACCTCATCAGTAACACCAGTGTTGATATCAATGTAGGTAGTCAGGATAGCTTCGGGGTTCTCTTTGGCGACGGTCTCGATGTCGACACCTCCTTGGGACGAGGCCACGATAACGGGGCTCTGGGAGGCACGGTCCATGAGAACGGCCAGGTAAAATTCGCGGCGGGCAAACTTGCGCTCGCAGATGTAGACTGAGTTGCAGAGACGGCCGGCAGCACCGGTCTGCTTGGTGACTAGCTTGTGGCCAATCATCTGCTCGGCGAACATCTTCGCCTCAGTCGGTGAGTAGATGACGCGAACACCACCCTTCAAGCCGTTGTCGAATGTTCCCTTTCCTCGACCACCAGCCAGAACCTGAGCCTTGATAACCATATCGTCGTTGCCAATCTGCTTCGCGACGGACTCAGCCTCGGCGGCTGTCTTCGCGTTGAAGCCCTTGGGGACTTGGATGCCATACTGATAAGCAAAATGTCAGCGTATGTGTTATCTAAAGTTCGACGTGTTTGCTATGTACCTGGCGCAGGAGGTCGGCGGATAGATACTCGTGAATGCTCAGAGCTCGTCGTTGTTGCGCGATGCCGGGAAGTCTGACGGATGGCGACACCTGTGATCTCATGCGTCAGTTTCAAAAGCCAAATACTTTTTCAAGCTCGCAGCTCCTTTTCACGGGACAGCGCAGAGCCAGGACATACCTTCGGTGCAGCAAAGGCCGAGGCCAGAGCTCGGCTGCGACCGAGCTTGAACATGATGAGGACCAATAAATTGACTGGAAATGGAAATGGAAAAAGGACAGACTCGAAGGAAATCGATGGAGGAGGTCCAACGTCGATGCGGCTGCTCTTTGCTTGAGGGTGTGGCTCGTTACTACGAGAAATGACGCCCCTGGTGCATAAATCCAATGTTCCGTTTTTAGCGGGATTTCCCGGACCAATTAAGCCATCTCTCGGTAAGATGAAGCTCCTGAAGCTCACCTGGTCCGTGCACCGCATGTCTTGACTTTGATGCCTCGAAAGGCTCACCGAAAATGCTAGGTGAGGTCAGATGCTTAATTCTACCTTCGCATCAAATGCACTGGATGTATATATTAAGATGCTTCTAATTGGCCCATCTCAAAACTGTATCTAACGCGCTGGCTTGTATATTTCATCTCAAACGAGACGAGTGCCCTGTTCACAAAATTCTCTCCATCAGTATGTCAACTGAGCTGCCAAGTTGGAGGCAAAACGACTTCCAACCCTCGAGAATAGCCATACCTTCCAACATTCTTTCGGGCCACCGGCATTTCAAGCATAGCTAGCAAAAATACTCATTACCTTAAGGTAGTAAATATGGTAATAATCAGCCCAAGCAAGCGTCGATTGCCCTATTAAAGAGAGTATTGACCTGTGAACAACCTTCGTGTCAATTGGAGACCATTTTCAGCATATGGACTTACATATGATGCTGCTCTAAGTCAGCCCTTCCTTGGTCACGCTTTAGTCTCTATTTCTAAACTGCATTTGCTACTTTTAACGGCAAGGACTGCTGCTATCAAACAAGCATCGGTGTGTCATCCAGTGGGCGTGGTACAGATGGAGCATCAGGCAGATGGTCAACATCCTCATCTATCTAAGCCATGCTAGCTCAGGGTCAAGAGAACTCGTTTCTTACAAGGAAGAATATACCGCGGCTCTACCAGTGCTTCCAACATGTGGCGGACGTCTAACTTTGGGCCGTTGCGTCTATCACCCAGGCACCAAGCGGGGCCCGGCCTTGGCGTAGGCGTTGCACAGACTTGTTGAGTCAACTTGCACCTGCGGGGTTGGGACTGGAATTGTTGACGGTCTTGGTTGAAATAGAGAGAGGTACTGCTGTAGCACTCGCATTCACTGATTCCATCTCCTCGTTTTCGGGTTCCTCCCCCTCGACTATCTCCGCGTCATCCGTTAGTTTAGATGTGCCAATGCTACCCCACACATTCGGCTGTTGGCTGTCAGGTCGATGATCCCACGTTTGGTAGGATAAGGCGCCACCAAGTCGACGACTGATCAGCGCAGGGAATAACCCAGGCAGCGTTCTTTGCATGTCTCTCTTGAGGGCTCATACCTCCGCAATTCCCCTCAGCGGTAAACAAGCTCACCAAGTATCTTATTGGCCAGAGATGTTCAACAAATAGGGCAATCCACTCTAACCTGCAGGTGTGAAGGAGGGTGTGGCATAGTCTGCCGCGGCCCTTGTTCCTATTTGCATGTGCGTTGTATTCATATGACATCGGGCAGCTACTTCAACCTCTAAATGCTTCCTGGCTGGGGATCTAATTGTATGTCTCTTGAGGTCATATCTGGCAACTTCACCATCTATATGCAGCCAGACCACGACTTCTTCATTCAAATTTGAAGGACTAAATGTCAGACTCCAGACCAACCAACAAGGATAACCACAATGTTTAGTGCATTACTTGAATTACCACCGTCTCATGTGTTGGTTTTCGTTGTCGGCTCCCTTGTCTTATTCTACGGAAGTCGTCGAGTATGGAAGGACTATAAGATCCGAAAGGTTGGTGGAGTGAGAGCTCCAGTGCTTGCCACAAATCCCCTCACCGGTACGTGGAATCTTGTATATTGGCTACAACAGCACAGGAGGATGCTACCTGGCAGCCTTCTTCTCTGATCACGATCTTTGTCACCAACGGGATAAACGTTTTTGCCAGAATATGTATATATCTAAGTTGGGGTCTTCTCGAAATCGCCTATCCTACGTGATACAACGCAGACGTGGTCGTTCGGTCATCCTTTGCACATGGGTGCTAATTTGATATAGGACTGCGTTTCTTCATCGATGCTGGATATAAACAGATGAACAACAGGCTGCTTGACTACTACAATGGCGTCTTCAGATGGGCAACACCGGAATGTCCCAATTGTGTCGAGATTGCCTTCAATGGCAATGTACGCTTCATCTTGAGCAGAGATCCGGAACATGTCAAGACGGTTCTCACATCGAAATTCACAGACTTCGGAAAAGGCCAGCAGTTCCACCAGACTTGGAGTCCCTTCTTGGGAGATAGCATCTTCACAACTGATGGTCATCTCTGGCAGGACAGCCGAAGCCTGATCAGGCCCATGTTCATCAAGGAGAAAGTCCGAGACCTAGAAATCTTCGACAAGTGGACACAGGTGCTTATTTCAAAGCTACCATCGTCAGGAGGAACTGTCGACATCTCGGATTTGTTCTACCGCATGACTCTTGACGTGACTACTGACTTCCTTCTCGGAGAAAGTGTCAACAGCTTGGAGAAGTATGTCTTGTCAAACGCTTGATCGAGATGCCTCACTGACTTGATGTTCAGTCCAAAGCATGAATTTGCGGTTGCTTTTACAGAAGTGCAGAGGATACAGATGATGCTTACCATTCTTTCGTAAGTAATTTGAAAAGAAATACCTTTATGTCATACAAGATATTGATGTATACCTTTAGTCCTTTCAAGGCTCTCGTTCCGACTCACAAGTATTACCGAGGAATCAAAGTCCTCGAGCGCTTCATCACGCCGTTCATCCATCACACTTTGACGTTTCCTCCGGAGGAACTAGAGAAGCTCTCAAAGTCGGACAAGAACTTTACCTTTCTTCATAATATCGCACGATATTCTCGAAACCCGAAAGTCATACGGGATCAGCTCATGGCTATTCTCATTGCTGGCCGAGACACTACAGCCGCCACTCTTTCATGGACCATCTACGAGCTATCGCACTACCCAGCCGTCTATGCCAAGCTGCGCAACGAGATTTTATCGACTGTTGGGGAATCCGGCTCTCCAACGTACGAAGACCTCAAGAACATGACATATCTCACCCACACATTGAACGAGGCACTGCGGCTATACCCAGCAGTTCCTTACAACCTCAGAGCGGCTCTTGAGAACACAACGCTTCCCGGACAACCAGGACAGCCCGACATCGCCGTGTTGAAGAACGATGTGGTAGTATACAGCGCCCTGTCCATGCAGCGCAGACCAGATCTATACCCACCCGTCTCAGAGAAGTTCGCCGATGCAGCCATCTTCAGCCCTGAGCGCTGGGATCACTGGACGCCGAAGCCTTGGCAGTACGTGCCTTTCAATGGAGGCCCACGCAGTAAGCAAATTTTAGCGTTGATTACTAGTATCACGTCATGTTCAGACAGTTGAAGACAACCATGTCCAACTTTGCCCAGTTAACCCTGAGACATCTGCACCGTGGCCTTTCCCTGCTCTTTCATGGTTCTACAAGGGAATTACTGACTGCAAGTCTTACAGTCTGTGTCGGGCAGAACTTCGCAATGACTGAAATGGCTTTCTGCTGTGAGAAGCCCCATTCCTCTATATCAAACTCATTCAGACTAACAAAAATCCTACTATTCAGTGGTGCGTCTTTTGCAGAAGTATGACAGGCTTGAGTATCGAGGCGATTGGCATGCGCAATTTCACAAAGCTGAGATTGTGGGAGCTCCTGGACATGGTGTTCCCGTTGCTCTTTTCGAGGCGCAAAACGGTGATATTGCTTGAGTCTCTTTATGGGTTGAGATCGTTACGGTGTACCCCCTAATGATTCGTAGTTTTTCTCTTTATTAGAGGTAATCAACACTTAAAAACTGGATTTTCGCCCACATCACGACTAGATACTACATGTACTATCTACGTTGGAATGATTAATAGTCTTGATAGCTACATAGTCGAGTGGGAGTAAATATATCTTGAAAAGGTTGTGAATATGAATATATGTGCGAAGCTGGTAGTGGTTTCTTGACATTGGAGGTGTTGGGGGAAGGCAATACCTCCGATAAGATTAGAGCTCCATTAGAAACCTCCATATTTTTTCTCAGACGCTTGCGACAACCACCTTCTCGCCTCCAACCACATCATTCGCATCGAGGACACAATCGAGCCGGCCCCAGCTCCTCACCTCCCAGAAATGCTCCGCACATAAGCAAATGGGCATCGCGCCAACATGCCTCCCAACCAAGGAACCACAGGCGGCGGCGGCGCGCAAGCCAAGCTCCCCAGCACGAGCGACTTCAACCAGGTCTTCAACCGCATCAACCTCAGCCTCGCCAAGCACAGCAGCTTCCTGCAGAACATCCGCGCCCGCCACCCTCCTCCTCCACAAACCGCGCCCTCAGCTAAGCCCGCACCATCCACCACTGGCGCGGGCTTCTCCTCTCTTGCGGGGAAGTCCTCTTCGTCAGCATCAGCCAGGACAGCGAGCCAGCCCTCAAACATCCACCGCAAATCCAGAGCTGACCTCGACGCCGAGGAGGCCCAGTTCGCCGAGCACTCCGCCGACGTTGCGGCCGCCGCGCTCGGCAGCAACGCGGGCATTGGCTACGTGCCAGAGCGCAAGGCGACCGAGCGCGCCGCCGAGGATCGCGACCTGCGGGGCCGGCTGCTGGGGAAGCGGGCGCGCGAGCAGCGCGAGGAGGCGGCGGCGGCCAAGAACAAGAAACGGCAACGCGGGCGGGGCGGAGCGGAGAGCAGCGATGACGACGAGGAGGTCGGGCGGAGTGGGCTTGGGCGGTCGAAGAAGAAGAAGGCTGCTGCACCACCGGCGACGATGAGCGAGTCCGAACCAATACAGCAGGATATTGACCTTATGGATCAGCCGCAGCTGAGAGGAAGTCCAGCAGTGAGAGATGGCACAGGTTCGGAGCTCGAAGTCGCGGCTATAGCTGTCGTAGATAGACTTGAAGCTGGCCATCCTAGCGACGCGCGAGGCTCTCCTGTAGCGGATGAGCCGAGCCACCACTCTGGGCAAGGCTCAAAGAAGAAACGGAAGAGAAACAAGAAGGCGAAAAGAAAGGGTACAAGTTCTGAACAGTCTACCCGGGGTTCGAGCGCCTAGACTACACATGAGAGGGATATCAAGCAGATCGGACTCGGAAGCGGTGAAAGATGACCAAATTGTCATTAATAAAGGCACAGAGCTTGACAGGAATGCCCCTTCCCAAGTCCAGCATCGAAGCAGCTAGGATATACACTAGTAGCTTGTCCAAGACCGGCCCAGACTATAGTGGTACTATCTGTTTCAACCTAACACCATACAATACAAGATTACCGAAAGATCCTTCCTTGAAGATGCTATGGCAACATCTTCCGCGCCCACTTGTGCCAGCCAACCTGACAGCACATGAGTGACTAAACCCCGCCGGTACAATAAATACAGGGCCAACGGGGATCAGCCTCCTCGCGGCCGTAAGCTCTGTAAAAAGGACATTGCCTCCGCATCCGAGTCGGATGGCCAAGACGCCTAGGACATGATCTTGACCTAAATGGCTTTTGAAATCCAATCCGTCAAGCCTCCCAAACCTACTCATGACGTTGCGTCAACACGAGGAGATAACAATTAGGTGTAATTCGTCATATGCATATCGAGAATCATGAAAATCGGCCGTGACACATTTGCCTCACAATAGGCTTCAACGAGAGGAACTCAGATCCTATCTATTGAATTGCGATTGAAAGAGCTCGAAGCTGGTCTTGCTAGTCAAGAGACGAGCGGTTTCGCAAATCAAGGATAATCGTAGCGGGAATCGCTTAACCTAGTCGTTTGCGTTTTCGATCATCGTCTCCTCTTGGATCGTCCTCCTCTTCTTCTCTTTCAGCTGTATCGGTTGGATTCAAGATGTGAGCCATGCTGCCTCGGCGGGTGGGGGGCGCTGAATTATCTCTGACAGATAGATTCTTGTTATCTGCCCTGTTAGCAGAATTCCACGACCAACTGCTCAGGCTTTCAAGCCCGCCACCGTTCGCAAAAGGGGGTGGCGGTGGAGGAGATGCTGGTCGTGAGTGGGGTTGAGAAGCGGTCTGTAATGAATATTGAGACAACGAGTTTCGGATTCGCTGGTCTTCAGGGTCAACTCGATTCGGTGAAGACGGCCACTGGCTTGATGGTGGTCCAGAAGCGAATGGTGATGGATTAGGCTGCCAGCCATGTGCCCTGATGTCAGCCGATGTATGTCGTCGTGCTAAGCTACCCGGAGGTGGTTCGACTGCTGACAGAGGATGAGGGCCAGGATGCGGTCCAACCGGTGGTGGCGGCGGTTGTGGTCTTAGCGAAGAGGGTGAGGACTGGGTCGTGGTGCTTGCGCCAATAGATCCGTAAGGACGACGGGGACTGATGGACAAATTCGACGGAACCGGTGGACGATAGAAATTATTCGGTCTGTTCTGGGGAACAGCTAAGCTGGATCGCCGCGCATCATCCTGAGCCAACTGCCGTGGAGACACAGGAGCATTGTCTAAATGGGCAAAATATTGGCCTCTGCTAGAATATGGAGCTTCAGGTGGTTCATCGAGTCCACGGATAATGTCAGCTTGCCGTTGAATCTCTCCTTGCAAAGCCACAACTAAAATGTCATTAGCCTATATTTCACGAACCATGGTGAGAATGTCGAAGCGTACCGTCCCTATGTATAGGATTATCGGGGTTCGGGACAAGGGAAATTACGGTTCTCGAAAGTTCTTGATTGAAATGAAGAAGTCGGGTAACCGTGTCGAGAAGGGCTTGCTGCTTGATGTACATGAGGTGAGTATTCTCGTCGCTACGCGCAACCCTATTGCTAAGTTCATAAACTATGTGCTCAATGCTAGCGAGCCTTGGGTCTCCAGTGTCTTGGATTGGTTGCATTGGCTCAGCTGGTGTTCCCGGCTGGGCTGGAATGGGCTTTTGATTATTGTATTCCCGGTTGACAAGAGCATGGCGTGAGGCTCGTCGTTTGATCTCACGCAGGCCGATCAGGTCGCCTCTCTTGAAGTTGCCATTTCCATGCTTGAACTCCCACATTGTCTGCTCTGGGCTGCCATTGTGAAAGACGTCGCTTACTTGGCTATTGTCAGTACATGCTACTGAGAGTGCAGGGTTATCACAACGCACCTTTGTGGAAGCCATACATATTGAGCTGCCGAACAAACGATGAGATGTTGGTGTGTTTGAAATATTGACTGAGCAAATTGTTAGGGTTCTGTAAGAGCGGCGTTAGGCATCTTGAGTACTCACGCAAGTACTTTAGAGAAGTCTGCTGATGGAGCCATAACGAAGCTCTCTTGTGAATTTGACCATGATATGAGATGCTGAATACTAGGATCCTCCAACATGCTAATTGAGGTCAGCGCGAGATCTGGATCACTCATTGGAGCGCCGTCTTACTTGTAAAGCTTGTGGATGAAAGCAGTTTGAACAATCTTGGGCTGGTGGACTGCAGCGGCTGCGGCTGCTGGCGCTGGCATCGTCATGGATCCCGTGTTTCCTTGCGCCTCGTTCTTCGGGGCGCCGGTGTTCTCAAAATCCCTTCCACCATTGGTCTCTTCCGTAGGACTTTTGGTCGCAGAAGCCGGCGCAGATGAGTTGGTTGGTGTTGCGATGTCCATGGGGTCGCCGGGGGACGGGGCAGACATTTGGATGGTCGGCGTGAGGATGGGAACAGTTCGTGCACTCATTGGTTCCTCTGAGGTCTCCGCCAGAGGAGTTCTCTGGGGGCTGTCAATGGCAGTCGCCATTTGCACTGGGACGGGTAAGACAGTCAGCATTGGGCCAGATGCTGGATGGCAGCTGTTTCGCAACGCAGATACAGATAGATAGACTCAGATCTTGCTGGGTCCGGTGGGCTCTGCGCGGGTAGAAACCAGGGATCTATGGGGAATGAGGCGTAACACACTGCATAGCTTCTTGGATGGTGCGGGTAGAGGTCCGTTGGTCAAGCCTAGGCGGCGGCGAAGAGCGTTGGATCTCTTTGTTCGCAAAGATGTCGTCCCTGCTGCTTCCCGACTGCTCGGACATGGACCCGCTCAAGCCGTTCCCTTTGTGACAGACTCCACCTCGCAGTTGCTGCTGGCCGCGCCTGCTGAGTTGGCGTGCGGGAGCAGAGCAATTCGCGTAGAGAAGGATGCGGCGTTGTAGTTAGGTCGGCGCCGGGTGGCAATCGTGGACGCGAAATATGGCTTCTCGCAGCCGGTCGAGTCGGTGCTGCAACGGATTGATATGTGGAGATCGAAGAGTAAGGACAGAATGGGGGAGATGGAGTGTGGTTGCGGGTTGAGTTAAGTTGCAAGACCGAGTGGATGGTGTACTCCTTGCACAGGTGAAGGTAGCAATGGATCTGTGGCGCCGGGGGTGAATCTACCTATGTACGCTATAAGAGGCCACAGCTGGCTAGTGTACCCTGTAGATAGATGGCAAGACGGCTAGGTTCAGGGAGGGGGCGTGCGGCAGGCAATTGGGCGCGGGCGCAACCTAACAGAGAAGCTGGGGGCCGGGCCAGCTGGTCTCTCAAGTTTCTAGGCAGGTCTGGATGTACCTGTCGCCTGCAGTACAACAAGATCCCGTACAGTACAAGGGTAACAATGGTTGTCCTGCGTGAGCCTCTTACCCAAGCAATAAATGAGGTGAAGTATGCAATGGGCGAGAGAAATGGGGTTGTATCCTTTGCACCGCAGGACAGTCTCCTTGTCTCTAGAATCAGATTTAGTGGATCTGGCCCTTGTCTGATATCGGGATGCCGTGATTTCCTCCCATGTATCTATCTTGCATGGAGGCCAGGTAGGGTACGTGATTAGGTGGTGGGGGGAACCTTGGAAGGGGGGCGCGTGCTGAGTCCTGGGTGTTTCTGCTACTGTACTGTCCTGTACATAAGATACAGTACGACGTCGTAAGGGCACCTGTGTGTGGGAATGTCGCCTGGAAGTTAGGTCAAGCAAGATAGGGAGGTAGTAGGATTGAGTAGCGAATGTAAGTGCTACAGGAGATAGCAGGTGTGTGTAAGAACCCTTGCTGCACGGCGCTGAAAAGAGGGGAGAAGAGGTCGGCGATAGCTGGGGTGGGTGCCAATTGGGATGGGACGGATTGGCCGCTAACAAACGGAGTGGGTATGGGTTTCTATGTACCCAGGCGGCGCGAGATGGTCCAGGCGTCCTTCTCTGTTCGGTTGTGTTAGCTTTGCGGTGGCTTGCAAGATCGACTGACTTCTGGAAACGTGGCGGAGAAGCTGTCAGTGGCTGAGGTCGGAATGCCAATGCCAATGTTAATGCCAGCGACAAATGAAATGGGGGAGACTGGTCATAAGAGAATGAAGATTGAGGAGAAGGGGTTAGCATACTATGAATCTACTCCCAGTATCTGTCTTTGGTCCCTTTGAAACGTAATTGCACGTCTGCGTCCAGCAAGCACACACTCGCCCGAACCAGGTGGTTAAGTCAGTAAGTGCCCATGTAAGGTGCTTGGGTAGGCCCAGTCGAGACAAGGGGCACAATGGCAACACAGCGTATGCAACTTGCAACAACAGAGGGTGCTGAAAGCCCTCTAGCGTAATGCACCAGCTCGTGCTTGGAAATGCGGATTTCTGTTTGAATCAGGCAAGGTACCTGGTCGAGCTGATCCAGGGAGGCCAATGGACCACCGGAATCTCCAATCGAGGTTTGGACGAGCCAGTAGAAAGTGGACCCAACACCCAGAGGTCCGAGTGGAAGAGGGAGAGGGGCGCTGAGACGGGGCAAATCAGACGGGAGCCTCCTCGCGCGGCGGCGGAACCGCCAAACGATCCAGGGCTGCAAGACTTCTGGCTGGCTGACCGATCGGGTCCTGCTGGGCAAAAGGAGTCGAGACGACCGACCGACTGACCGACCGACTGACCGAGTGACCGAGGAGCAATACGGAGAGGAGGTAGCTAGAGGAATGTCCCGTATTGAGCCGGGTTTGCGATGCGATGCGAGGAAGAGGGCCTGCTTAGGGTGATAATCTGCCCTAGTTGTAGTGGGAACACCAGAGGCAATGGAGCCCCGGCGAAGTAATGCCGTAGATTAACCAGACCTGGCTGGCTGGCTGTCTGGTCTGTGGGGTGACGTGATTTGCAGCTGGTCAGGTAAATAAGTAAGGTGTGCACTTGAGAGGTAAGGGATGAGATATTATTGCTAAGATAATGTAAAAGCAGGGTAAGACGACTACCAGACGACGAGAACACGAGATATGACTTCAGGTCGGGCAGGTCAGATCTTCAGGTCGGTAGGTGCTGTGAGTAAGATGAAGAGCTGCCGGTTGGTGTCAAGCAAGTCCTTGTTTGCAGCTTTGGTTGGTTGAAGCTGAAAGGTGAAGAGCTTTAAGGTAGGATGCGAGACCAGGGGATCCTTTCTGGAGATGCAGCGGTCCAGTGAAGCCAAGCTAATGTATGGTTGAAATGAACAAGTGAGGGAGTCGAGTGAGGGAGTGGGACAGCTCAATCAAATACGATAATCGTGATGTATGGAAAAGGAGGACTGTTGGGAAAACAGGTCTGAGCAAGTCGTTCGAGCTCCTTCTTCACTCGTTTGGACTGATGTCGCGGACTGGGCATGAGGCGGGCAGGCACGTCCAGAGCTCCTTCCTTCCTGCTTGCCAAAGCTGTTCAGGTTCAATATAATACCAGCTATACCTCAGAAGAGATCTGACACGAAACGGCAAATCAACTTCGACAGCGACGACAACGACGACGGCACTTAGAGACTAAAGTAGGTACTGTAAGACAAGACAGCTCTGCGGCAGGCGCAACCGGACTTGTGACTTAATTATGTTGCAAAACCCAACCAAGGAAGTCGGTGATCAGTCGTCGGAACGTGACCCCTGACTTCGAAATAAGTGTGTGCTCACTGCTTGCCGTGTGGCCCAGCCATGTCCATGTGTTCCATCCGTGTGTTCCATGTGTCTGTCTATCTGCCTGCCTGCCTGTCGAATGCAGCCGATCGAGAAAGTGAGAGAGAGAGTCTCGAGAGTGTGTATAGTGTCTGTCGATATGGATGTGCCATATCCCTACCCTTCTCAAGCCTCCTACCTTGCTTGAGTCTAGATTGAATGCGTGCCAGACGTTCTGGAAGTGCGCCATGTCTCTACTTTTTCGGCGGGCAAACCCTGCACAAGTACCATCGCTGCCTTCGATACAGCGTTGTACTTTGTCTTGCATTCCTTTTGTTTCCCGCGTGGAGGGACGGGCATATTTAGTGAATCGCACCTCGTGGCTCATGCATCGACACCGCCATGGCGCTCTCCATTGACGCTCTCCCCGTACGGATGGGATTTCTGCTGGACTGGGGGTTGATATTGGGTAGGTATGAGGTATCCAGCCCCTTCTACTGCAGAATAAAATAGACTTGACTTGGGGCCTCGGTCCCGGTCGTCAAGAGATGCCCTAGGCAAGTGGCCTTGCTTCAAGCGACCCTATCCGATGCCAGTGGTTGGTGGGAGCGCAGTGCAGATCGTGGATCTTACGGGGCAGGAGGATACGGGCGGAAGCTAAGCAACCCGCCCGGACGAGCTTCCCAATCTTAATCCTTCGTGTATCCGGTCTGCCGGCGCTCCAGTCCTGATGCGGCAGTTTCTAGCTATCACCTTTAGAGCGTCGCCACCTCACTCATGTCCTCTTCTCCAACTCTATCCTCTTACATGCGCTATTTGCCCGTAGCCTCTTGTTCTTACGTACTTAGCAGCAGAACACGCGAAGATTACAATCACTAGGCGATTTGGAATTGTTCGAGATCATGGAGGGCGACCACCGAGGAGATAGTATGACAAGCGGGCTGCAGAGGCTCGTTCGGTGGGCGTCTCAGGGCGTCTCCAGAGACACGCCGGCGGGACGTGCTAGTGCAAATGAGGCGCCCGTGTCTTAGCACTGGGATACTGGATCGTGGCTTGTTGGGGCATGGGTGGCCGGCATGGAAACCTTCGAGTGTGTGCCGCAGAAGAGCTCCAGAAGCTAAGCTCGACGCCTCCAACTGCAATTGTGATCCGATTCTGAGGAACCGCGAAATCCCCCTTTCGATAATGACGTGAGCACTCGTGGGACGATGCCATAGCGCCAGACAGATGGAGGGTACAACGCATCATCGAGATACATCGTCGATACCCGTCCTCGAGCCGACTCAGATTGCATACTGTAGTCCCAAATGCTAGTCTCAATCTACCATGCACCTGGCGCGTGGCCCGTCAATTATAGCCTCGATGAACCGTAGGGTGTATTTAGTGAGAACCGTGGTCCGGCCCGTCCTGTCACGGCCCAGTCTCTACGTCTAGGGTTGAGGAATTTATTCCCTATTTCCATTAATCACAAAAGGTCACTACCAAGGTTCGCAAGGACATCTCGACTTCTTTGCTTCCCGGGCATTGTCTTCCCGGTTAAGGTTGGTCCTTTGAGAGTAAAGACGATGTGGAGTAGCCCACCGCCCCGGCTATCAAAACTAATATCAGCTTCAAAAACGTACAGCGAACCGGGATAAAGATTGGGACTTTTGGGTCATGCGGAAGGACGGCATTCGAGCACCAAGATGTCTGCTGGCCGGACCCGTCCAACCGCTCTCTGGGGGTGCAAATATAGAATCACCTCCCGAGCTTGACAGCGCGCGGTGGGTAGCTTTGATCATGGTGCGATTCATGGTCGGTAGATTGAAACTACAAGCAGCACGCATGGTGTATCGGCTGAAAGTCAGATACTCTTTCACCTTGGCTGGTTACGCCCCAATCTTTTTTCATTTCCATTACTTCCCCACGTCTCAGCCCTCACGAAGGGTCATAGCTCCGGGTTTCTCACAGACATTCGGTACCGGGAATCAGCACCGTTCGCCATCAACAAGGTGACGCTGTCAAGATTGGGATTGCTGCAGACAAGGTCCCGCTCAAGCCTCCATCGGCCATGGCTGGCGATCGGACTCTAAGAAAGAAGCAGAAGTCCTGAATTATCAGAGAACCCCTACCTCAGACATCAATAATAGCTCCAGTTATAGCCCTCACTAGGGGTAACTAAATCAATGGTTCGCCCATAGTAGCATCTTGTTGTCTGTAAGTTACAGGCTGTCGAGTCATGGGTGTATATTTCGTGGTCAATAGCGCTGCGTAAGTGCTGCTGATCTGACTCTTCAGATATTCAAGCACGCGCTTCAAGCTCGAACTCCTCTTGTCAGATATCAAACACGCATAATGGTGTTTTCAGCTTTCCTGCAGGGCGAACCCCTCAAAAGCAGCCTGCGATTTACCGGATACACATCCAGACCCTGACGAGATCACCAGTTCAGTCTTACCACCCATCTGCCCTCCGACCTGGGATTCTGACCGGCTTGAAAAGTCCTCGGTCGAACGTCGGACTCTGCCGTCATGCGATCGGTATCGATTCGAATATTGAAGGCTGGGGTTCTTGCGGCCGAAGCATTGTAAGCTCCTAGGCCTAGGTCAGCTAGGGGCACACGGAGCTGAACAAAAAGCAACTAATAGCACGAGTATTGGCTCCCTCGTGGCAGCCACTCAACGTCAGCCACCCTGGGGGAAACGGATCCATTTCTCCTGAATGTGCCATGCCGTGGCCCAGGGCAACTCCAGCCTGAACCATCGAGATGTGAACTGCCACCGAGACATGGCCATTTTGACGGCCGGTGTAACTGAGGGGCCATCCATGGTCATGGGGGGCCAGCTCACTGAGTACTGACGAATGTGTCAAAGTGTAAGCTTCGTCTTTGTCGGTGTAGAAGCATGCTCTAGAATGCATGGCTCAATCAGATAAAATGGACTAGAGTATATCGAAACTTAGACTTCTAGATGTTGTGCATACATGTTGTTTCACCTTATGCTGGACACACCCCAGCATGTATGATCAGCCAACCTTTCTCCATGCGGTAGGGCCTCCGATGTCTGAAAAGGTGCGGCTGCTTCAGATTCCTAACCAAACCCATCGGGGAGATCCATCATAGATCTTTGACGAGCCGAACTCCGTCGGTCCAATACATTATGATGTCCGGACGGGAAACCAGACACGGCAATCGAGGCTGCGCTTGTGCCGTTCAATGTTGCATTCCGGAGACCCTCGATACACTGAAGAACCCCAGACCTAGACCTTACGTGCGCTGTGCAGGGCCAGTCACCTCATGTCTGATGGATTACTATTCTGCTTCAATTGGCACGCGGCAGGCCCGATGTTCGTTCCTTCTTTCAGCGTTCTAGAGTTTTCCGTCCAGATCGACCGATGATTCGTTAGGCGGGGGTGAGAAGAGGTGTCATTTCTGACCAGTCTGGAGTGCATTTCCCTCCAATCTGCTCCTGCACCTGCACTCAGCGTGCTTGGCGAATCTTACATAGATACCTGCCCAAATAGTTCGGACGGTAACAGGTGGCGCACGATTCCATCCAACGGCTGTGTGATTGCGATATTGGAGGGTTATGCACTGGCCCCTTGGTATTGCTATTCGTTCGATGGAATCTGTATCTGCGCTGCACGACGAAGGTCTAGACGGCCGCACTAGCTTCAGGTGCTGGGGCCGGGAAGGGAGAGAGTATCTACAGGGATAAGGGGTAACTGTATGCATGCATGCATATCTGCATCTCGAAACTTTCAGAGTCGACTGTGCTAATCGTTATGCGTTTTGTTCTCGGGACAATCATTTCTGTGAAGAAGCAAATGCAAACAACACATTCATTACGAAATTATGCCCGGCGAGACCAGTCATCAACCGTTTCAGGGGCCATGGATTAGAGCAACGAACAAACGTCATTTCCGTCATGCCTAACAATAAGCTGTGTAGCGATAGCAGCCCGGTTATCAAGATGCACTCTCGAGCCCCTGAGCCTTCGCCATTATGCCGACCAAGTTCGAGAAATATCCAGGGAAGAGCAAAACGCCGTTGAAACTAGACTCCATGCCTTGATATGAGATGAATACGCGAAAACCTCAAAAGTCCTCGTCCATCCCATTTAGCCGCTTTTCACCAACCTCTCGGATCTTCTCCCCGAGGATCGTGCGGCCATAGCGCTCGGCCACCTTGCCAGCCGCCTCAATCATTCGTCCCGTTCGGTCCTTCATGAGCTCAACCATCTCCAGGGCCCTCATGCCTCGGTCCTCCCCCTCGCGACACTCAATGGCGAGAAGCTGCAGCAGGGTCTTGTCGATCTCGAGCTCCAGCCTAGACAGCGCTGACTTTTGGTTGTGTGTAGCCGCCGTCGACTCGACCAGATCTTGCATCTGCGCCGCTTGGATACCTCTAAGCATGAACTGCTGCTCGAGTTTCCGAGTCTCGCTCTCGTCATCTCCTTCTTCATCTTCCGCATCTACATCCTCGTTGTCGTCGCGACCATTTACCTTGGCATTGGGTGGCGTCGATGTCAAGGGAATAGAAAAGTCGAATTCGGATAACAAGGGTCTAGGGAAGTAAGGATACTGATCGCCTCCCTTGAGGATGATACAATGAAACTTGTCATCGGCAACGGCGATCGGGTAGTATGTTTCACTCTTCTTCCCAGAAGCCAGGCGAGAAAGTAGTTTGGTATCCAGAAGCGGGATCCATGATGCTCTGGAAGGTTGTCTCCAGTGTAACAGCGTCAGTAAAGTTCCCGTCGAATCGTAAATGCAGGGGTCCTAGAAGAAACGTCAATCATGTGTTGCTCCTATTCATAGACTTTGTAAATCATGCGGAAACGTACCCCATTATCTGAGAAGAAAACACTCTTAACAGTGACACCATCCGGCAGAGCGACCGTGTCTTCATTCTGGCAGATCTCATCCCGCTTGACGTTTTCGATGGTGTACAGCAACTTGGTGTTACCGTCTGCACCCACAGGCCCGTTCCCCATGGTCAAGACATAATCTCGCCAACTAGCGCAGGTTACCATGGGTGTGTTCTTTGGACGGTACACACGGTAGGGGATACCAAACAGCGTGTAGACACGAACGTAGTTCGCGGTTGTTGTTACGGTTATGAATGATTCGCTCAGCGACATAGCCAGGACGGCCTCACCCTTGGGCAGCTGTGTCCTCCAGTCACTTCGCTGTGTCCATGTCTCATGCGGTCTGTAGAAGATTGTTGCGGGGGCATCGTCCTTTGGAGGGCATGAAAACAGGGTGCCGTTCTCGTTGAGGCAGGCTTTGTCGTAGAGGAAAGTGTCTGTAAAATGGAAGTCCCTATGAAGCTCATGATCGTAGAACTCGACCGTAACCGTGTGATGCGAGTCCTGATCAACAGTCCAAACGAAACCAATCAGGTTCAGGCAGAGATATTTCCGGTTGCCACGCCAGGGGGTTGAACCAGGCTGGAACGACTCATGGTATTGGGGCTGGAGAAGGTTCGCCCGCTTGCTATCATGTTCGCCGAATATATCGTCATCATCATGAGGCCGCTTGCGAGGGTTGATCGTGTAGCCTGCTCCATCATCATCTACCACAAAATCATCGTCGACATCGACAAACCCATCATCCAGCAAAGAATCTAAATCGTCTGGGCTGCCTCTTCGACGGTCTGGCAAGCCAGACTTGTGACCATTAATCCCATTAACTTGTGGTTTTCGCACGTTTGCCGAAATCTCACCCAAAGGATCGTGAATAAAGGGCGCTGGCTGCTTGGGAAGTCGTAAGAGTGATGAATACTGGCCAGAAATGAAATCGGGGCAGATGTAGACTTCACCCTCGGAGTTAGTGAAAGAAACCAGGTTGTTTGTTGGATGCCAAGCAAAGTCTATAACGTTGGCATAGTCGTATCTCGCAACAATACTCTGGGTCTTGGTTTCCCAGATTAAAATCTTGCCATCCTTTCCGGCGGTTGCCAGCAATGAGCCATTTGGTGACCATGAAACGGCTGTTATATCGCCCTCGTGGCCATTTTCAAAGCTTCGTTGCTTCTCCCAATCGTTCTTCGACACGACTTGGATGTCTCTGATGGGAGTTGGCGCAGCAAACGCTCTGCCATCTGGGTGCCATACGACTCTGGAAGACGCCTCAGATTCGGTTTCCAGACTACCAATTAGTCCATCCACCTTCCTTATTAATTCCGGCTCTTCAGATGTCAGGGAGTAGATATAGACTACGCCATCTGTGCAAGACAGAGCAATCATGCTTCCCTTAGGATCGAAGGCCAGGTGCTTGGTGGGTTTGCCGTGCGACTTCAAGTGGCGCATCTGAGTGTTGTCCTCAGTCCCAACAATCTTGACTGATAATTCATCGCTGGCTACTGCACACCATCTGCTGTCCGGTGACAAGGCAATGTCGCGAATAGGCAGGGAAGTTCGCAGCAGGAAGCGCTCGAAGGCATTTGTCTCGAGTGAGTAAAGGCTCACGGTACCATCCTCAGAGCCGACCACGAAGAACTCGTTGTTCGTTACTACGCTGACATTCTGTTCTTGACACTCGTCGATGTTCGTAGGCTCGCCGTCGAAGCCGGTTTTGTACAGCCGGATTGTGTTATTTGATCCCACGGTCACCAGCTTCGTACCATCTGGTGTGTAAGCGCAGCGAGTAATGCCCTGTGTATGGGCAGGGCGTGGCCGTGGTCGTGACATGGTAGAGTTCATGGTCACTCACGACTTTGATAATGATTACAAGAATCAATTGAGGGTCTCGAGCAGTGTGTATTTGCACAAGCTACCATGAGTTGCCGTAGAGATAGTTCCAAATGGAATACGACTGGTTTGGGAAGACGCGCCTTGACGCGCTTTATGAAGTACCTAGTCGCCAATTAAAATTCGCGTTTGTAGGGGATCCCCAGGGACGCCCTAATACGAGTGAAGTATAGCAGCTGGTAGCCAACTGGCGCCATCTGACAGTACGGCAATTCCAAAACCCCACCATCATGTTGCCCCTCTATGACAAAGGAGAGAGGCTTCCACTATCGCTGTCAAAAAAATATGCCAGAGTCTGCTTGACGGAAATTTGACTATTCAGGACATGTCTGGGATGTTGTTTTGATGGTATGAGTTCTTGCGAATGACAATATACAGCATCATAAAGAGTCTGCCTGTGCACCGACAGTTTCAGCATCCACTATTTATAATCACAAGCAAGTTCACTGGATGTGCGCCCACGACACATAGGCAACAAGATAAAACCTAATATAAGACGAGGAAGTCTTAGACTGGGCTTTTCTCCCCTTCTACCTTGCTAAAACCATATCTCTCGGGTTTTGTTTCTACACGACACTCAAAATGCAGTCGTCGGATCCTCGACGGTTTTTTGAAACCGAGTGAGTGCTCTCTCTAGCTACTCGTCTGTTCTTGGCTGACGAGTATACGTACAGCGCCGAACAGGCGAAGAGAGAAAAGCGTGCCGTGAAAGCAAGCAATAAGTTTGGCAGTCCTATTGCCCTAAAGTCGAAAATTGTTGCTGCTGTTGTCGACCCAAGCTCACCGTCCTCTACCGTCTTCATTGCTGAATCTGCGGGTACGGTGCGGAGAGTCAATGTTGATGTGAGCTAAGACCGTAATAAAATGCCTTCTTTTTCTTCTAATCACCATTATACAGGATGAAGGGACAGGTACAGTGTACCGTGGTCCAACTGCACCCGTCACATCCGTTGCGGTTGGCGGGTCTCAGGACAAGACGGTCTTCGCTGGCAGTTGGGATAAGAACATCTGGTCATGGGATATAGACTCACGATCACCTGGCCGAAAATACGTTGGTCATAGCGACTTTGTGAAAGCTATTATCTGCGCGAAAGTTGGGGGAAAGAATGTCCTCATCAGTGGTGGCTCGGACAAGAGGATTATTGTCTGGGACATCGATACTGGCATACGATTACATACCCTACAAGATTCCGGAATCAGCATGCTTGCTGTCCAAGGTCTTGTCATCGATCCGGTTCAATCATCTCCTGATGAGCTGTATTTAGTGAGCGCCAGCAGCGACCCTCACATTCGGAGGTGGCGCATTCGACTGGACTCTTGGGAACAGGTAGTAGAGGGCTCCCTTGTGACACCTGGTTCAGAGCAAAGGACAATACTGGTCCATGAGACAGGTGTCTACAAGCTAGTATTTGATCACGATGGAGAGGAGGTCGATCTTTGGACATCCAGCGCAGATGGAACCGCGAAATGCCTATCTCGTTTGAAGAACTTTTCCAGCGAGGATAGCTTCAACCACGGCGATCATGTCCGCGCTATGGCTGTATCGGATGAATGGGTCATAACGGCAGGCAGGGATGAAGACTTGAAATTTTGGGAACGGACTTCTGGTAAGGTTTCTTACTCGCTTGAGGGTCACTACGATGAAGTCACGGACCTGGTTGTCTTGAAGAGCCCAAACAGACGTCAGGATCGACTGTGTAGTGTAAGCATTGATGGCACAGTGAGAACTTGGCCTCTGGAGAAAGGCGGACTAGACGCTGTCATCAAGGAGCAGGAGGAGGCCAAGATAGAAAAGAATAAGGAGAATGAGACAGATACGACGGAGGAGAACTTGCTGACTGCTGACGAGGAGGCTGAACTGGCAGCATTGATGGACGATGACTAGCGCTTCATTATTACAACTAGACTTCACAGAGCTATCTGTCATGTTGGCATTGTTTCGTCAGCAACTCTTGAAAGTTTAATTGCATTCCCCTAGAATCATCTGCTATTCAATCTTCAAGACAGGCTTGAGTGCAAATTTTAGATATTTCTGATTCAAGCCTCCACTGTTCCCGATAATTTCTCCTGTTGGACTCTTACAGTTTAAGTAGGTTGGTTGCTCTCCGACAGCCTCATGTTTCTTCAATGCTTTGTCAAGCATCTAAAAGGCGAGTCCGGATCTTCTATTATCTGTGTATCCAACAAGCCGTACCACGGCAAGGATATGGCCTTCCATTAGTGTAACAGGCAATGAATAAATATACCACGACAAAAGAACCGCAAAATAGCCCAGTATCCATCACACTTATCACTAATTCGCCACCGGTCAAATCGATCCATGAGATCTGTTTAACATCCTTAGGTCTTGCACATGTGCTTCCCTAGACATCAACTGCTCCAGGGAAGAGTCATGCTCCCATTTTAAATCAGATAGCGAGTGCTCACGTCCGGTAGAAGTGTTGAATACGATGTTGACATACTTCTTGTGCAGACGTCGGCCTTAGTAAGAAAATTAGATGTTGCCATGTCTTACTTGTCGACTTCGCTCGTAATAATGTTTGTGTTAGCCACTGTCATATAATAGACTACTAAAATTGAGACATTCTAAGTTTTGAGGTTGTGCAGGTTGCGTGACACACGACTCACGTAGATAGCTAGGAGGGTTGCAAAGGTCCCATATAATATTTGCCGTTTGGGAGGTTATTCTCTTATACCGGCACACTTATGGATCATGCTGGTTCTTCTGTCTCAGAAAAGCGCATGGTCTTCCAAGCGAATGCTATTGAGCTTATCCTTTCCATAATAGATCCAGACTCCTGAGGTATTTACTCTCATATTTACTGCATAGTAGAGTTAATGGTTTCGAGTGATCAGCACCGGGGTCCTTGCCCGCCCCGCGATCGACTCTAGGAATGGACTGGGATTTGAATATCCCCGACATCTCAATATTACCTGTCATAAAGCATTCTGCATACTAAACTGACAGGACGAACTAAATCGCTACTACGAGGATCTGATTGAACAAGCCTGCATCTCGTGGCCTACCAGCACGTGGGAGTAGCTGAAGCTGTATGTGACCGCCTTTTTTCCCTTTCATTTCTGTGGCAAAATTGGTTCTGGCCCACCATCACAACTATCGTTTAACATGACCTGGACTTCGCCAGCACAGTACCAATACTAGGTTTGAGATATATGATTCTCGGAAGGAAACAATATGAGGCGACTTAGATTTGATTTCCATGGAAGCCAAAGGATGGCGTGGTTTCTCGCGTACAGCCCTTGTGCAACTCCATTCACTGTTCTTGAAGGTTGACTTTTCAAGTTGTAGAAGCAGGGTGCGGCCTGCGGCATCTTGCATATGTTAAGATTATTTATCGTTAGAGGAAAAAACCTCAACGGGACGTTGCATGCCATCACGTTGCCAGTAGCAGTATCAGGACGAACTGCTGCCATGCTTGTAACCGCGCCACTGCCCCTATAACTGGCATACGGCCATCTCAGCTAATGCACTGTGACTGCCCGAGGCACATACTCCGTGCCTAGCTATTTAGCTGAACGATAGAAAAGTTTGATATTGAGATTGGTGAGGGATTGATGACATTGGCGTGAAAGGACATCCGTGCAGTCTCTCAGGTGGTAGTTGTCGTTTGGTAGCGAGACGGGAAGTCCTGCCATTCGCTTCTAACTTGTGCTGGAGTCTCTGGATAAGGTAAGGTTGCAAACCAGATTAGTTCAAGGCGCAATGTGCGATCGGCAAATGGGGTTACATCCCCTAGGGATGGCTGCAAGGAACGTGTAGGTGCCTTGCACATGCAGCCGACTGAAGTCCAAGTCACGGACGTATGTCGTTCAACAGGCCGCTGTACAAGCAGTATCATACTCAGTGTCAGAAACGGCTGATAAAAAAACCCATTCAGAACGGGCGGATTTATCTTTCAAAACCCCCTTAAATCACGGGCTGGAAGAAGCAACCCGCCTGAGACCGCTCTAGACGGCCGTTACATGTTAAGTGTCGTTAGTGGGCTCTAAGAGCGGCCCGTGGTGCTGGCTGACACAAGCTTAGTCGAGGCGGGAAGAAGAAAAGAAACATCGAGAAACGAGCAAATGGTCAAGGGACAAACCAAAAAGAAAGCTACCTTGAAGAAGCAACAAAGTGAAGCCTGTACAACATACAGCATATACTGAAAACAAAAAAACTCGGATGCGGGGAATCGAACCCCGAGCACATGAGAACCCTCATCCTCAGGTCGAGGAAATTGAGAGTCATGGATGTTACCATTACACCACACCCGATTTGACATGTTTGATGCCACGGCAGCGCGGTTAGTGGGCTCTTGGTTGCGCTGCCAGCCAGCCAGCCAGCCACAGCAAGATCATCCGTCATTGTAGATCAACATGAAAAGCTATGCTTCTATCTTAATGCGACGACAACACACCATGATCGAGTAACTGACCAGCCACCTAACTGAGAGTAGAGTTTAGTAGACTGACTACAGGACAGCCTGCAGGCAGTGTGCACACCCTCCAGGAGGGTAAATCCAATGCAAGCCTCGGGCCGGCTTGTGCCCATCGTCTGTGACCGCTTCGGGGCGTGCCCCTGGCCAACTTTGATGCCATTGGCCGTCGAGGGCGATAGATCCTCGTCCCCACCCACTAGTTTGGTGTACGACATCTCTCATCTCACGGACTAAGGAGCATCCTTGCTCGGCCACTCGCACTACACGGATCAACTGGGAAGACCACCGCAGCCGAGCAGTATGCAGTACGAGAGTACCTGCTTTGCTTTGTGCAGAGCCTTGAGAGCCCCCGCCCGACCAATTGACGCTGTGGAGAGAAATCGAGCCGGAGCCGCTTGGATCGAGACTGCTGCCATCACTAAGGCCTCTTAGGGCTTCGTGCACGCTGCTCGCGGATCAGCAATGGGGGGCCTTTCAAGCTTAGGGTCCCTCCTTGCGTCAGACATGCCCATTCGGGCTCCCGCCGTTGCTCCCGTGAGCCTTGGTGCACCGGTTTTGGCCCACTGCCTGTGCCCACCGGTTCTCACGCGCGAACGAGAGATTCCCATGCTGGAGGGGAACGTCAATGGCTGACCGCACTATCTGGTCGGCTGGCGTCTGGTGCTGCCATCCGTTTGCTTATCCAGAGCTCTGGGTGGGTGGGTAGCTTATCCTGTCAAGGTACACACTTCAGAAAAAAAGAAAAGAAGCCGCAGCTGCAACCCTGCCGCCGATCCCAAACATCTTCCCCCATCCTCTCATTGTTTCTATTATTTCTCGTGTGTGCCCGTCTGTTTCTCGAATGCTTGCCGTCTGGCTGTGCGCTTTCCCCATATACGTATTCGTCGCGTGTCACCAGTTTCTAGAATCGCCGTGGTGCTTTTGCGGCAGAAGCTTCCATTACGCTGCCTTGTATTTCCGTAGCGCTTCGAGCTGGACACAATCGTTGTGCCATTACTTTACATTGTCGATATCCTGGCGAATTGAATCGATACAGCACTTGTGGTGCTGGCTGAACGCCTTGGAAACAGTCGACATCACGATCCATGCCTCCAAACTGATTCAGGTACTAGGCGTCCTGAAGTCTAGTCAGGACAGGGTCTCCCTCTATCTTTTCTTGGAAAAGCCTTGTTAGTTGTGATTACTTTGGCCGAAGGAATTTCTGGCATACTCTCCAGATCCCAGTCACCGCGCTCACGAGTTAATTTCTACTTATTACTATCATGTCTGATACCGATGCTATGGACAAGCCCTACGAATACCACGGGAGTTTGGTAGCTTTCGAGGGCAACCCGGACACCGTCTTCACGCAGCTACAGCTACTTCCATCCTCCTCTCAGTTCATGGCCTTGCCAAATGTCCAGTCCTACTTGAAGGACGAGGACATCTCCTCGAAGGCCTTCAACTCTCGCTCTTACATTCGCCAAATCCACGAAGCGACACAATTGCGACACAAAGCAGCAACTGATTTCCTTCAGCAAGCTACCCCCGACAGTAAACGACTTGTCTTTCTTCATGGAGGCGCAGCGAGTGCCGTGGTTGAATGCATCACAGCCATAAGCGAACATGAGACGCAAGGGGATATTAGTCGAGCAGAGTCATTGTTTAGGGATATCACCAGCAACGGGCTAGGTCCACTACTGAAAGATGAGATACTCTCTGCCAAGAATACTGTCACTCCGGCCCAAGATGAAGAGTCCAAAGTCGAAGATGAAGTCACGCAGGACAGTACTCTGCTGGAGGATCCTACAATTGCTGCGATGAAGGCAGCGGATGCACTGGATCGGGAAACAGCCAACTTACAGCCGGTCAACGATCTTGATTTCTCGGTCGTCTCACGGCCGCGGAGTATGAGCGTCCCCGCGTACGGCTATACCAATGGATTCAGCAGGCAATCCGCAATCTCAATTCTTGGTGCCACTCAAGCAATTGTGTCCGCTGAACAACCTCCATACTTGGGCGCCTCTGACATCGAGGAGACGGAGAACGTCCACATTGGAAATGATGAAGGTGCAGATTGTGACCCACAATCACCAAGAGATTCGATACAACTGGGAGGACTCTTTCCGCCTCCCGCCAAACGTGCCAACCGTGCAGCAGAGACTTATGAGATGGCCACTCCGGATTCGATCCACGTTCCTTCCTTAGGATCGCCCATGAGCGACGCCTCGATGTCTCCCCCGGCCACACCAACCGGTGTAATTTACGGAGAAGCGCGTGTCATCAAAATGCGAGTTTCAAGGACAGAGGGCGATCTAACCAGAACACGTTCGCTCGACGACTTGTCTATGTATGGCAAACTACCTCGATCAACGGATGCATTGAAACCAAAAGCCCTTCCCACAGCACGCGAGCTTGGCGGTAATAGTAGGCCTTTCTCATCAATTGGAGTTGAAAATGTCAAAGGATCGTTCCGACCACAATCGAGCCTCTTTGCAGCCACTGAAGGAACAGTCCTGAGAGCCAGCAAGACACTGGTGCGGCGTTCTCCTACAGTCCTCAACAGAATAAGGCAATTGGCGAGATCGAACTACGTCGATAGAGGCACAGATGCAGAATACCCCGGCATCGAGGTCTCAGAGAAGCCAGATGATGTTGAGGAGGAGCAGTTGATTACAGTCTTCCCCTTGCTCGAGGACCTCGTTGTCCACTTTACAGATGATGGCCCAAAAGGACTAATAGACCAGGTGGTTCAAGCATACAAAGATGGGACATACCCCATGTCAAGGCTGTTCTCGCCATCAGCTGAAATCAAAGAAGGAGAGACACCCCAAAAGCCTACTGTTACTAGCGATCCGTCCTTGTTGTTCCCGGCCCCGTCCATCCAGGTGACCCACGCCGTTGATGAGCAAGTCTCGACGTCGAGTGATCCCCACGAGTATGACCCATATGCTTCCCACGGGAACTATGGCATCGTAACTCCAAAACCGTCCCAAAAGAGAATTTCAGTTTCTTCGCAAACGGAGGAATCTCAGGGCCAGGCAACCCTTTCCCACAACCTCCCACAAACTCCCCCTGAACCCGAGTCAAAATTCCACCAATTCTCGATTGCCGGTCGAGGAACAGTCGTATCGATCCAGGACGCTTTACGATCCGTACTCGCGGTTTATTTTCCTTGCAAAGAACAGGGCTACCACCGCTACGCCTTCCTGCTATCATCCGAGATGGATGACCTCTGGCAGCCGACCTTCAGTCAACCCGCAGCACCCGCAGCGCCCGCTCCTCGACGTGGGCAGGAGCCCCGAAGAGGATGTAACAGAACTGACCTGATACTGGCTCTTGGTGCTCAGAAAGGCGTCAAGCGAGAGTTCGTTTGGAAGGTTGGTGAGGAGCTTCAGGCACTTGGTACCAGGCCGGATGGCTATACCAGAAGCGTCCGATTGGAGCTGAAGTGAGATACCACGTCCAGAAATTCTTTGATTTTAATAACTAACCTATATGAAGATATCTCCTCTGGAGAGTGATGGAAGACTTCACTCGACAGCCCCTGATGCATCAAACTGCCAACAATCCCTTCAACAGCGCCCCTATTCTGGCTGCTTGGCTCATCCCCAAGCTCGAGATGTGGCTCCACGCGCACATGGAGTTCCGCTTCATTCTCCTGCAGTACGATGAGGAGCACTTGGGCACCGTGCTGGCACTTCGAGCTGCTATTAGTGAGAACATGTTCAAGATTGCCGGTATCATCGACACTGGTGACTCCATTCCCCCTGCTCCGCACTCCCCTCGCCCCAACCGATCCGGTTCTTCTAGCCAGTCTTTGGATGGCACACCAGCCCACACGGTGATGGAGCCGTCCTGCTGCCGACCTCCGTCTTTCTCGCGGGTCAACTACCTCCTGACATGCTCGGCCACCGAGGCGGAGCACGCCATCTTCGTCTACTCGATCTGGAAGCATCTTATTAGAGGCTCCCAGTACTACATCCCGTTGCAGCCGCCTCTCCCAAGAAGCAGCAGCCAGAACCCCATCCGGGCCTCGAGCCCTCCGCCGCCTCTGCCGTCTCAGGCGAGCAACATCATCGCGCAGTATGCGGCTTCCTACTCCTCCTCGTCCTACTCGGCGTCTGTCCGTTCGTCTCTTCCCGCGGCGAGCCCCCCGGTGTCACCTAGCGTGCCGTACTATCCTGGCACCATGACGCCTGTGTCGCAAAACCCCGTAACTGGAGAGCCGGAGATGAACCAGCCGCGCTCTGCTGCCATGACACTGGCGGCAACGCAGTCTGGTTCGCAGCCAGAGCTCCCCATGCTGATTTTACCGCAGCAGCTGCTGAGACAGCAACGAGCTCGCTCGACTTCAACAGCACCCCAGTACGTCCAGCAGCAGCGACCCTCGTCTCCGACAGCTTCCGTCACCTCGCGGGTCTCAGCCGCCGAGACGGTCCGCACATCGCGCACCGGACGGACCCTGCACTCCATTGCTAAGGGCAGCAGCAGTGGCGGGCGCCGTGCCGGCGGCGGCGGCGGCGTGGTGGGCCGCGAGGACGTGCAGTCGATCCTGACGGTCGACCTCGAGGACGACGGCGAGTTCGAGTCCGAGGAGCGGCGCCTCATGCCCATGTTCGACGAGGCGGAGGCCGGCGGCACCGGCAAGACGGTGCGGCCCAAGCCCAGCAGCAAGAAGGCACTCAAGATGCTCGGCCTAGCCTAGGAGGCCGCCGCGCCGTACTAAATGGCAGTCTTCATGCACATGCACACATGCATATCTACATCTACGTCTCCTATTTGCTAGCATCGTGGCAGCTCTTCATGACAAGGGATGGACCCCGACCTGGCGTTTTCTCTGATCTGGTTTCCTTTGTTTTCCAATTTTTCTCTCCTTAGCCCCTGAGAGGTGGTAGGACAGGGCAGGACAGGACAGGACGAACAGGAGGGTATTGGCGTTGGTCAGGGATTCTATGTTTGACAATATTGTACTGATACTCTTTCCATATCGGCCTCGAGTGCGAAAGATTGACGGGTGGCTCGCATCACACAGGTGGAAAGCATGGCTAGCTAGCTACCTTACATCGCTAGCTCACTGAACCAGGACCAGTCCTCAGAGTGACTCTATCCGAAGATAGACGAGACTGAATGCGAAATGACCATTTGCAAAATCTACATTTCCTGTTTCCTACAGTGTCCCTGATGTCTCTATCAAGCTGTTACGTCTCACGAGAAGTAAGCCACCGCTGCACAGTAATATTAGGTTACACCGCAGCCCTATGGAGAACCTAGGCTCCCCCTTTCATCTCAAGCACACATGAGGCACACTGCAGGTAGAAAACTCTAGAATGTTCATTCCATAACGATAGACCGAGAGATAAAATACAGGTGCTGTATGCAAAACCATTTGACACGCAGTGTGGGACCACGGAAACCTAGGGGATCTGGAGACGGAGCGATGATATGAGAGATCCCAAAAGTCAAATTAAGTAAACCCCAGGTGTGTGATCGAGAGCAGAAGTGTGAGAAACGACAACTTGATCCTCCGAGGCAGAAAAGATATGCCCAGGATACGAGATACACAGTCAGACAACAAAAATCTGCGGACTTTCTTCTAATCTTCCCCTCCCCTCACAGAAATGGTCTCCCTTTGCTCTCTCTCAAGTCCATCATACCCAGGCGTCCATGCGCAAAACTAAACTCCAGCTGTATGTATTATGAGCCCGTCATTGGTCGTAGCTTCGGTGTCGATCCCTTCTTGATGCTTTGCTAGGAAGAGCCGTCTAGGCTAGCAGATCGATGCTGATATCAAATCCGGAGCCATTACAATCCCAAATGAACGCACTGCACTCTATGCGGGGAGAAGCGAGAGGAAACCCACATCCAACCCGTTCCTGCCTGTCCCCCAAGCCCGCCCTGCATGCCCTGTTCGTTATCGCCAAATGAGAACTCCAGGTCGGGGATGTAAAACGATAAGGAACAACGCGTTTAGCAGCAGCCACCTCCTTGGTTGGACGAGACTCCGTGGCCTGGGCCGACCTGTACGTTGGGCTTGGTGTTGGCAGTTGCAGTCGTGCCCATGCGCTCCTTGATTTGACGAGCCATGGTCAGGAAAGCCTGCTCGACGTTGCTGGCATTCTTCGCGGATGTCTCGAGGAACGGGATTCCTAGGCTGTCGGCGAACTCCTGAGATAATGTGTCAGTCTTCGATACTCGGTCAGAGAGAGGTGGGGCCTAGGCCTATGCTTTCGGGGTGCATGTGATCACACCCGCATGAGCTCCAGGCTGCGCGCAGATCGGCTCACCTTTGCGACGGTGTACTCGACAACCTTCTTGTCAGCCATATCGCTCTTGTTGCCTACCAGCAGCTTGTTGACGCCCTCAGTGGCGTATCTGTCAATCTCCTGTAGCCACTGCTTGACGTTGTTGAACGAGTCCATGTCTGTGACATCGTAGACGACGCAAATGCCGTGAGCACCTCGGTAGTAGGAGGAAGTGATTGTTCGGAAGCGTTCCTGTCCGGCAGTATCCCACTACAGCATATTGTTAGCGATCGTCCCTGCTGATAATGAATGCCGTCCCAAGGGGGCCCAAGGCAGCCTTACAATCTGTAGCTTCACCGTCTTTCCGTCCAGCTCGATGGTGCGGATTTTCTATTATAATGTTTAGATCCATGTCTCCGAATGTTGAGAGTCAAAGTGTGCGTACGAAGTCGACTCCAATAGTGGAGATGTATGATTCGGTGTAGGTATCATCAGCGAATCGCAAGAGTAGGCAAGACTTTCCGACACCGGAATCACCGATGAGCAGAAGCTTGAAGAGGTAGTCGTATCTATGTCATGTCAGTCCTGAGGAGACTCTGTGGCCATGGAAAGGGCGACGTCGGAAATCCGTGGCGAAGGAACGAGGAGGACTCTGTAGAGGGAACGGTCAGCAAACAACTTGGCAGACGCAGCGCTAAGGGGGTGAGGATGGAAGACAACATACTACTCGGGATTCATGATGAGCGGCTGAAGAGTTCTGGCTGTCTGTCGACGGAAGAGGCGCTGCTGAAGTTGATGGGAAGCGGGGACGGATCGTGGGATGGTAGGAAGTTGGGAGGTTGATGGATTTAGAGGGTTGCCAGCGATGATGATGTGGTAGGCAACGCTGAGACTCAAAGGTGCCAGCCCAGTCCAGTCCAGTCCAGGAGTCGGAGACAAACGGCCGGGTCCACCGGCCGCGCGCACTGTAAAAGAGGCGGCGTTTCAGGTGACCTGGCACGTGCCTTTCAACAAAGTTGATAAGTCGTGGAGCGACCGCTGCTTCAATTGAAGAGTCAATTAGAAAAACATATGTGAGGGTCTACAATTTTACATTAGACTAGTATATGGAAACATTCTCTGCTAGAGGTGTAAAGCATCTACAAGACAACCCCGGCGTTGCGTAGTTGCGACTATGTGACTCTCGCAGCACGGGAAGAAGCTTTGGGGGTTCACTGCTTGAGCATGCCTAGATAATCTATAAGCATAGAAAGGGGATATACAAAATACTATCGACTTCGAGCATTTGCATCCTCTTCGAGATGCATACTGAACTCGCCTTGTTTGTAATACATGGTATAATTCTGAAATTAATCCATCGTGACATGGGCAGCTGATCGAAGTCAGGCAAGGCCATGCTGTAACGAGGCTGCCACCTAGCGCAAGGCGTGCACCGTCTGAGTCAGGCCAGTCTGGGTTAGTTAGGTCAGAGTTTAGACATTCCTTGTCTTAGAGAAATATGGGGGCTTGATTATCCGAGAAGCGTTATATGTAGGACCAACGTCAGCCTGATTGTACTTGAGGCTCGAGAGCATGCAAGATGTGACAACAGAAGAACGGTGCATTTCAGGGACAACTTGCGGAGAAGCGGAGCCTTGACAGCACTGAATGGCCCTGTCTGCTGGTGGACGACGGGACCCCACCAGTGCCGTCTCTTAGCCGACTTGCCCCGATTACCTACTAGCACCTCCCCAATGGAAGTCTCGTTCTCTCTCCCTGGCCTGGCCCTAAAATTTCCCTTGACGAAACTGACATCATTCCACCCCCAACCTACAACCCGAGCTCTCAAGCTCAACAGCTCAGATTCTCCCAACCACAATTGATGCCTGCACTCGCCGTCTATGTCGATGTCCATGTGAGAGATCGGGAATGTCCGCACCGAGCCGCCTCCTTCGGTCGCACTCCCATGCCGTGAACCCGTACGCCGTCCGGCGCCTGCGGTCCCTCGCGTCCGGTGGTGGTTCGGCCCCGCCAGCACGGCGTTCGTCCTCGCCCTCGAGCACCTCCAAGGGCCTCACGACCCTGCAGGAGGCCAACCCGCGCAACCTCCCCGAGCTGTGGTTCACTCCTACGCTGCCTGACTCTAAGGCTCCCGGCTTCGACTCGTGGAGACCTCCGTCGGATCAGGATCGCAACGTCAAGCTAGGCAAGAGTAAGTCGCAAACAAAACCCGCTACATGCAAACGCTTGCTGATCGAGTCAACCTAAGCTCTGCGCATACTGCAAGAACGTCTGCCTACTCTACTGCAGTCACCCCTGCCACAGGAGATTCTCGCGCCAAACATCTCTCTGCACTTATTCCCTTCCACCCACCCTCATCTGCCCACGGTCTCCGGTAGGGTAGCCTATATCGCCGCACTATGGAGCGCCCCTATTGTATGGAATCGGGTGCCGATAGTCGGCAATGTGAAGCTGGAGATCCTCTCGGAGCGCATGGTCAAGCAACCCATGAACTTTACGCCGCGTAGGCAAGGCGCCTGTGGCGAGCAGCTTGTGGTTAGGTGGAAAACCATTGGCAAGAACAGGGGATGGGGCTTAACATTCAGCAACGGCCAGTCGCCGAGCGAGGACAAAAAGGAATTCACCGGTTTATTCATCTTTGAGTTTGACAAGGAGGGCAGGATATTGAGCCATACAATTGAGCATGTCCAGGAGGGTGGTGACTGGGAAAGGGGCGTCGGGGCCAAGGTCGTAGGCCTCACAGATTGGCTTTTGGGCGGCATGAAGGGCGGAAGAGAAGGCGGAGATACCCCTTGTCCTGCTTTCCATATTCCAGGATCACAGTCGAGAAGAGGCAGGTGACCAGGAAGGAAAAGGGCAGGACGAACATGACTGAACCCGCCTTAGGCGGATGGGAAAAAAGTACTCATTGTATAGTATGATGCCAGGGCGGCAACAAGAGTCTTCACCACTCAACTCTCACGAGCCAAGCTTGTATAGATACAATGTAATGATATTAAACATTAAGGAATATGAAAATCACCAAATGCTAGCTATGCGCCGCGATGAAATCCGCTAATCCGTCCTCACTAACCATGAGAATCTGCGTGTTGGCAAGCGACGATGTCACAATGGAGGTGCCCCCGATCCAGCCGTGCCATATCTTCTGAATAATGTTGTCAGTCGAGGGCAACCGCACCGGGTTCGCCTCGAGGTCCTGCGGCGTGCTCGTGATCAGCAGCCTCTGCGCGCCGGGGAAGCGGTCCACGATGTGGAACAGGCAGCCAAAGATCTGCTCCGACTCGAGCTCCGGGTAGTGCAGCTCCTCGAAGGCGCAGGCAATGTGCCGCACGCGGCGCGTGTCCTCCTTGCGCAGGAAGTACACCATCGGCCGGTTGAAGCCGTCGCCGTCGTACGGCTCCAGCTCGCCCATCAGGAAGAGCGCGTCCGCCGCAAAGTTGAAGTACACGCGCGGCGCGCACTCGACCGGCGGCGTCACCAGCATCGGCGGCGTCTTCCACGCGAACGTCAGGTCGTAGTGCTTCAGTCCTAACTCGCGCGCCTCGCGGTTGATGTGCAGCACCACGGGCACGGCCGGCCGCCGTGGCCGCGAGGTGAGCTGCTTCCTCTTCTTTTGCAGCGCAGCCTCATCAGCCTCAAAACACGCTGCAATGACGATCCGTGGCTGGATCAGGTGCTCCCAGATCCTCAGCCTCAGTTCGGTGGGAAGATCGGCGAAACACGTGAAGGTGTCCTGCGCGGGGTGAATGACATGATTGCCACCCTGCGGCCACGGAGGTGATCGTTGTGGTGGTGGTAATTGTTGGGGCTCTAAACCATCGCTGAAGACTTGAAACTCCAGCCAGAATTTTGCACTGTTGCTGTTATTGTCGCATACTGAGGGCATCTTCTCTAAAAAGAACCATTGGCATTCCCAGTAGAGTGGAAGAACATAGTAGGCAATAAGAGAAGTGTGGCTGAGGTGTCGTCGGGTGTTCTTGGCCTATCTATATAATGGCTTGACTTGGTAGTCTCAAAGGGGGGCGAGAAGACGGGGCCTCTAATAACGGCAGGAGGCGTCTCGTAGTCCACCGATGGGCGCCGCCCATGATCTTCTCCTCCGGCTCGCCTGCCTGGATTTTATCCTTCCATTCGACAAACCGGAACTTTAAAAACGTGTCCGGACTTAGACCTGGAAACAGCATGTTTCAAGCTTGAAATTATTCGCCTTCGCCACGACAGGAAAATATGCAGGGTTTCCTTAGTGAAGTAACTAAATAAAGCCACACTAACAGGGCTGCGGGAACGAGTCCTCCCGTGCATACTAGCCCAGATATATCCTGTAAGTCGCCACAACTTGATGTGTGTCAACCCTGTCAGTCTCAAGCCCAACACCCCAAACAGAGGATGAAGGTGATTGAACGCCTAACAAGCAATACAGCGATCTCGACCAATTCGCCTTTGGTTCGTACCAGGACAGTCTACTGATTTGGACGTTTATGTGAGCATGTCTAATTGGTGGTTACCTAGGTTGACTGTACGCAGAGGCTATTTCTTTCGGTTGATTAGGTATCATCAAGTAAAGCTCATTTCTATTTAGCATGACATTCAAGCCATGTACCAAAATCCAACGCCGTGGAGAAGACTTCTCTGATCCTGCTGAATTCTTATTCGAGCTTCATGTGGTGGGGTATCATGCTTTCGCCTCCATCGTCGTACGAGCACTCTGTTGGTTTGTCCCTCTCAACAACGAAAGTAGATATGCTTCTTCCTGCACCTTTTCTCCGTATCCATCCTCTCCTGCCTTGTCCTTGGTGATAATGACATTGCCCAGGCAGGCCGCGGCCAAGACGCACTATCACAGAATATTAGTATCAATGTAATTGCAACAGGTTGGCTAAGGAAGTATAGGCTCCCGTGCTTAGGGCTAAGACTTACTAGAATCATGAAAGGAACAATCGCGACGAATGACCAAACCAAGCCCATCTTTAAGCATGTTAGCGTTTGATTTGATATATCTTCCATGAGTGACTACACACCTTTGCTTGATGAATCCAGTATACTTGCTCATCATGCGGAAGAGTGACAATATTTTGAAAGTCTCGAAGAGGTGAGCTCGGACCGATACCCGACGTATTGTTGAAGACGGTCGCCATGATTGTCAATGCGAGTGTGCCGCCGAAGGGGATTGCAACCGCCATGAGAGCCACGACGGTAGCAATGTGCTGCGGGAAGAATCCCACAGCGTGAAGAGGACCGGGCATCATTCGCATCGCCGTGCCAGCGCCAGTCAGAGCCATCATGCCGTAGATCGTAGACGTCTTCTCAGTCCAAAGTCCGTAAGCCAGAAACCCGATTCCGAAAGCCTCGACAATCGAGCCGAGCATGATTGGCCAAAAGGTCTTTCTTGGCCAAACGTTGCACATGAACATGGAAAAATATACGCCAACTGTAACAAGTCAGCTCACTGAAGATCCGAATTGGTGGGTGGTTATTACCTGCAAGGCCCGGAGTATAGTACAAGAGCTGAACACCAGCTTTGTCGGCAGTAAAGCCCTATTGTCGAGAGTGTTAATGTTGATGATTTAATGAAAAGAGAATGAAGCCGATTATCTACCTTGACTAAAGTGAAGAACAGGTTGACAAAGTACAACACCTATTTCGTCAACTACATAATAAAGTAGTGGTTTTCAGCGAGGAATACTCACAGCATACATGGCGGCACCGGTCGCGAAGTTGATATAGAAGAGAAGGCCAATATCCCGATTTGTGATGAGTCTCCAAGGCAGCATGGCTTGTTGACGGGGCCACTTTCGGTTCAGCAATCTACCTGCGCCCATAAGTCTTTCCCAGTAGATGAAGAGACAACATAGAATAGCGCCGACAACTAGAGGTACTAAGACAGCGGCGGTGTTCCAGTCATAATCCGCACCGGCCCATGTTAAGGCCAGAATAATAAGACCAAAGCCAAAGAGGAACAGTAATTGTCCACCAGCATCGATAACTGACAGTCTGGTGGAGAGCTGTGCAAGATGTCCTGACTCACCCGTCTCTGCCGCCTCGTCGATGTGGGGGAGAGGCTGAGGTCCCAGGAGCTCTTTTCGAAGGATTAAGAAGATCCCAATGATTGCGGCGACGCAGATCGGGAGGTTGATCCCAAAGCACCACCTCCAATTTGTGTTGGTGAGATATCCGCCAATGACGGGGCCAACACCGTAGCTCGTTCCGGCAACGAAGGTGAAAATAGACCAGTTTTTCGAGTTCTCCCGCAAGCTAACTTTATCAGCAAGGATGATACGGACATTTACGTTGATTCCTGCAGCCCCAAGCCCCTGAATGCCTCGACCAAGCAATAACACAGGATACGAACTCGTTGGGGCCCCGGTACAAATGGCACTGCCAATCAAGATAATGATGATACAAGCTTGAAGGGAGGTATGTCGACCAAAGATGTCTGCAATCTGCGCCCAGAAAGGGATGAAGGCGGCGGATGTGAGGTTGAAAGCGGAGATGATCCAGTTCAATTCGGATATCTTGTCTATAACAATCAGTTGGTTTTTCGAGCTACATGAGATTGAAACAGGTCGTACTGAAGTCAGATGCTATCCACGGCAAAGCGCTTGCGATGCTATAAAACCATTATTAGCTACAACTTGTTACGGTAAGTCCGAGGCAGCACTGACATGGTCGTGTCTAATGCTTGTAGAGCAAAGGGGAAGACAAGACCAAGAATGATCTTCCATCGATATATTCGGGCTGATCGCTCTTCTTGTTTGCAAGCTCCGCACTTGCCACTTGATGTAAGTTGTAACGGTTCTTGATCCCCTGAACTCTCGGTATTTGGTCTTGCGGTGGACGAGAGATTACTCATTGGAACTGATGATTGATTGTCTAACGGCGTAGAGTGAACACATGTTGGAGCTGAGGGAGGAGGAGAGGCCTTCTTCCGCTCCTTAGCTTTGCGAATGACGAAAGAGATCATATTGGTCAAGTTTGAAAATGAAAGGGGGGATGAGATGGAAGAATATAAGTCTTATTATATTGAAGAGAGTAGTAGAATAACACTGATTTGAGAGGCTAGGAGATATAAAAGAGCCTTCGACCGTTGACACTTATACGGAAATTCCTCGAATGCAAGAAGTCTACATGGCCGAGACACGCGGGCGAGGCCGCCCTAACTCGTGCCCATTGGCTGTAGCAGCTGTTCAGCCTTGTCCGTCTTGGATTTATGTCGCGAGCTTTGTTAGCGCACCGAAGCGGAGCGGGAGTGGCTCCAATCAACGGATCACAGCACAGCCCTGCAAGTTCGGGCAGCTGTGTCATCGTCGATTGTGCGAGGGCGTCACTACCGATCCATCCCCAGCCTCTGATTCGAAGGATTTTGATGGAACGCAGATTAGGGTGAACATCGTAGGCGGTGCGACTGTCGGGGCGTGTAGCAATTCGCGAGATGCAGCCTGGTTTGGCTTGGCTTGCGTGGGGGACTTACGCTGTCGCACCAGGCACCGACCGTCCACTAACAGAGCTCTCGGAGCTCAGATTAAGCTTTTGATAGCGAGAACGAGAACGGTCGCTATTCGCAGATGCGAGCCGCCTGAAGAGTGTAAGGTGAAGGAACGTTAGGCCGGCAGAATTACCCACAGTTGGAGCCCTCAAACTTCCCAAATGTTTGCCGAGATTGAATTGCATAGCCTCTTTGTGCCGTTTTCCATATTTCCTTTTGGTTTCTCCTGCTCTAGATGACTTCACTGACTACTTAGTAACGACAGTAGTGGTTCTTGCGCGGTGAGCCTTGGAGCTCGTTCCTGCGCTAATCCTCACTACGGAACTTAAGCGAGTGCGAAGAAGTGGGCTGCATAGCCTCAACTCCATAGAACGATATTCAGAACCTTTAAGACCCTCGGCATCTCCGCTGGTCTGGCAAATTCAATGAGACGAGTCGAGTCAAGAATTATTCTTTTAGGTCTTAGTGTGAGGAGGATTCGAAGAGGCTCTTTGAGCGTAGGAGGAATCCTCATACCATTCTTTAGTCAAGTCGAGGAGAAGGAGAGACTGAATGCCCAATTCGATAGAATTTGAGTTTACTTTAAGATATCACTCTCTTCAGATTCAAGGTTGTGATTCCAAATCCGGGGACATGATATTCAAGACTCCTTGAATTCATAACGCTGCATTACTTGGAATCCCACTGTTTCCTCGCCGAGATTGGACAAAAAGTTTGAGGTACCAAAGCTACACTTTCTTGACCGGTTGTCGATATTTCTAGACTTTTACAGGGTGTTCAGGACTCAGAAGGAGCTACTACTCGATCCAGTATCACCTGTGTGATAACAACCCCAATACAAATTTCGGTTTCACGAGTTGAGACGCCCGTCTGCTAGGTTGGAATCGTACACTAGCAAGTTGCCGTCGCGAGGCGCGAGAGCTGAGCACCGAGGCCAGATTCTACATCACTCTTCAAGCTTGCGTAAACACCATGTCGTATTCTCGAACCGCTCATTCGCGTTCAAGACCACAGCCCCTGGAATTGATGAATGCAGATTACCAAAGAATAGGTAGCTTTTGACAGTGTGGTAGACGGTCTTGGCGGTCTGCTTGTAGATAGTTACCGTCTTGTCAAAATTCGCGAATAGTAGTTTCTCGTGAAAGAAGTTATGGGAATAGAGTATGTGAGCATGTTTCAAACGTGCTCAAGAGCTGGGTTGTCAAGAAATAAAATAACTTCAAAGTCTTGGCAACACGAACCCAAGATTTCGAAGCGTAGGCTTCTCTGGAGAATGTGACAGGTATGCTTTGATATAGCGACTCTCTAACAGGGCATGCAAGCCACTTGCCCCGCAAAATGTCAAAATGCGGGGGATCGTGGATGGCGCCCGTCCACAGGGGGAAGGCACATCGCAAGGATCATCATGACCGAATTTCACATGCTTGACAGGCAGGTACGCTGCAATCGGTCATTTCATTTTTTTTTTTTTTTCGTCACTGCAAGAGGCAACCTCTGAGCTGCACGCATGGCCTGTTTACCGCGGCTGGGCCGTATGGATTTCGACCTGGATTTCGAGACAAAGACCCAACTTCTCTGCACCAACCGGCGCCGACCGATGCGTAGTGGGGGGGGATCTTGCTGATGGGATGGGATTCCGTCCGCCCGAGCGTTTCATCTCACTGCTCCACTGGGCTCCGAGTCGTTCTGCATGGCAATGGCAATCCGGCAACCCTGGGGCAGTTCGTTGCCACGGCCTTCGATCATTCCACTTTTTGCTTTCCAAGCTTCAGAGAGAGCCCGACTCTTGGACTATGGGACCTCGCTTCAGACGACGGCCGTTGGGATGAGATATTTGCTGCTGTGGATCTGTCGTATCTAGTACGACAAGATAACCGAGCTCTTTCCACGGACTCATGGGCAACAGGGCTGGCTGCTCAATTTCCCTTCCGCCGTATAAGCGAATGATGAACATCACGGCCCCAGATTGTCACCTTGGCTGATGCGTAACAATCCCTTATATAAGGCGTGATGTGGAGACATTCACATGTCCTTGGGATCCCCAATTGCTGGCTTGAACCTTCAAGTAGCTGGCTTATCTCACCTCCGCCCGCTGCATCAAACGGATGCAACCACCTCGAAACGAGCTCTCAGACACCCGGACCAGCAGCCCCTACAGGTGCAGACGTGATAGCAAGCGTGTGCTGTATGGTGTCTTGAACAGGAAAAGGTGGGTTAAACCCAACTGGGACGAGGGCAGCATACCACGCGGAGTGTTGTGTGGCTTGTATGCTATTGCACAGCAATGTCTGGAAGATACGCTATGCCCAGATCCGCCGCCTGCGGTGTCCCTTGTGACCCCCGTCCCTGACCCCTCACGGGGCTTATAAGTCTCCAACCTGATCTGATTGAATACAGTAATTATCTGACGACGACAAACCCCGCGAGAGGTTTCATTCCCGTTAAATATCCAATCTCCACGGCTGTTGTTTTCCAGCCAGCCAGCCCTGTGTAGGACATCAGTACTGCGGTGCATCGACCGACCCAGGGAGCCGCACCGAAAGAAGCAATCTCCAGGACTAGCATCCTCTCCCCGGTCCCCGCAGCGGCGCTGGAGTGTGGATACAGGCTCTTTTGCGGGTCGCATTTTGGGGGGGAATCGCGTGCCTTGGATCCCGCTGCCCAATAACACTACATCCACTGGTCCGAAAGACTAAACCTAAGACCAACACCAGACTGCACCACGAGGAATCCTCGGCCTCGTCTCGCCCCAAACGAAGGCGAAGGCTTGCACCACCTCTAACCCCCGTGGGGTCTCAGCAAGCACCAGGGAGCGAGTCATCGCTGCTGCGAGACGCCAGTCGTCAGTACCCTGCCGGTCCGCCGTGCGTCTGCTGCGCTCCTGGACTGAGAACGAGAGACTGCTGTAGAAGCTGGTGGGGCTTTCTACCTGGGCTGACACCTTCGCGAGATCTAGAGGCAGCAACGTCATCTTGGGCGGTCCTGTGTCTCTCGTGTCACCAGGCCGAAACCTTCGACAACTGTCACAGCGCATGCACATGTGAAGAGATCCGCAGATCAAGAGACGCAGCGTTTTTGAACGTCCCACTAGAACGACGCTGTTCACTATAGAATCCAGGTAAGACGGATGTCTCTCCTACTCAATGCATGACGATCATGCCTGCTAACATTGGCTCTAGGCTTAAGTGTATAGCGCCTGGCCTTCCGCGCAACTAACCTCTTCGCTTGGCAACTAGCCATATTGCTGATGCGCAACTGCCACGAGGATTGATCATCCAATTGTCAAGTGTTATTTGGGCAGAGTCGATTCGCTCAATAGGCGTGCGGTTCGTTCTGTGAAGTAAGTGAGATCTGATTGCTCCCGGCCATCTTTATCCTGTGTCTCGGCAGATTACGCATATTGGCTTCGCGCGTCGGGCCTGCGGAGGAGCGACAAAACCACTCACACACCCATGCCGCATTCCCTCATGCTCTGGCCTGACCTGGCGCTGGGATACTTGGCTTGGCTGCTCCTCTACATGGAAGTCCATGTAGTGTCCCACATGTCAAGTCGAGAGACTATTACTCCCGTGTGTGCGAGGCTCCACTTATGACCCTCCCCCGTTTGACTTCCCCCCAAGCCGTGTCCTCCTATCACCTATTCCGAAGATTACCAGTTCCGGCTGCCTTCAACCCTCTTATATGTGTCTCAACCTACCGAGCCCCAGGAACCCCAAAACATACTCCCTAGTCTATCACACGTTCCCTCCCTATGGTGCTGCTACCTTCAAGTGGGATGCCAGCCTACTGTCTTCACGACTGCCATTACTTCTACCGCACAGCCTTGCGGGGGTTGAACATCAGCACAACTGTATCTCCTCTTTACGCATAGGGCTCGTTAGCTGACAAAGATGCCCACCCAAGTTCGTATTTTTACTATGCCAAAGTCTCTTGGTGAGACTCTAACGGCACCAATTCCAACATCTCTCTTCTCCCAGACAGTACCCATAAACGGAGACACCCCTCGCAGCAACGGAAACACTACCCCGAAGCCACAACAGACCATTATGGCACCGCAGGAAGAGAAGCCCCATGAGGGGATTACTTTTGCGTCCCAGGATAAGCTGCCGAAACTTCCCATCCCCGACCTGGCCAGCAGTTGCAATAAATATCTAGCTGCTCTGAAGCCTCTTCAATCTCCTAGAGAGCAGTCCGACACTAGGCGAGCCGTTCAAGAGTTCTTGAGGCATGAAGGGCCTGAGTTACAAGAGAAGCTGAAGAAGTATGCGGAGGGAAGGACGAGTTATATCGAGCAATTCTGTAAGCTTTTGTTCATTGTGGCATCCCAATATAAAGCTAACATAGTTCAAGGGTACGATTCGTATCTCAACTTTGACAATCCCGTCGTTCTCAACCTCAACCCTTTCTTCCTGCTGGAAGACGACCCAACTCCGGCACGAAACAATCAAGTCACCCGAGCAGCATCATTAGTTGTATCAGCGCTCGAGTTTGTCCGAGCAGTCCGAAAGGAAGAGCTACCTCCCGATACAATTAGGGGCACGCCACTATGCATGTACCAGTACTCGAGGCTATTTGGGACGGCCCGAGTGCCGACGGAGAATGGATGTCAGATTGAACAGGACCCAGAGTCAAAGCACATAATCGTGATGTGCCATGGCCAATTCTACTGGTTCGATGTTCTCGACGATAACTCAGATCTGATCATGACGGAGAAGGATGTGTCCATCAACCTGCAAACCATCATCGATGACGCAACTCTGACACCTATTCAGGAAGCAGCCAAGGGTGCACTCGGTGTTCTCAGCACGGAAAATAGAAAAGTGTGGTCTGGCCTAAGAGATGTTCTGACCAGGGAGGAGGGTTCCAATAACGCAGATTGTCTCAGCATTGTCGATTCAGCGCTATTCGTCCTCTGCCTTGACTACACGGAGCCGGCTGATTCTGCTGCCCTCTGCCAGAACATGCTTTGTGGAACGAGCGAAATCGAGAAAGGTGTCCAGATTGGTACTTGTACAAACCGCTGGTACGACAAGCTTCAGATCATTGTCTGCAAGAACGGAAGCGCGGGAATCAACTTCGAGCATACTGGTGTGGATGGCCACACTGTTCTTCGTTTCGCGAGCGACCTATATACAGATACAATCTTGAGATTCGCTCGGACCATCAATGGGCAAGCCCCAACTCTTTGGGCATCGACCAGTCCGGACCCCTCCAAGCGTGACCCCGAAAGCTTTGGCGATGTCAACACAACACCGCATAAGCTCGAGTGGGACTTGATCCCAGAATTGAGGGTGGCCGTTCGATTTGCTGAAACTCGACTCGCCGATTTGATTGAGCAGAACGAATTCCAGTGTCTGGACTTCCAGGGCTACGGCAAGAACTTCATGACCTCAATGGGCTTCTCACCCGATGCTTTCGTCCAGATGGCTTTCCAGGCAGCATACTACGGTTTATATGGCCGAGTAGAGTGCACTTACGAACCAGCTATGACCAAAGTCTACCTCCATGGGCGAACTGAGGCAATCAGAACTGTATCGGAAGAATCTGTGAACTTCGTTCAGGCCTTCTGGGCCGACAACCCGGCAGAGCAGAAGGTTGAGGCACTGAAGAAGGCTTGTCAAAAGCATACAGCCACCACAAAAGATTGCGCTAAAGCTCAAGGTTGCGATCGACATCTCTACGCACTGTTCTGTCTTTGGCAGAGGTTGATAGATGAGGAGGCTAGTGCATTGGGTAGCGGATTGAGCAGCAACGGCTATTCCAGCCCCGTGGACGCCGGCTCTGACCGGGATGCTATGTCAGCCGTAGGCAGCCCTGGAAAGGACTCTGTCTTGTCGTCGGTGGACGGAGAAGCGAGGCTCCCTCGAGGTCGAGGTGACAGCACCGGATCAAGGGCTGGCAGTTCGCTTCCTCTCATATTTGCTGACCCCGGCTGGGACAAATTGAATGCCACAATCATTTCGACCTCCAACTGTGGCAACCCATCTCTACGTCAATTTGGATTTGGTCCAGTATCAGGAGAAGGATTTGGTATCGGCTATATCATCAAGGACGATGGCATCTCGATCTGCGTTTCTAGCAAGCACCGACAGACGAAACGGTTCATCGACACCCTGGAGAGCTATCTCCTCGAAATCCGTCGTATTCTGAGAATCACCACTCGTCGATCGACAACTGTCAAGCAGACTCGTGCCCGCGAGATTGAGCACATGAGGCCCAAGCCCGTCAACCGTGTCAAGTCACGAGGCCGCTTGATCACAGGCGCCGAGACCATCAGGAGCCAGAACAGGAGTCAGAGATCGCTGGCGGGCACACAGTCACCAACCGAAGAGAGCGTCACGCTTAGTGAAGACGATGAACTTGGCGGATGTAAGTACCAAAGACTCTTGAGCAAAAGTTTATCTTTACTAATAATGGATTGTAGACGGCTTTTTCGACGCTGGAATGCTCCTCCAAGCACTCAAGGCACGTGGCGAGAATCCTGACACTGGCGAGACGAAGCCTTCGGAGCGAGCTGCTATTCAGGCTCGCAGGAGAGATGTAGGCAAGAAGTTGAGGTTGATTGATTACTAGGAACGGAACTGGACCTTCACTTTGGGCGGATCGTGTCAAGGGTGGTTTATTCCCACAACTGTGGCGGCATGTATGGTATGATATATTTGCAAGGATATCGGGCCAGTTTGTACTGTCAAGCATCAGCGAAGTGTAAAGCGAGTATATAGCAGCGTATTGAGCAATTGTCGTTAGGTTGCCATTGTCTATCTTTCTGTTTATGCACTCGTCTTAGACTCATCACATCATCTATCGCTATTAAGTATCTACACACATTGATAGAGCGCCGCGCAGTGATCTAATGCATGTCTCAACTAGGCTCTTGTACCGCCTTCTCTGCTTTTATCTTGTGAACCGCAACCTCAGCAGCCATAGTCCTCGCCTCCTCCTTATAGTAAGCGCCTTGGACATCTGCAACGCACCGGTCGCCAACGTAGACCTTGCACGCAAACTCCGGGTCGCCATCATCCCTCTGCGCCGTCTCGACGACGTACTTGACAGTCTCCCTGTCTGCCAGCCGCCCCAGCTCCTCCTTCGGGTGGAGGATGTGGATGTCGTCCCGCAGCACACGCTCCAGATACGGCAAGATGCCCGCCCGCCGAAGCAGCTCGGCGCACTGATCCATGGACCCCGAGTCGACCCACACGGCGCCGATCAGGCTCTCGAAGATGTCCGAGAAGAACTTCTGGGCGCGCAGCCGCGCGAACAGCGTCCAGGGGTAGTGTGTGCCGCTGCGCAGCGCGGCGATGATGCGGCCGCGCAGCTCGGCGTGGCGCCTCATCGTCTTCTCCTGCTCAAGCGCGAGCTCGGTGGACGAGAAGCGCATGAAGCTCCACAGGGGTTGATCGAACTCCGACTCCACGAGCGTCGGTGCCTGCTGCTCGCTGCCGTCGGCTATGTCGACGTCGAAGCGTTGCTGCTTGTGACTCCATTCCATGACGAGGAAGCCGAGGATGTCGCCATTTACGAGGGCAGTGCGCAGGAGATGCATCTGGAAATTCTCAAGCTTGGGTTTGTCGTGGTCAAACACCGCTTTGACTACCAGGTTGTCGAGTATTGCATCGCCTAGGAACTCGAGGCGGTCGAAACATGCCTTGATTCCTGGCACATTGTATGACGCGTGGGTCATGGCTTCGACGAGCAGTGATTTCTTCTGGAAGGTGTACCCCAGAAGCTTCTCCAGAGGCTCGAGGGTGGACGGTAGCGCCATGTTGTCAGGCGCATGGTTGTACAAGATCTCCCTGCAAGTTTCCAAAGGCATCCAATTGAGCATTTTTGGTTTCGGGGGCAGGAACAGTGAGATGCATTTCAGGGCCTTTGGCAGCCCGCCATCGTCCCAAGAAACGCCGATCAAGGCTTCGACAACATCTGCCAGAGTCTTTGTGGATAGTCGCCGTGTATTACTGAGGCCCTGTGGCACAGCCACCAGGTCATCCACATACGGAGGTCTCCATTTGTTGAGTGTCAACTGCCTTGTGATAATGAACTGATCCAGACCAGTAGCTTCTGCAGCCTTGGACAAACTTGAGTTACTAACAAACGTGTCTTTCAGGGGCGATAGTAGACCTTCTGGCCAGTCGAGACCTTTTTGATGTGATTAGCTAGACCGAAATCTTGTCCAAAGAAAATGATACTCACGGGCTGCCGAAATGTTCACTGTGACACACAGCTTGAGTATGGAGTCCCCCACGAATTCGATCCTCTCGTAATTCACTGGCTCTCTGGCACTGGTGGCACAGATAGCTTCGACGACAGAATCGATGCTAGACAGTTCAAGGCTCTTCAGTCGAGTTGACATTAGTTCAGCCGCCACGAGGTACAGCTCGAAATAGTGAATGATTGATGGAATAAGTAAGCCAAATTGGGCGTACACCAATGGTACAGTATCGGCTCTGGCATCAACGGCAGGTAAGACACGGGGGTGAGGCCTGGTGCTCTTGACGCTCTCTGTGGGTGGGAGAGGTCGATGGAAAAAACCTGTCTTCTTGGGCCATCTTCCGAGACTGAGGTACGGCGTGTCTTCGGGGGACTCTTCGAAGTTGCGATAGATCTGTTGCACAGATTCGATTGGCGGTTTGGATGGTAGTATGCCACGGTAGAAATAAGGCGTGTTGACCACGTCCCTGATGAGATACTCGAGGCCCTCGCTCATTCGTTCCGGGTCAAATGGCACCTTGGCTATCTGCTCCGTTAATATATCTGCGTTACGAGCCACGAATTGCAGAACACAAGCTTTATCCATGACTTCCCAGCGGTGACAATATGCGAGACTCAAAAGCGCAGAAGTATGGTCTTTGGCTTGTTGAACGTCTGATCCCAAAAACTTCGCTGTTCTTTGATCCGATCCTATTTGCAAGGTCCACTGAGTTTCATGATCCCAATGCAGCGCAAGAGGTTTTGCCTCTGGTATAGGCACGGGCAATCTAATTTCGAATTCACACATCGTTGTACCATGCTCATCAAGAAGTCTGACAGGACGCCGGTACAGGTCGACATTATTATTTCTCCAAGCATGCGCAACGTCGAGCCACGGATTGAACTGCTCCTTAACCAGAATCATACCAGGCCGAGCCTCGACATCTTTTGCCAGGTCGGACTCTTTCAACGGTAGAAGATGCTTATTAACCAATCCAGCATTGAAGAGCGCTTTGTATGCCTGGAATGCGGCATCTTTCCAAGCATTTTGTTCTGATTGCCAGGCTTGAATACTCTGAGCTCGGCGAAGACCCTCAGGAAGTGAGATTGGAAGAATGACGGTCGCTCTTAGCAGTGTTGCTGAGCCTACGATGACCTTTTCTGTGATATAGTCGGGGTTCCAGTCGACGTACTTTCTAGAGCTGAGAGTGGCGCAGAAGTGTTCCAGATGCGACCTGGCATCATCCAGCGTCAGTCGGGCTCCTGTCTCTTCTACAGAGAGAATGGGATAGTTAGGAGATTCTGAGTGCTCCAGCTCCTCAATCTGTACAAGCTCTCGCATCTCGTCCTCATAACGCCTCTTCATCTCCTTTTCTCGCTCTTCCCACTCGGTCAGTGATGCAGATTGTGCTTCGTGCAGAAGCACCAGACGTGATGACTTCATTCTGGCCCTGCCACGGCGTTGAATGAACACCTTGAGATTCGTAGGCTTGTCAAAGCATATTACCAGATTGCATGCCGGTACATCTATACCTTCCTCGAGTACACTCGTTGCCACCAGGAGGTTGGTCTTACCAGTCCGGAAATTCTGGAGATGAAGCTGCAACTTATCCTGCTCCAAGTCCAGGAAGCCTTGTTTTACACTAGGAATGGAGCTCGTTCCCACCATGGTGCCGACACGATATCTTTGACGGATAGAAGGATGTAGGTTTAACACATGGGCAACAATGGCTGTCGTCGCTCTGTCTTTGACAAAGACAATTCCCACGGCATCTTCTTGATATAATAGTAGTGTGTTGATTAACTGGTGCATCTTATGTGAGAAGTCGCTATCCCTGAGCGGAGAAAGAGGTGGCAAGGCGGCTTTAATTCGCTGAAGAACACCAGTGAGGTATGCCGTCTCTGGATCGAGTGATAGATCGGCTCCTTCGGTATCATTCGCAGAGAGAAAGCGTTCAACGGCTTCGTGGATGTAATAGTCTGTGGGCCATGGGCCCAACTCTTGACAAATATTGCGAGCTCTTCCATTGAACGAGTTCATCTGTTTCTGAACATATGTATCCCGCGAGATAAGTGCCTCACGGAGTTTCCTCCGGCTCCTATCAGTATTCTCAAACTTCCATTTCAGGATAGATGGATCTTCCTGGATGTCGAGAGAATTGCGGGCCTGATGCAAAATCGACATTGCTGCAGTGAGACCTTCTGGCACAGCTACAGGGGGACTGGGCGTAAATGGTACTTTAGTCATGACAGGTCGGTTGACATGAGTTAGCAGCTCATCTCTATGTATTGTTGGGCTTCTGCATATTGAATCGAGCGTAGCCTCTAACTCTTCCAAGTCTTTAAGACTGGATGATACAACAGGACTTGCCGTTAGGCCCAATATGTGCGGTACATGTTGCTGTCGCGCCCTCGCCTCTCGATAGAAGTCACTCATGATTCGTTTACCGGCGGACTTTCCACGACAATTATGCGCTTTGAAAAGCATTAGCGGCCACGTAGGAGCCAAGTATATCAAGGACTGACCTTCGTCAATGACGATCAGAGCGAGAGACTCCATTCGTACGAAAGCATGGCTCAGGGCATCGAAGAGGACTTGATACGTCGATATAACTATCCGAACATTGAGAAGGACAGCATCCCATATTCGCTGCTCTGACCAGGCGTCTACGTTGTCAGCGCCGCTGATCAATTTAGACTGAAAACCGGGTATCTGCGACTTGAGCACTTCGAGATGTTGTGAGCAAAGGGCAACTGTTGGTGCTAGCATCCATACTATCTGTAGCAAGTCTTTAGTACTCTTGAGGAAAGGGATTGCAATATAGTCATACCCGTTCTGACGGTGCTTTGTCAAGCTCTGCTTTGATTCTAAGGATTGCTCTTCAACAGAGTCAGCTCGATATTTCATTCTTAGAGAAACGCCGGTGCTTACACTTGAGTTTTGCCGCTGCCAGTGTCCATCTATGAACGTTAGTCTGCATGCCAAGATCAAAGTGTAAGGTCAGGGGTCCATGTACCGCAACGATGACATTCTGCTTGAGGCTCGCCTCGAGCATCTCCTGCTGGTAGGCTCTTGCCATGATGGGCCTTGAGTCACTGAGCCCTTCCGAAACCGCGTTGCCATCAGGTGTGTCTTCAGTACTTGACCTTCCCTCTTGGTCTACCTTATAGCCTGGGCAGTCTGCATCATTGATGTGCTCATCCACGGGGGCCTCCTCTTCGGAGGAAGAGAAGTCGCTATAAGACGCCATCTCTGTCACTTGCCAATCCTGCCCTGATAGAGGGAAGCGATGACGAGACCTGTCCTCTGGCTCTTGCGCGGCTGCCATCTGGCTGCAGCGGTGACTAGATTGGTCGGAGTGTGACGCGGCTCTTCGTGGATGGGATTGGGGACGATACCGGGACTGCTAATGCATCCACACAACCAACTTAAAAGTAGAGCCGCAGGAGTTTCCGAAATTGTTGCAGGGAGAAGGAACGATGAGAGAAAAAAACGAATTGCTTAATTCTGAGCAAAATCTGAGATAATTCAGGTCCTTATAGAAAGAAAAACCAACTTGATTTCAGACAATAAAACTTTTGATCAGACTCAAAACCTAGAGCCTGTGCAGGAGGCCTACCATAGAAGCAATTATTGTGTGTTCCAGGAACTGCAGTTTTGGGAGAATGAGCCAACCGCAACAGCTTACCAACGGACTCACGTACCAAAGAAGCCAATAAGAAATCAAAGCACATAAGACTACTGCGAGAGGCCGTCAAGGCCTAGAGAAGGTGATAGACATGTCTTCTGTTCCAATTTGACCTAGCGAATGGAGAATCCACGTCTGCAGCCTAGACTAGATTATGAAGCCAGAATGACGGTTTTGTGGTTGAGGAAGAGGTGGCCGTGGCAATGAGGCCAACAAGGCCAACAACGTAAGGCCTTCTCTCCCGGGCGAGAGTTAAGGTGGGGGCTAAAGTAAGCTTGGCCGTTGCGACAGCTTCTTAGTGTAGAGAGCACCCGCACCCATTCGTCATCCCCTTCCGTCACGTAGGATTCTGGTCCGGTCGGTGAGGTCCGAGACGCGCATTCTCTCGGCCGAGTGACTAAGAGGATGATTCTGTGAAGCAAGCATGGAACTGTATGCAGCCGGATTCAATGCCTGGAACCAGCTGCGTTTCGATTCGACAGCGAACGACGAGGATGACTCTGAGCCTGAGGACATCTCGTCCTTTACATGCGTTCTAGAAGACGCTCATATCGAACGCCCTCGGTCTTGGCTATCTTTCACTATAGGTTTGGATCCAATTTCCCTTCTTGAGTAGTATCATTCAACTTGTTTTGTATCCTTATCGTCGTCATACTACACTGTTGCCTACAGTGAGTCAACGACTCCTGTAGCCACTTTCGTAGTTGCACTAGCCAAATACTCAAAGCGGCAATAGCACCGATATTCAATGCTGACATTTTGATCAGTCGAAACAAGCAGTGGCTTGAGAAGTGCCGGCTCCCTCTCAAAGGATCATGCCAGGCTGTATTCTCGCCCTCAGGAGTCTCGCCTGATAGCAGAAGCATCAAACGGCGCTGCTGTAGGTTGTAGCACCTTTTCGGATTGTGCTTCCATTGGCACTGACCATTGCATCAGCTCTTGACAAAGATGGAGTCCTGCACCAGTCTCCTTCCCTGAATGCTCTCCTCAACAAACATGACCACGAGTCCTTCGCCCTTAAAGAAGAGCTTACGCAGCTAGTGGCATACGACACAGGCTTTGTCGCTCTCTCCTCAAATGGTCAAGTTTGGACCTGGGGAGATGAGAGATACGGTTCATGTCTCGGGCGAGAAACCTCTGAAGAAAGGTAAGAGACGATATCGAGACTGGTAATTAGTTCTCGTCGTACTGACATGACATAGTCCTGCGGATCAGCCTGGTCTGATTCCGGAGCTTCAAGACTTACCCACGGGACCTATCACCAAAGTAGCAGCTGGAGGATATATTGTCGGTGCTCTCACCTCAGGACATGACCTCTATCTCTGGGGTGGGCGCCCAGGTACTCAGCCGGTTGTGGAGGGTATCGGTATGGAACCGATGCCGATCGATATCGAGGGCAAGGACATATTAGACATGGCCGTGGGAGGATCACATATCGTTGCGCTGACAACGGACCGTGAGGTATATGTTATTGGTACCAATGATAACGGACAGCTTGGGTCAGCACTTGCATCAGCGAATGTGTGGACCCAGGTCGACTTGGGCCTGGGGGAAAGGCGACGTATCACTGGAGTGGCTGCAGGCCCAAGATGTTCATTCATCTTAGTGCAAGAAGTCTAAGCAACTGTTGATAACCACCTTTATCGCTTTACCTGTGATCTTTATTCTATGGTACAAGGGTAAGTGACATCTGCTCTAGGACGTAAGATGCAGCTATCACAGATTCGTCAAATAGTCCTCAATCTCCTGGGGACTGAGCTTCCGGAAGCGCGGTCCCGTGGCACCTTCAACACCCTCAACTCCGAGTAGATGATCTGCAGGTGGTCCAACAATACCTAAGAAACTGATTAGTCTAATCCAGTGCCAGCCGTTGCGCCAGACTTACCAATCTCGATAGTCTCGCCGTTCATCTCTCCCTCGATTGTCTCCTTCAGGGTAAGAAGCGCAATGTGTACGGCGTCCTCCAACTCTAGACCTTCCGTGTACCTCTTCTCCAAGAATGTCTTCGCGGATGTAGCACTCTTGCCGATGGCGGTCGCCTTCCACGGAAAGTAGCTTCCTGAGGGGTCTACCTGGTACAGCATGGGACCGCCCTTAAGGATCCCGCCGGTCTTGCCAGATGGCTTCTTCTGTTCGCCCTCGGTAACATCGCCCTCCTTCTGCTCTTCCTCGTCCTCGGGCAGGATGCCCTCGTCCCAACCAGCGATCAGCAGGCTAACTCCAAACGGCCGGACACCGCCCGATTGCGTAGCCTCCTGCATGACTCTGGCGACATCCTGGACCAATATTCTCGTCGGCGGGTACTCGTTGTAGATGCGCTTGTAGCCGGTATGTGAGACCTTTCGCGCCCGATCGACCAGTACTCTGTAGTCGGGTCCCATGCCGGAGTAGACCATGCCGATGTTCGGGGTGATGAGGCTGACCTTGGAGAGGGATGAGGGATCGGCGAGAGGTGATGAGGACTTCTTCTCGGTTGCTAGTACGATGCCATTGGTGGCTGGAGGGAGTCAGTCTGTGAGTTTATCGTTTATCCCATCGGGTTCAGTGTAGACAACATACCCTTGATTCCGAGCGCGGTGACACCTTGATTGACTGCATTCAATGCATACTCTGCTCAACCTGTCAGCTCCGACTCATCATTCTTCATCGTCAAATTCTAGAGCGAAGGAAACTCGAGTTCATCTCGGTGTCGTATCGCCAACTGAAGGCACTGACCAATCTGTACCAGCTTGCCGCTAGATGGAGGTTAGATGCTGCGGTGTCGACCAAGCGAGGGACAAGGGAACTTACCTGGGGGAGAAGGTGGTGAGGGAGAATGAATACCGGTCAGCCATGATGAATGCTTGTGAGCAGGCTGTGACGATGAGCTTAGATACCGGTAGAGGTGCGTCGTTGGTGAGAGGTTGTGTCTGTGTATGTTGGAGAGGTCGAGGCTGGCTGTGGAGCTAGCTACCGTCCGTACCTTCTTACCAAACAAGCTCCAGGCACGGTGAAGTTTGCGCGTCGAGCTGCTGCCAGCTACCATAGGTAATTACTGCACCTCAGGTACAGTAGCTTTCCAGGCGCCAGGCTGGCTTACCTCAGTGCGTTTTAGCGCAGCAGTGCAGGGGCCAGCTTGACGGTGTAGCACGTGACATCTCAGGGCGGTCCGACCAGATCTCCGTCCGTCGGCGACTTCTTGTCACGGATTGGCCGGCGAGGCTAAAAAGCTCCTACCTTACATTTTGCTTGTCTCAAAAGCTCAAATCACAGTCACGAATAACCATTGACCCTGAGCTTGCTTGCGAGTGCCAGCTCAGCCGATACCTATGGATTCTTTGTCATCTTGAAAGCTTCTAACGAGCTTAGCCTAGCTACATAACCTGGCTTTCTCCGTTTGCATTTGGCTTCTGGGACATGTGGCCTGACAGCCTTTTCCATGAGTCCTACTTCCTTAGCTTGAGGCTTGGAGCACCTGTCGGTGGCTACCTTACCGTGACCTGCACAGCTTGGCGTTCGCTGGCCTTCCCCAACTTTCTTTATATTGGCTGCACCCCACACACTGGAGAGCTCTCAAACACACAAGCTCCCAACCTTCATCATCATCCTCCATACCTCTTATTAGTCTCATTGCTTTTCTATTTACTGTGTTGCTGTTTATGGACCGGCAAGTGACCGAAACAGGAGGAAGCTTCTCACCAGTACATACCGGCTAAGCTTCGCTGGCCTTGCCGAGACTCATCTCTCAGGCTCACGCCAACGTACACAAGATCACATTGGGCACACGACAACAGGGTGTCTTGTTTGCTGGTGGCTAAACTTATTCTGGATATATCTCAGTATATGAACTGAAGTTGGGTATTGATATTATGGACGGCCTGGACCAGGATTCTGCTATGCCTAGACCACAATGGTCATGGCCATCAGACATACCATCCAACCCGCCTAGTTCGGAGGATGCTACGTCTCCAGACAACACTCACCCCACAGCTGCCGAGCAACCCGAAAGTGCCCCCTCGGGGCAGCCGCCGCCACGCGAACGGCACTATCCTTCGCGGACCTGCCGTATATGTCTTGAGGTCGTTAATCCGTCATTCGAAGTCAACGAGGGTGTTTCGTCTTTCTTGGCCGGCAAGCCGAAGGTCAGATACGTATCCGAGGACCCCGAATTGGGAAGACTCATCAGTCCTTGCAAGTGCAAAGGTACCCAGAGATATGTCCATGAAGGCTGTCTTCAAGCTTGGAGACAGGCAGCTCCTCTGTCCGACCGCAACTTTTGGAAATGCCCAACATGTCACTACGAATATCGCCTCGAGCGTCTAAGATGGGGCCGCTGGGTCGGGAGTCGCATCGTGCGCGCCGGCCTTACGCTCCTAGTCCTCCTTTTCACAATATTTATTCTGGGCTTCTTCGCGGATCCCATATTGAATCTCTGGTTGGACCCGCTCGGGACTATCGCTGATACCGTGGCGGATGTGATCGACGATATCGAAGCCATAAAACCGCAGGACGAGGATCCAGGTGATTGGCTTGATCACTTCTTAAAGGGATTGTTCTCGCTGGGGCTGCTTGGGTTTGTCAAGGCATTCTTTGCCATGTCACCGTGGCATTGGTGGAATGTCCGTACGTCTCTTGGAGGTGGCCGTCGTGGAACTGGTCGAGATCGGATCGAGAGTATTAGCTGGGCTATTGTCGCCGTGGGAGTCATCACGTTCATCGGCGTAAGTCGCCTTTTTGCCTGCTAGACGGCCATTCATTGCTAACGAGATAATAGGCTGTATGGAAAGCTATCAGTGTCCTCAGTGCTCGTGCTCTTGAAAAAGCCAGCGAGAGAGTAGTTGACGTCCAGGGGGACGACGATGCCGATGAGGAAGGCGAGGAGACTGAGACGAGAAAGGACAAATGAGCCATTCTACATGGTAGAAATCAAGCACATCCTGCATCGTCCCACATTTGATCCCCATGACACTGCCGTGACCACGTCATGCACACTCTTAAGTTGCCTCGACCTACTCTTCCATGTTGTGTCAACTAGTCTGTGTGCAGAGATTGAAGTCTCGCTTTCATCCTGCATGTCAGGCGTCTTGTCCAGCATGCACAAAGGACTGAATCGGGGCACGTCAACCTGCAGAGCCACTTCCGTGGCATCCTGGATCTTTCATGACCACTTCCCACGCTCTAGTGGCTCCTACGTACCCCCAGGTACACTGCCACAATCTGTGCGTTTAGAGATGTGGGCCGATTTTATGGTTGATATATGCTTATTCCAACCTGTAGGAGTTAACATAAATTGAAGAGTATCATGACTACTTGAAAACGAATATGGAGAGAACGCTGGGTTGTTCGGTTCATTGAGAGGCGCATGTGCAGTCTCGATATTGCAGTGTACGCTCTCCTTCAGCAAGGACAAACAGGTAATTTTAGGAGATGCCGGCAGACAGCATCGAAAATCCCGGGCGGCGATCGATGTGGATCTCTCGCATTCCAGGTTCTGGGCCAGCTGTCGGCTGAGAGAAGCGCTAAGTTGTCACCTAACGCAGAAGCCAACAGCCGCCTGGCAGCCGTTGCATCCCAAATTTCTGTGGCCGCCGGTTGTTACCATGTCTCTTGCGAACCTACCCGCCGCGAAGGTATATTAAATCGTCTTATCTGAAGTGACTTTGCTTTGAACAAATTTGTCGTAACGTTTCTTCTATCAAGACTCTCGTGCATCTATGTATAGGCTTCTCATAGGTAGCTGTCTGTGTCCTAATTACATATGAGATCTGGCGATCACTGTGTTGTCTCAAAACGCCAATCGCCTAGCTAGCACGTATGATTTTCGATAGGCTACCTACCCCCTGAGGAAATCTGGAGTATTGACGTACCAATGAATACATCAAAATCGTCACTTATAGGCAACCATATTTTAGAATGATGAATGCTACGATGTTTGGGTTGTTGAGCTGAATGTCGTCTTAGTGAGGCGCCTTGGAACGTCAGGGGTGGCTCCAATTCTATTTGCAGGTGGTCCCTTTTTCGACTCGTGCAAATTATACGAGAAAATTAGCCGCATCTCATCCCGCGACGCTGGTCCCTCTTTAAAGCCCCCCCGTCCCTTTATTTCCCACACCACCAAACGGGAGACTTTCGCAACGAAGGGGAACGACCGCCACGCACGCGCGCACGACCTACGACCAACCCAGACGCCGCTTGAAGGCCGTTGCAGGCCGTGGCCGACAGACCATTGCTCACCGACGATGCATTACGCATATCCTCCACGGAAGAGCTCGAATCCCGCGCCCTATCTGCCGCGCAAGTCTAGGGGCGGCTTGCCTCCTGCCATCAGACGCATCCGACCCAAGACGATCGCCCTCATCGGCCTCGCGTTCCTCGCCTTCATATACCTCATTGCCGGCCGGGGAAGCAGTAGGAAGTCGATATCGGTGGCGCAACATGTCCCGTCAGGCAATCCGCCCGCAGTGCTTGTGACGGTGTTCGACAGTGGGAAGTTTGGAGCGCCGTATGTCGAGATCGTCAAGGAGAATAGGAAGGCCTACGCTGAGAAGCATGGTTCGTGATCCATGAGCATGCACAAAACGAGCAGCCTTGTGACAATGCTGACATGATTTTGGGCAGGCTACGAGACTTTCTTACCGCACGTTGGCGACTTCGACCTCAATGGCGCACCAATGACCTGGACAAAGGTCGTCGCCCTGCGCGCGGCGCTGACCAAATATCCTGATGCCAAGTACTTCTGGTTTCTGGAGCAGGACGCGCTGATCATGAACCCTGAGATATCGGTGGAAAACGAGCTGATGAAGCCAAGTAACATCGAGAACATCATGATCCGCGATCACCCTGTTGTGCCTCCCGACAGCATCATTAAGACGTTCTCGCATCTTAAGGGCCAGGACGTGGACTTGGTGATCACTCAGGACAAAGAAGGCCTGTCGACATCGAGCTTCATTGTCAGGAATACAGAGTGGGCGCGGTTCTTCTTCGAGACGTGGTTTGATCCCATCTACAGGAGCTATAACTTCCAGAAGGCGGAGACACACGCATTGGTACAGCCCCCGTCGTTTTTTGGATAGCCCTTAAGGACATTAGTACTAACAGTTGCCCTCCTTCAGGAACATATCGTTCAATGGCACCCCACAATCTTGTCGAAGCTGGCCCTCGTGCCACAGCGGACGATCAACTCCTACAGCTACCACGCTAAGGGCGAGCAGTACAAGGAGGGCGATAACATCGTGCGGTTTGCGACGTGTGCTAGAAACACACCTGCAACCTGCGAGAACGAGCAGGAGCCCTACACTGCCACCTGGCGGGCGCTCTTCAAGAGCTCATGATGGAGGTGACAGGAAGGCTAGCATCTAAATGGTCCCATTTTATCGTCTGCAGTCACCATGACCAGGAGGCAGGAGAGCCATCTCCTCTCGGCGTTAATGTAGTTGGAGATTCATCACCAAGGTCTAGGGGGGTTGCCGCATCTGGCGTTTTGTATGGAACATGTGTTTGATCATGGTGGTGTCCTTGCAAGGGGCACCCGGCAATAACCTGGAGTTGAAAGCTTTCCAATAGATGGTCGGCGGAATTTGACGAGCCCCGTGCTTGCTCAACTGGCGCATAGCTTGTTTGTGTGTTGTTTACTACCCAGCATCTAGGAGTAATTCTGTATATTATTACAGCCATGCATCTCCATTTCTCTCAATATGTCCGTTCGTGCCATAGCTACCGTACATGTCCCATGCTGCCAAATTCCTTATGCGATATGACCCTAACTCCAAATGCTATGCGGTGAAAAAAAAATGCAAATTCCCTCGTACCAGACGGGTATCAAGATGCTCATGAACAATATAATGGTCATCACAATGCCCCGTCAGCGTGCGGGCGGGCTCGACACGGAGGCGAAAGACTCGCCCTCAAAAGACGTGCTTCTTCGGGACGCCCACTTCTTCTTCAAGTTCGCCCAGTCCGCCTTCCAGTTCTGTATGCTCTGGACGAGCTCTGGATCAGCGTCTGGGGGGATGTACTGTAGACACTGAACCTCGATGGCCTTCAGCTGGAGACGCAAGTGTCTAAGGTCCGACTCGGCTTCCTGAACTTCATCCTGGCTGTGGAAAGGGGTTAGCATGAGCACAGTGCCTCAGGAAAACCAATCCTACAGTTCTTCGACGCGGCCTTCGAGCTCGAGGATACGCTCAGCTGCACGTTCCTCTCTTTCAATAAATAAGTTGTGTAGATGCTATAGCAGAACGTCTGTTAGCCATGGCGAACTTGTCTGCCAGTCTTTACGGGGAGATTCTTGCATCTGACTCTTCTCTCCTGTCCTGGAGGCTCTTGACCACCTCGGACATCTCAGCGCATAGCTGCTCGGCCTCCTGCACGATCCGCTCTGCCACCTCCGCCGAGATCTTGCGTGGTCCTGGCTCGGGCCGGACGGCGTCGACGGCGTTGCCATCCTTGCCCGTGTCTCTGCCCTTGTCAGCACCTCCAAGCACGGAGGTATGCGTCGAGTCTGCGCCGTAGAAGTGCGACATGACCCAGGACGGCGACATGATGCCGAACGGGTCCTGCTCATCGATGGCACCGCCTCCGCCGCCGACGGAGGAAATCCCTGATACCGGCCGCGACCTCGGCTGCTGCTGCCGCGACCGCCTCTTTGCCGCTGCCGCCGCCGGCCTGTCCTTGGCCGCCAGGACGGTCTCCATCTCGTCGACCTTGGCGTGGAGGGCGCTGATGTTCCCGTCGTGCAGCACGCTGGTGTCGCCGCGCGACAGCCGCTGGACCAGATCCGTCAGGCGCTCCACCAGGACGTCCCTGCTGTCCTGAGTGAGCTCGTCGGTCGCCTCAGACCGAGAGCCGTCTGCATCATCGTCATCGATGCCCTCGTCCTCGTCCTCCTCCTCTGAGATGTCTGCCCCGACGGACGGCGGGGGCGGCGACAGCGAGTGACCCGAGAGAGGGGAAGAGAACTGGCGGCGCAGCGGCGACAGAGGCGCTATGCCCAGCTGGTAGAGACTCATTGGCGATGGGAGCTGTGGTGATGTGACTGGCGAGCGTGCATGATTATGAGAATGAGTATGAGTATGAGTATGAGTTTCAGGTTGAGCTTGATGAGTTCGCGGAGGCGTTCGAGGTGCGGACGTATGAGAGCGTATGGTCCCCGTAGGCGTAGCAGAGCGCCGGCCAGCGGTGACGTCGGCGTCACCCGCCGCGTCGGAATCCTGATCAGGCATTGGTGAAGGTGGTGTGGTGTGGTGTGATATCACGATGAGTGAAGATTGGGTTGTCGCGTGTTAGGGGGAACGGCGACTTCTCGCTTCAGAAGTATGGGGCTGTGATAGCGCACTAACATGCATCGTTCCCCTCGCCTACGACTTCTATAGCTGTTTTGACCGCTTAGCAGAGGCCTAGAACATGGAGCATAGCTGGCTAGAATATGCAGTTCCAGCCTCCGTTTCCTCCCGGTAGATTCTTTCTGATGAAGGGATCTTCTAGGATCTGCTTCCGATTACGCCTCCTTGTTGCCCGAGTTGTATGCGCAACTCGACTGATCACACTTCACTTCAAGTACAATGTAGAGGGCGTAATCAGCGGGGAGCCTTTTCCCTCCATAGCAAACTGGCATGTGATTAACGGCAAGCAGCATGTATATTTGCTTGGAGTTCCACAACCAAGAGTACAAGTTTGAACAGCCCTGAAGAGTCGTTGGTTGCACAACCTCGAGGTGTCTTACAGAAAGTCTCATCCATCAAAAGTCTCAAGTAGTTTAGAATTTCGGTCGAGAGATAAAATGCAACGGTCTGCGGTGGCGGTTCTCGTTAACCTGAACTGCCAATTGTCAACTCACCTTGGTCAGGTGGTGCAGCCGATCTTGTAAGCGTAGGTAATGTCATGCACCAGTAGAGAGGCAGCTAATGCAAAAGAGTAAGAAGGAAACCCAGTTACATAACATACAGGGCTCACCTGCAGAACAGAGGAGAGGCAAGGCGAGAGACAGACCAGAGCAGGATACCTAGGTAGGTCTACGGAGAAATGGAGGCTTGCCCCCTGTACCGGTAGCCCGCAAAGTGTGGGGAAGCAGCGCACTGCTGCTGTTGCTGGCTGCTTTCGGCTTTGCTTAGCAGGAGGAGGGGCGGCATTTTAGCGGCAAGCCAGCGTAGAGTCGAGTCACTCGTTCGTTCGGGTCTGCTTTAGAGAAAGGCGAGGCACATGAGCTTGAGTTATCCGACCGCATCTTCAAACCCTCACCTCCCTCCACCGTCGTCTATTCTCTTGGCTTATACTGTGCTGTAGTGACGATGATTGCTTGCTTGCCGCATTCGATTCATTCAAAGTGTTTCAACTGAGGCATTGTTCCCATCTGCACGTCCGGCGACTCTCCATTTCGTGCAAAGTTGCGTCATTGTATCTACGGCCAGCTTCCCTGTCCTCGACCTCGGCTATACTCTTCAGTTCCGATTCCAACCACAACGACGGCGACGAGCACACGACCAACAACCCTACGACGGTCACTTGCGATCTCTGTGCCCCGACAACAGATTGACAGATTGCGCTTCCATCTCAATGGTGCACGCCCAGCGTTGTGACAGAAAGCCTTCCTCACAGAACAGGGCACACCCACAGTCGCCAAGATGTCGTGGAAGAAGACGGAGAGACTGATGGACACCATCAGGCACTATGCCAGCTTCCCCGCCACGGGTGTAAGCTTAAGGCAGATGGTTCAATTCGGCGAGAGGCCGTCAATAGGTATGCTCATGTGCCCAATTGACTCAACTTGCTTTGCGAGCACGTTGTTCTGACCCACGATGCCCCACAGGAACTCTGTTTCGGGCGTCACAGTTCCTCGCCGAGGAGCTGCCAATTCGATTGGCACACCGTGTGCAGGAGTTAGACGAGCTTCCAGATGGTCTCAATGAGATGCCATCCGTCAAGAAAGTACAGGACTGGTATGCGCAGTCGTTCGAGGTGTGTACAATCGATATTTCACCATGTGGCATGATGACTCACGCGATGCGATGAACAGGAAATCACAACCCTACCCAGACCACAATTAGAAAGAGACGTACGAGACCGATTGATGAAACCCGCGAAGGCGTTTGGGAAGAACATTCACATCTCAGAAGCCACACGAAACCCAAGCATCGAGGAGGGGCAGTATGCGTCATGGCCGGCCATACAACAGAATGGGAGCGGTAACGGCTTGACAAAGAAGTACCACGCCGCAAGGAGATACTTCGCAATGGTGGACGATACGGGAGATTGGCCCCCCGAGCTTCATCTTTACAATCAGAGATTTTCACAGACGCTGCACAAGATCAAGAGGAGACACGATGGCGTTGTCACAACCATGGCGCAGGGTATCCTAGAGTACAAGCGCAAGCGGCAACGGATGCAGATTGACAACAATATTCAATCGTTCCTGGACCGGTTTTACATGTCGCGAATAGGAATCCGCATGCTCATCGGCCAGCACATCGCCCTCACGGATCAAAGCCACTTCCGCGACCCAACCTACGTCGGAATAATATGTACCAAGACCAATGTCCGAGATCTTGCGCAAGAGGCCATCGAGAATGCGCGGTTCGTCTGCGAGGATCACTACGGCTTGTTCGAGGCGCCCAAGATCCAGCTCGTGTGCAACCCAAACTTGAACTTCATGTACGTTCCAGGGCATCTGTCGCACATGCTTTTCGAGACATTGAAGAACTCGCTTCGCGCCGTCGTGGAAACGCACGGACAAGACAAGCAAGAATTCCCCGTCACAAAAGTGATTGTTGCCGAGGGCAAGGAGGACATCACGATCAAGATTTCGGACGAAGGCGGCGGCATCCCGCGGAGCGCGATACCCCTAGTCTGGACTTACATGTACACTACGGTGGACAGGACGCCGAACCTAGACCCCGATTTTGATAAGAGCGATTTCAAGGCCCCCATGGCCGGTTTTGGATACGGGCTGCCTATATCACGGCTGTACGCGCGGTATTTTGGAGGCGACCTGAAGCTGATTAGCATGGAAGGGTAAGTTGCCAACTTCTCCACTCCCTCGTTCTTCGGGAGTGATGAAATCCGCCGCCTACTAACGTGCAATGCAGTTATGGAACGGATGTCTACTTGCACTTGAATAGACTGTCCAGTTCCTCAGAACCTTTGCAATAGCAATCAGCAGTCATGAGGGATGTCCGGTCTCAAGGATTGACGCTGGGGTTAAGAAATATGGTGAAGCGCCTGAAAAGCCTTGAGGTCTCGGAGCGAAAGCAGGTCGGCGACGCGGCGAGCTTGATCAACAAAGCAACTGGCAGGTACAGGGACTGGGATGAGGAACTGTGATTGAACGGTATGGGTGGCAAGGGAGTTCGTCTGGCGGCAGCATTCTTGGACAGGCTTCATCATGTATGACAAATTTGGAAATAGGGGTCATGGGCACGGCCTTTTCAAAACAAGTAAAAAAGAGCGGATGGATAGCTTCACACATGAGTGAATGAGATATATTCGTCGCCATGTTTCAACTAATTATGTATACACTATAGTTGTAGTATCAGGGGACCTTTCAATAGTCCTAGAAGACTGGGTGTTAGTCGTCGTATTCAGACGAGCGAGTGCCTTATGCAGTGCCGAGTATGCTACAGATTTCCCCAGAGCAAGCAAGCAAAATCGATCTAGTGATGCCGTAAATCTCTAATCATACGCTCTCCGTACCCCATCCAAAAACCGGTCAAACTCCTCCCATTTATGCCTTGTATAGCAGATCTAGGAATCCCGTAGCCAAGTCAACCACGACGCTCTTGTTTGGCAGGCTGCCGGCCACGCCGTACAGCGCCGCCGAGTCGCCGACTGCCTTACCCTTGGCGCCCTTGCCCTCGACGAGGCGCACCCGCTCCTTCTCCTTCTCCGCCTCGACGACCGCCTCCAGGTCCGCAGCCAGGCGCTCCCACACCTTGGCGATGGGTAGCGTCACGGCGATGTGCATGGCGGGCGGGTTCTGAAGCGCGTTGAGGTGCCAGCCCTTGTCGGTCATGGCGTCGGCAATGTCGTAGATGTTGAGGTTGCGCGCCTGGAAGGCGATGACGGAGACGAGCGGGCGGCCGAGGATCTCGAGCTCCGCGCTGAGGGCCGGGCTGGTGGTGATGCGCTCGGCGAGCTTCTTGGCGGAGCCGACAATCTGCACGCACGCGTCCAGGTAGCCCGCCTCGCCGACGCTCATCATGCTCGCCCAGCAGCCAGCGATGAGAGCGCCCGGCCGGCTGCCCGCCACGCCGGGTGATGCGTACACGCCGCCGGACCAGTCGGGCGACACGAAGTACTGATACGTGCGCAGCTCGGCGGTGCGGTACAGTACCGTGCTGTTGCCCTTTGGCGCGAAGCCGTACTTGTGCGTGTCGCACGAGATGGACGTCACGCCCTTGAGGCGGAAGTCAAACGACTCTGTTTCGAAGCCGGCTTTGTCAAGGAAAGGGACGAGGAAAGAGCCCAGACAGCAGTCTACATGTAGAGGCAGACGCTTCTTGAGAGCTAGTTTAGATAGAGCGGCAATATCGTCTATGATGCCATGGGGAAAGTTGGGTGCGCTGCCAACTAGTAGGATGGTGTTACTGTTGATAAGCCGTGCCACACGGCGTACATCAACTTGGTATGCTGGCGCCGGGCAAGCTACGAGGTGCATCTTGATCTTGAAGTATTCACATGCCTTGCGGAATGCTGTATGTGCAGTATCGGGCAGGATCCTATACGGTAGTCCATTAGTAATCTGGCAATGGGAAATAAGGGGTGGCACGCGAGTATGCTCACATCTCTGGCTCCGTCACGCCTCGCTCGCAATAGGCCTTTTGCCTTGCACTTAAACATGCCATGAGAATACTCTCTGTGCCTCCGGATGTACTGACACCAGCCGCACCGGGCGGCGCATTGAAAAGGGATAGCACCATGGCTACCACCTCCGCCTCCATCTTCCGTACACCCGGGAACACATCCGGATGTATAGGATTGGCAACCGTAAACTTGCCATAGGCCTCCGTCTGCAACTTCAACAGCTCATCCTCGCCGTGATATACCGCACCAGAGACGTAGCCGTCCTCCCACCGTGTGTGATCCATAGTTGCCAGCTTTTCTAGCTCACCACGCACCGCATCTTCTTGCCAGCCCTCCTTCGGCAAGGACAAGTATCTCGTTTGGTTGACGGGGATCATCTTAGTAGAAAGCTTGGCGACTGCCTCCCGGACCTGCTTGCGGACCTGGGTGCGCACGCCGGGGGCGCGCAGGAACCAGCCGTAGAGGATGCGGCGGGAATCTGTGTACAGCTCGACCAGCGTGCCAACGATGCCGCGGCCCTTGAGCTTCCAGAAGGAGCGGCGCGCCCATCGTAGCACGAAGAAGAAGAAGACGATGTTTCGGATCCTGTAGTTCAAGATGCACCGGGCCGGCGATGCGGCGCGGCGCGGTCAAGTCAGCCCGGGTGCCTGTGGAGCGATACACGTCTTACGGCCCCCATTGACAAATGAAAGCAATCGTCTCGGACTTGCGCCTTTGATACCGCAAGCCCTTGCCAAAAGCTTTTGAAGGATTGGAGGATCCAGTGACTAAGCCAAGAAGAGAACTTACAGGTCAATATTGAATAGCTGCAGAGGATTCCTGGGCCGGGACTTCTTGACGCTATTCAAGCTCTCCCGGAGGCTGACCGGCATGCGCGACGTGCCCGGCATTCTGGCTGAATCTTTCGCAGAACAGGCCCAAAGAGCACCGGAGAAGAAGACTGGGAGATCGATCGTCAGGCAAGTCTCTCCTCCATCGAGAGCGCAGGCAAGACAGGGCGAGTACCAGTGCCCTTTGTAATGGTTCAAGGAGCGTCCGCGGGAACCGATGCGGGCCGGCTTGGTTAAAAGTTCAAGCTCAGAGGCGACCCCGATACAATTCACATGCTTTAGGTGGGTCCTTGCTCCGACCCTGGCCCCGCTCGTCGCTGGCGAGTCAAGCTTTCTTCAACATCATCTAGATAGAGGGCGACCCAACCACTTGCGCACTGCGCCGCTTGTTTCGTCCCACTAGCAATGTAATACCTTAACGCTTTATCAATTGAAACCCATCTGTCGTAAATGGCCACTGGGACTTCCAGGCCGTTTGAACGTCACACCATCCGAGGCTCCGATGATGGCCCAGCCCGCCTGTGTCTCAAAGCGACCGAGAAGACCTGAGAGCGCGCGTCAGCGTCAACGTTACAAAGGGTGTCTCTTCTGGTTGGAGATCGTCCCGCCTGCTGTGACACTGGAAGTCTGCCCCTACATTCCACGTCCGTTAGCCTCGGAGGAGAATATGTGAGATGAGATCATCTGGGCTCTGGGACGAATGAGGTTGGTTATGCCCGCGGACGCCCGTAGAAGTCTCTTTTGATGACTTGAGGGTGCCTTAGCTTGTGAGTGCAAGCGGTAGCCTGTGTCGTCTCTTCACCGTCATTTCAGATCTTGGAAAGAATGCCTTTTTTCACTTGGTATATGGCAAAGGTTTGATTGATTATGATTTCATTTGGGGGTATAATCTTAACGACAGACTGGTATCTCGTTACAAGGGAAATAGCTATGAGTATTGTACAATCCCATCCCGTCATTAAACTCAACCACCTTTTCACATGGGTTCCATTACAGACTGTTATTACATGAGGTCGCACAAGCAGCAACACAAGCCGAGCATGTACTTCCTCTTAAGTTGCTCATCTTGGTTGAGTTAATCTGCAATTATGCATTAAAGGTCCATTTAGACCCGGCGGGTAGGGTCGCTCTCCTTCTCACGCAAGAAGCTCTTGCGATTATGCTCAACATGCTCGTCGTGCGGAACCTGCGGCTTAGCGATGTCCTGCCGAAGGACGTAGTGGCGCCAGAAGTAGAAGAACTGGGCGGCGCCGTATGCCATGGTCTTGCGCAACGGGACGCTGAAGACGCTGTCGAGTTCCTCGAGTGTCTTCTCCTTGGTCTCGGGCACGAAGAACAACACGGCGAAGAATCCAATGATATTCCAGGCGGCGTACCAGCCGAAGGCGCCTTGTGGCTTGAATGCCGTGAGAAGCGAGGGCCATGTCACAGACAGCACGAAGTTGAAGAACCACGTTGTTGCCGTTGCCAGTGACATGCCGATGGGACGGATGTAAAGTGGGTAGGCCTCAGCCGAGTAAGTAAAGGGCACTGGGCCTTCACCGGGCGAGTAGACCATGCCGAAGAGATATATTCCAAGTGCAATGCATCCAATGTGCGCCTTGTTGTTCTCGGGGATCCAGAATGAGAATCCGGTAAACAGCATGAAGAGAGCCATGAGTGGGAACGTTGTCAACAGGAGATTACGACGGCCAAATCGGTCAATAGTGAAGAACGCCGGAAGGGCGAATAGCTGTGCGTTCAAGTTAGATTTCAGGCTTCATGACATATTGATGGGGGGAATAACAAACCCAGTTGATCAGACCGAAACCAAGAGACGCAGCTAGAGCGCTAACCTCACTGAAGCCAGACTGCAGGAAGATCTCTGAAGAGTAGTAGGCAATGACGTTAACACCGCAGAATTGTTGCATAACTGTTTGATCTTAGCCAATATTTGAGCAATCAAGGTTTATTCAAACTTACACATGACGATTTCTGAGGCAACCATAGCATTACGGTTACGTCTTACGGTAAAGAACTCCTTGATGCGGTTGCTCTTGCCGATAGACATGGCCTCACGCTCGGCTTCGAGGAGGGTGTGCATGTAGAAGAGATCTCGAGCAGCCTGGACCTTCTCGTATCGCAGCTTGCAAATAGCCTTGAAAGCGTCCTGGTGTCTGTTCTTGGTGAGGTACCAACGTGGAGACTCTGGGTAGAACGGAATGAGGCAGCAGACGACCACAGCTGGGATCATAGCAGAACCCATCATGAGCCTCCAGTTCAATCCCTGCTTGATACCGTGATCCGGGACAAAGTAGAAGGCCAAGTCAGCGACATATCTATTTTCGAGTATTAGTGTGTAATTCTTCTTTGCTACTCAGATTCTGAAAATTAAGGCAGGTGCGGAATTGTCATTCAGTCTGAGTATACAAGGTGTATCACTAGGCCACTTACCCAAGCATGATTCCGAACGCTCTATAAGGGTAAGGGTCAGTACTTGTTTTGATTTCTTTTTACTTCAGGAGTTACTTACGTCCACATTTGCCATTGCATGACCAAGGCACCACGCAGCTTCGGAGGAGAACACTCGGCAGCAAAAATGGCTGAAATTGTGTCAGTATACGTAAATGGTGTACTGGCATGGTGTACCCACGAGTTGTAGCGGACTTGGGACCAATACCGAGACCAAGAGCAAAACGGGCGATGAACATATGCCACCAGGTGTTTGTGAATGCCTGCCAGAAGCAAGCGAGAGCAGATATGACACAGGAGATGAAGACGGTTCCACGGCGTCCGAATTTCTTGTTCATTGGGTCCGTAAGCCAGCAGCCGATGAAGGCACAGCAAAGATACGGCGCCGAGTTGACTAGACCGACTAGCCATGTGTCTCGAGACTTGGTATCGCTACCAATGCCAAACTCCTTCTTGTAGAAGCTCTGAGCACCGTTGACAACGGTTTCGTCTTTGTTGTGTTAATTCCTATATAGATCTCCATTTGCTAATGTAAGTTGAACTTACCCATGCCCTGCACTGCTGCGCAAAGAGAGCAGACTAAGAAATAATGTCAGATGAAGTCTATAATAAAGCGTTGATCAAGTTTCTCAGGTATGACTTACTGACGATGACTCCGTAGAGAGTCTTGGGGTTGGTCCACTTGTGGGTCACCTCCTTGTCCATGTAGCTACGCTCGCTTTCTGTGAGCCCCTGAATCGTGTCCCAGCTATTCCAGTCTCCAGCGCACATGGCGCCTACTTTGAAAGCGCGAATGTCCTCCTCTTCAGTGAAACCATGTTCACGACAGTACTTCTCACCGAGATCCGAGAGTTGCTCGCGGCTCAGGCCAGCAAGGGGATTCTCAATCTTGGAGGAAGCCTTTTGGCGTTGACGAGCTCCCTCATCCACGCTGGTGGATGCCATGCGGGAAGAGCCACCATAATCGTGGTGCTCAACTTCAGTTCTCGAATCAGACGAGGCTGATCGTTGCCAGTCCTTCTCGGACTTGTGCGGTTGTTCAGATGCCATGACTGTTGGTTTCGTGCCTCACTTCAGACACGACGAGACCAATGATAAAGGCGTGGGTTGTTCCAAGACCGCCAAGGGGACCAAGACAGGATTCCAAGACAGGTAAGACTCTTGGTGAAGCTTATTAAAGCACGGAGAAGTGACAAAGGGAAGACTTTCTCAACACCTGCTACGAGGGAGGCTACTCTTGATTTTAAGTATCTTGTCTGGACCATGGGGGCCATGAAAGCTATGACATATTATGCCATGCTTGTCAGCCACATTGACCCGCTATCAATTACTATACACGTTGTTAAGCTGGGGAGTTGGTGGAGGTTCAAGGGACATGTGGGGAGTTCAGAAGTTCTGACAGTTCATGTGGATTAACAGTAGTGGATAGTCGGCATCGACGAGCAAGTACCTTTGCAACTGGATGAGACTGACGGGTGTATACTAGCTTTGATGAAGCGGTACTTGACGATGTGGTAGGATTCTGAGGTCGACGTCATCCCGTTTACTTGCAGCGGTGCCGCGCCGGGTAGAGTTGTGCATGCCCCTCACTGAACCTCGTGCCGGGATCCATAAGTAATCGCAATGGTTGACTGCTCCAGTTCCCAGCCGTCAAGTCAGCGTTTAGAATGGGTCCGGGGGACGAACCAGAGAGGAATAGTGAAGAGCCGTGGAAGCGCTGCGACGAGTGAGGTGGTGGCGATCGGCGCAGTTGATGGTGGTGGGGATCTCGAGATTGTGACGTCAATCGAGGGTCGAAGGGGCGCATCAAGAAGATTTGCGACCGCTCGTCTCGATCGCCAACGGCGCAGAAACGGATGCAGCCTGCTGAAGTCGCTTAACTTGGCTCAGACTTGATGAATCCCTCTTTCGACAAAGTCACTCCTTGAGCACTCCTGTAAGTTTCCGCAATGTTTGTGCAAATCCCGTAGTTTATCCATATGTTAGTAGACAGGCAGTGAGAACCGCCTTCTGCTTTGATCAAGTATTAGAGAGAACGTAAAATTTTAGCGGACTTGAGCCTTTTCGTTTCCAAATTGATCTGTGTAGATTCATTTCTTCAAAAGAAATTCAGCCCAAGCTCGGACTTCACCGACACACTGGCTCGACTGGCCCCAAAACCAATACAACATTCATCAATCTCGAAACGTCGTCACAATGAGGTGTGTGGTTTGCATAGGCTGACACCATGAAGAACCTCATGCAGCCTGCACGCTAGGAATCAAACTAAGTCAATCCCTCCACACACTACTACCGCCTAACTTGCGTCTTCTCCAGGGCTTAGAGCATTCATATTGGTAAGTGTTTTTCTCCCTGTGTCTCCATATCAACGGGCGGCTATGACATCACAGTAACTCACAGGAAGAGGAATCTGCCCAAGCGACAGAAAGACGACCGAGAGATATCGTAGGAAACATTGATTAGTTCCTAAATGCAAAGATTGAAGCCGAGTCATCTTACTGCCATGGGGGCTACATAACCAAGGGATACAGCTTTGCTCCAAACAGACAAGTCATACACTTGTGTTATTTGAAGTTCTCTATATCTCCAGCTTCCATTCAATGTCTCTAGTATAACGAAATGCTCTGTCTTAGTTAAGACCCATGTCTGACCGTCAATTCCTGTGCTAGCTACTTAGCTGGTAACCACCGACTAAGAGACCTGTTGCTCACGAAAACTAGTTATAATTGTCTTTATGACTTGTTGATGAGACGATCGACTTCTCATAGTATACAGTAGTTGATACTCCTCCGATGCTGTGCGTGGCGAGAATTGTGCCTCCCTGTCGATCAGATTACGGGGTTGCACCAAAGTCCCCATTACAGAGCAGACGATCTCGGGGACTTTTCCGGCATGATACATCATCATGTACTCGTCTCGTACGAACTTCAGAGTAGACTGTAATGCTTCACTTTAAGAGCGTGTAAAGGTTCAGGATAAGAGATTTTAATGGACAGCCCTCGAAGAAGGAAGAGCAACTAATACTCCCCATTGACAGTGAAACATTTGGCAAGGAGCGTCCCCTAAACTGACAGATAGACCCACAGGCCCTCACAGGAAACTACATGGTGTGCTGTACAACATGAAAAAGAAGGATCCATATCGACACCTAACTTCTGTCCTTTACTTTCTCTAGTTTCAGTTGTTACATTTTCCGGATACTAACCCGATCGTAAAATCGTCAAAACACCGTGTGGATCCAATGCTTATTGCCTTATCCAGCCTAAGCAAGACTAAAAACTTGTACATGCGACAACATTTTTCTCAAGGGAGTGAATACGTGTTAGATGCCCAAGGAAAGAATCAAAAGCAATGTCCTTTAGTACAGAGACTGTCTCAGACAATGAACTACAACCTGCCTTGCTGTCTAATGACTTCATCCCACGTCGGACCTCTAGAATCGTGTGAGACTAGACTTCGACGCTTACCTGCGTCCTTTTCGGACCTGTTGCGACCGATATGATCCCGCAGATCAACCGTAGACCCTGTCCTTGGAGTGCTCTCATCGACCGACGGCCGATCTCGAGACAAGGGAGCATGAACACGATATTCGCCATCATTCCCTCGGAGGGTAGCAACCTCGGAGGTAGGAGACATGTTAGACGCTGACGAAGGCGTGAATATGATCGAAGAGTTCGTCGAAGATGTTCCGCCATGCATGCCGCTATCACTGATATTGGCTGGCACAGACTGGCTGAAGGGGCGCTGCTGGGGACTTCGATTTCTCCTAGAAACAGAGTTCCTGCCCACAGGCGGCGGCGGGATGTTGTAGGGGTCTCGGCTCTGGGGACGTGAACTATCTCCTGAGCTCATGCGGTGTGGCCTTACGGTCTGGTGTGTGCTGCCTCTGGAGTGCAAAGCAATGGGTACTTCACTGCCGATAGAGCTAGAGTGACGAGGTGTGTCCTTTGGGCTGCTATCCGAGGCAGTAGGAATATATCGCGACTGCGGGCTCACCTCCCCAGACTGCTTTGCGTGCCTCAGCTGATAGGGAGATATGTTTCTGGAGAATGGCAACTCAAGATCCTCCATGAAATCCTTCATTGCTTCATCAAATAGAATTCGCGACCTTCTGATAGATTTTTCTGGTAGAAGCTGCCGAGAGATCTGGACTGGCAACCGCTCAGGCTTTCCATCTAAGGGACTTTCCACATCAATGGGGATGGCCGAGACAATTGTCTGAAGTCGCTTTGCCTCCTCGTCCGGATAGGCCTGGATATTGAGGATGAGCCACTGGGCAAAGCCTTCGGGCGTCAAGCAGGGAATGCTTGGTCGGCACCGTGGGTTGGTTTGCACGAGATGATATGGACAATGGAGATCTTGGAACAGATCAGCAAGTCTCTCATCGAAGTCTTTCGCGTGAGATTTGAAGAGAACCGGGAAAGGATAAGTATCCTGCTCGAGACGATGATACGAGTAGAAGGCAGCGAGCTTCTCGGGTGTAATGACAATGCTATTCTGCGGAAGGAATCGCGCAGCAATGTATTCTGCAAGGCCTGTCAAAATCTGCCGAAGTCTGCCTGTTGGATGGCCGTCGTTGTCGAACAGAATGCCCCATTTCTGGTCAACAACACTCAACTCCACGCTAGATCTGGTTGAAGTTGACCGGAAGGAGCCGCTAGGACCATCTGGAGTCACTTTTGTAGCATGCTGGCCGTCATGGCTAAAGCGGATATTGGACGTCCTTGGAGATTGGCTGGCATGAGAAGTGGTAGGTGATTGCGGTAGCTCTGTAGAGTGTGTGGTGGACTGTGGAACTTCTTTGTGGCCCTCCTTTTCCTGTCGCAAGGCTTCAGCGACGTGGTTGACTGGATGCTGAAAAGAATATCGAGACGGTGAGGAATCTTTTGTTCCACCTGGACTGGATGGACCACCGTCCACTTTGTCGCTCTGTGTTTCTCTGTGGTAGTCTTTCACTACAAGCGTGTTAGCAACTTCTTTGGGATGGATTTGGACTATACAAACAAGCTTGTTGTATCATCGTCTTGTTCTCCTCCCGGAGAAGATTCATCAATTTCGAGACGAAATCTGGAGTGATGCCGGTGGCGCTAGGCCGAGGCTCTGCCTGGGAGGGGGTAGTACGCGTGGCTTCCATTGAGTTCAAACGGGATGAGTCTCCTTTGGACTCTCCTTTGGTGAAATTAAACTCATTCTTCTCCGTCAAGATAGTACCTTTTGATCGAGGAGATAACTCTTCAAAGCTGCTGGGCAATATGTCGTTCTCTGTTCCTCGTACGGGGTTCCAGTCTGTCATATGTAGAGCGGGCCGAGCCTCGTCTGCCGGATGATTTACATCATCCATTTTCAGCATATTCGACAAGGCTGCGAGAGGTCATACTATGACATCGCTAACACGCCGAAATGAATATGCAGAGTGGGCTGTATCAGTATCAAATGATGTCACTCTGAAAGCCAAGTATCGTCAGCAACAGTGAGATAGGGACATGATTGCTGGCGAGGCCCGGAAGCTATCTGTCATCTTCGGTGGGAAGTGTCCGTTGGTATATAAAGACCTCAAGGTGAATGGCGATGGCTAGAGGTGGCAGATACACAGCATCATTCATGGCTGCCGCGGCGTCGCCTGATTCGCGCGATACAAGGGTGAGCTATCCGTGTAGGGTAGGTCAGGTCGGGCCAGAAGGGAAAAGCAACTGCCCGCGACGCCGAGCTAGTTTGCACCATCCATTAAGACGAGGGCCCAGAGGTTGACAGGCTCCAGCCGGGCGAACGTCTCCTCGTGAATTATGCAGGGAGTGGTGGGCTTACCCTTGCTGATCGGCCGTGAATTCCAACGGGATCACGGCTTGGGCCGACAGGACACCACCTCCCTCACCTACCCACAGTCGAGGTGTGTTATTCAGTACCACCACGTCCCAAACAGCCACCGCAGCGAGCCCTGCAGCTCATCCAGGCTCAAGAAAACGACCATACCTCATCGGTTTGAAACACAGGTGGCACGACGCTTAATCGGTATACAAAATGTCTCATATTGAGAGCCTCGAGCCCTATAGTGACGCTAGATGCAGATCACTGATACCATTGTACATAATCCTGAGTGCTCCGAATCACTTATAACATCCGTGTGTAATTGTGGTTGGAAATTTACACTGCCAAAAATAGCGTCTTGGGCAGTTTTCAACTGTCACAATCGAGAAGTCTGGTGAAAAGCCCGGTCGAAGTCCCGAGGTGAAGAGGAGCGGGGTATATTCATCCTTTCACAACTGACCAAACAGATCGCGGCACACGAAACAAACAAAGGTAAAGTGAGGCTTCCCTAGTGGCGAGGTTGAGTCTTGTGAGTGGAGGGCAGAATGCTCCAGACATCCAAAAGGCGTTCCAATCAGCAGCTGAATATGACAAAGCGTGGGCGTACGGCTGAACTGCCTTACAGCGGCGACAACAAGAATATCCCTGTCAGCTTCAATCTCATTAGAGGAGATTTGGCATTTCATATAGTTTTATATCACATGTGGATCTGTGTTTTTGGAATTTGACTCTACAACACTTGTCTCATTGCCATGGGAGCTCTTTTCGTTGTAGTCAAAACATTTGACACTATCGAGCATGTCTCAAGCTTGGAGTTTGTCGTCCAGACTTTCGTGTATACCTAGTTGTTCTGCCAATATCGATATCGGATATTGCATAAACAGCATTCCACAACAGATCTATAAATCGAAAAGCGACATGAAGTACCATAAAGTGGATGCTACCCATGGGGAGCATGAAAATGAGGTTTCTCATCTGCTGGCGATTTGACGACGAATAATAGCTAATTCCGGCAGGATTTCTGTTCAAATACTGAAGTGATAGGAAACAATCTCTATGATATTCGAGGAGTGTTTGATCAAAAGATCTTGGAAAGCAAGGCGGCTTTCCTTGACGAGGATAGGAATGACTGGTGACTGTAGGAAGATGTCACAGCTGACGCCGAGAAATAGGTTGCGAATGTCCGGTCAGCGAATCCCGAAAATATCATCCTAAGAAAGATTTAGTTTCTCGCAACTGAAATGATGACGCATAGGAATACTTTTCAGAGCCGTCCGACTTTGTATTTTGAACCAAACAGAAGGAGTTGAAAGATTCTCACTTTCTCTGAATCTTGTTTCGACGCCGATAATCATGGATAATGTCACTGGGTGTGTAATACCGCTCCCAACGGCCTTGATTGCTTGGCCGTAGGGTGAATCGGGAAATCTTTGCCACTATAGCCTCCATCTAGACGGCATGGGCGTTGTAAATCATATCCGTTACAGGATCATGTATCTCCCACGTGATTTCCTTTCGACTCAGGAAATCAGTGATTCCGGTGATAGCCTCAGCAAAGAACTTCTCCTAGAGCCTAGCCCCGAATCCGCGGATCTTATCCTTCAATCGATCAGAGGCAGTAGAAATCCCCAAAAAGACCTCGATCCAGGCAAAGTTGCTGGTTTTTTCCCCCATGAAGAATGAGTCGAGTCCCATGGGCTTCAGAATCTTTTCAAGACATCTTCCTCGTCAGGTAGGACAGATTCCAATCCTTGTTCAGCTAGATTTACCCAAGCCAAGTCGGTCTTAATACCCAGTACAGGGTTTAGTCCAAAGACTCACTGTATCAAGTTACTCACCTTTGTTTTATTCAGAGCTCAAAGGGCTCTCAACTTACGAGTATCAGAAGTCTTCGCAGCAGCCATTCCTGCTACCCACTCAAGACGTTGTATCTCTAAAAGTGGAAGTTTTCGCAAGATATAGGACCAGGGGTGATAAGTGAGGCTGGTCGTGCCGGGTCCGATATGGCAGGTGGCGGCGGCAGTGATGCTTCGGCCTCGGTAGGAAGGTGGTTGCGTCCTTCCCGGAAGCCATCTGTTATGACGCTCATCTAACCCTCACAAAACTTGTGAACAATTGGGTATACTCTCTCGATTCACAAAGCATAGTGAAAAGTGAGATCTTGGTCGCCATGAGTCGGGCCTGCCAGCTCATCGATACGCTTTGAATAGGAATCGACTAGATCCTTGTCTGGATCGAATGGCTTTAAATGCCTCTCAAGATCCGCAGACGGGAAACACACATGATAGAAGCGTCGTGCGTAAGCAGCTATGCGTAGAACATCATGTGGGATGTGACAAAGGATCTAACGGAAGATTGACTGGATGTTGGGGTGTACCATCTTGTGAATGCTTGGGTCTGCGATGGTGGCGTTCAGCAATGTCTGCACGTCACATATTTCGAGAATGCCGATTCGAATCTCGACTGGTGTTTCCGCCCAGAAGGCCATCTTGTCCCGTGATGAGGAAACGAGAGATTGCGGAGATCGGAGATAGGTAGTGCGAGCAGAAATGGAAATACGGTTCGTTAATGGATCGGCTGACTTGAGTATGATGTGTGATATAAAGAAGAGATGGAAAAGTTGGTGTGGTAGGCGTGGTTGTGGCGGTTGGGACTGTCGTTGAATTCTCAAAAGGTTGTATGGAAGGAGCAAGGCTGTCGAGAATCACCAGTTGATCTCCCTACCTGGATCTCAAGCCAAGCTTGGCTTTGGATGGTGTGTGAATTTTAAGCCAAATATGGCTTTAGATCACAAGGTAGTTGGTGGTTGGTTTCGGCAAATTCGCCTTTCAAGACTACTTAGGTACTGTGCAGTACAAACATGGCTGATTCAGCACTCCAATTCCAGATCCATATATAAATCCTGATGACAAAGGCAATACCGTCTCACAACACAACTGGCTGATTTTTTCACCGTCCAAACATATGAACGGGTCAAGAGCTGCAGGGTGGTTGGCGGTTGCAGGATGACTGCAGCTCAGACGAGAACCCTGGAAACCCCGGGCTCAACGGCCCTGCCCGGCCCTAGTCGGCCCTGCTAACCCGCGCGTTCAGTGCTTTCCGGCCCCCTTCCACTGGCTCGCTTCCGAAAGCATGATGCGAAGGATTTCAGCCCCAAAACCATCGTGGACCCCCCAACCTCCTGAGGCTTGCACTGAGACGCTGAAGATGTGAAGTACCGGTCAATTGGACCACTAACTATGCAGCCTAGTGGCCCAGACTGCAGGAGCTCAAATGTGCAGATGCCCGACGGGGCTGAGCTGAGATGTGATGTGGTGAGCACTCTAGAGCTCAGACACAACAGCTGCAGGATGCTCATTGTAATCCGTGATGGGAGTACATAAGCAGTTTTGGCCCCCGACCTCAAAAGCAGTGTCTTTCTGATCTCTTTTCAATCCTTTTTCGTCTTTCTTGCAGCATCTCTCAGCTTGTGCGCGTGAACTAGTGGTTCATATATTCAGTGATTTCTGCAGCCTGTAACGTCCCCAATTGCGAATTGGCTTGGTTACGATTGATATTACTAGATGGATTACACTTACGGAAGCGCTCCTGGCACAGGAGCACCTGCTGGCACCTCGAGCAAGAAAGATAAGAACAAGACGCCCCAGGAGCTCGTCGGCGACTTCTGGGCAAAGTTCTTCGCCAAGAAGCCTGGCAAGGTCACGTCTATCTTTCCCCGGAGCCTGTATACCACTCTGCTTCCTCCGCTGAAGGATCCCCGGGGTAGTTCATCGGCCCGCAATGCTGCTGAGAGCTATGAGGCCGCGGCAAAAGAGTGCCGCGAGAAGGTCAGGCGTATCGTGCGCGAGTGCAATCGCACCAATGAGAAATTTACCGATCCCGACTTTGATATCGAGGAGGATCCTGACCACAACTGTCTCAATGGGCTCGTTCGGACAGAATACACGCCCATTGATATAGGCGATGATGCCGCATCGTATGCCTCGGGTGCGGCTGCAGGGGCAAGGAAAGCCTCCGTCGCAAAGGCTATTCCCAAATCGAAGGCACGAGGTGTCAGGGCAGCCAAGTATGGTGTCCGTGGAGATGAATGGTACAGCCCTGGTGCGATCCATCGTGTAGACTGGATCTTCGACAACCCTCAGTTCACCATCGATGGCTATTCTTCTTCGGACATCCGGCAAGGCGCCAACGGCGACTGCTGGTGGCTAGCTGCTGTTGCAACTATTGCACACCGTCGAGACATCATGGATAAAATATGCGTCGCACGGGATGAAGAATGCGGAGTCTATGGTTTCGTCTTCTACCGGGATGGCGAGTGGATCTCCACCGTCATCGACGACAACCTATATCTAACGAGTGCGGACTTTGTTGAAGCAAATGGAGATGTCTACGACCCGCAGGGGAAGAAGGCACGCAAGTACAGGATGTCAGAGCAGACGGGGAGCGATGCCTTGTACTTCTCCAAGTGTGCGGACCAGAACGAAACCTGGCTGCCTCTGCTTGAGAAAGCTTATGCAAAGATCCACGGGGACATGGAAGCAATCAGCGGAGGCTGGTCCGGCGAGGCGGTGGAGGATTTATGCGGTGGCGTAACGACTACGGTTGCGACGAAGAGGGTGTTGAGGAAGGACAAACTTTGGCGGGAGCTGGCCAGCTCGGATGGCGAGTTTGTATTTGCGCTCTCAGCCATTGGCACTTCGTTTTACACCCAAACCCAGTCCGGATTATTCATGGGTCATGCGTACTCGATACTTAAAGCAACAGAAGAAGTTGGGGAGGATGGCAAGAAAGTGCGGCTGGTCCAGATCAGGTAAGTTGGCCGGACATTCAAGGAAACGCATGTGATTGACAGTCGAACTTAGAAACCCTTGGGGCCAGAGAGATGGGTATCAAGGCTTGGGAGAGTGGAATGGCCCATGGAGTGATGGTTCGTCTGAGTGGACGCCATATTGGATGAAGAAGCTGAGCCACACATTTGGGGATGATGGTGTGTTCTGGATGTCATATGGTATGTTACTCTCACCCCTCTTATGTAAACATGCAACTACTGACATATTGCTATAGAGGACGTGCTCGAGGTGTTCATGTTCATGCACAGAACTCGCCTCTTTGATGAGAAGTGGACCGTGGTCCAGCAGTGGACTAGTGTCAACATATCTTGGCTGACAGGCTATCTCCAAACCAAGTTCTTGGTGGAGATCAAGAAATCTGGCAAAGTTGTCATCGTTCTCACACAGGTTTGTTAAATTGTTGCAGAAATACCTTAAGCTGCGCTGACTTTCCCTTAAAGCTGGATGAACGCTATTTTCAGGGGTTTGAGGGACAGTATGAGTTTTCACTTCATTTCGTTCTTCAGAAGGAGAACGGAGAGCCTGGAGAGCACATCTGCCGCGTCCGCCCCGTTCACTCATGGGAGAACCGATCTGTGAGCTGCGAGGTTGAACTTGACCCAGGTCGATATGAAGTCCTGCCCAAGATCACGGCTGTTCGCGATGTGGACAAGCAACCTGTTGAGGATATAGTCAGGCACTGGGCTGAGAAGAACCCACAGAAGCTCAGACAGGTCGGAATGCAGTACGATCTCGCCCACGCCAAAGGCGGAGTGCCCGATGAGGACGACTTGCTTGAGAAAAGGAGAGCCGAAGAGAAGAGAAAACGTGATCTCAAGAAGAAGAAGGAGAAAGAAGAGGCCAAACGAGCAGAAGAACAAGCTAAGCTGGACGTTGTGCCACCACCTCCGCCGCCGCCCTCAGGCCCAGAAGTCAACGGAGACAAAGCGGGAGGTGAGTCTAGCGAGACTAAAGCTGAGGCTGTAGGTGATAAGAAGGACGAAGCTGCAAAAGACGGCGAAAAGGAGGAGTTTCAAGACGCGAGCGAGAACCCGCCTACCACAGACGACAAAGCCACGACAGAAAAGACTACTGAGGCTAAGGAGGAGAAGACTGGCGCAGCTCCGAAGGCCGAAATTCCTCTTCCCGGCTCCGAGAAGAAGGACGAGGCCGATGAGAAGAAGAAAGATGGTGAAGACGACAAGAAGAAAGACGGCGAAGACGATAAGAAGGATGATAAAAAGGATGACAAGAAGGACGGTGAGGCTGACGGAGACGAGTCGGAGCAAGAGGAAACGGCAGATGATGACGGTGATGATTCGATCCACCCATGGAATGCGGTCTGTGTGATGGGCTTACGAGTATATGCTCGAGACCCCGATGTGACCATTACCTTGGTGAAGCCCAAGGATCCAGAGGAGGCTGCAAGCCTGGCCGTTGATGCTACGCCGGCAGGGGCAACCATGTAAATATGTACCAGTTGAAGCATAGGCAATGGGCACAGCACACAAGCGAATAGATATGCCCGGTTTGATGTCTTTTTCTATGACTAGATGGATGATATATCAGTGAGGCGTAAACCAGCAATTTCATGCGGTATTGAATCGAACAGGATCACATGGAAAGATATCAACAGGATGGCTGATATCAGCGAGGTACGTTTGTATATCCGAGGCCAATGGCTATGACCCGCGAACCAATTATCTCGGAGAGAATTGTTTTGCTTCCAGAGTAATTCTTAGGAATCAATCGCACTGAGAAGGATTCAAGGTCGCCTTATTCCAGACCGACACTGATGATGATAATATGGTTTGGGTCTTAACCTCCCGGGGCTGCCCGAGTCAATTGCTTGTTGATGGACCGGGGTAGTGGAGAAAAAAGCCGCAACGTATCCGATCCTCACCGAGAAACCTGAAAAGCCCCCGATGAGGCCGGCGGTGCCGATAAACCGAAGTATACACATCGGACCAAGTCCGATAAAGATTATCAGTGATTGAGGCTATTCCACTTCACCAGAATGAAATGCAGACTGTTTCGGGAGAAAACGGCGTGTGACTACCCTTGCTGCATGTTGCCTACTACATGGTTTCGGCAATGATCGATCCTCTTCTCAGAACCTTGAAATCCTGTCCAGCTAAGGCATGGGGTAGCTGTCTTGCCTGTGCTTAAGGGTTTCTTCTATGTATACAACCAAGTCCAGTGACTGTGAAGTATCTGCAAGACATAAGAGATCAACCGGTAAGCATTCTGCGTTGGGCACCTCTCTTCAGATCTGTCAGGTACCAAGGCGATGGCCCCTGGCCACCTCACGGATCATTGCGTGCACCTTTAGCTAAATTCGTATTGTTCTCTATTAATGGACGCCAAGGTTACCATCTGCGTCGACGTGCATTCCTTCGTAGCGGGACCACGCACGGCTGAAGTTAGAGGTGTTCGCATCAGCGTGTCACGACAGGAGAGCCAAATAAGACTGCCTATATTTCCATTTCACGATACTGTGTATCGTCGTATACTGCTACAGTTGAGTGCCTGAACTAGCAAGCAACGGTACAGTACGATGTGGATGGTATCATCATACCTACATGTAACTTCAAGGAGACAACAAGGATACCGGTAGTGGTAGGCTCGTTGAAATCACTCACCTATCCATTCCTGGGCGGGAGGGGCGAAAATGGAAGCCCCGCATACTCCAATTGTAACGAAGAGAAAGCTAAGCAGGCTCTTCGACGAGCTACCTACAGTAGGTACTGTACACAGTTGATCTGTGCCGCCCGTTTGGTTTGAATGGGCGAGGAGAGTCTGCCTTTGCCCCTCGGTCCATCTCAGCCCCTCCCGCCTCTCCACCATTATTAGGTACCCTCCGTACCCTCCGTACCATACCTGACCATACCTTACCTTACTTACATACACCCTTGCCCGTTGCCGCTCTCTGGTTCCGCTCACGCGAGCTCTCCCGAGTCAATTTTTGTCCCCATTCGCGGTCGGATGGATCACCATCCCCGGACACTGCCCGAGTGATTCAATTCCCTTCCAGAACACCTCGTCTGCATTGTCCTGCCACCTGCGAAACACCGTCCGAGCAGCCGGATGGCCCCGCGACTGTGTTGACGTGCGCATTGCGATCGAGCGAGTCGGAAGAAGACGTGCGTGCGTGCGTGCGTGCGTGCGAGTGTGGTCGAAGCGTCGTCTGTCGGTCGTGTTGTCCTGCAAAAAGCCGCTGCCGCCCGCCCTCTAATGAGCCACCGAGTCGAAGCCCATTGCGTAACCACCAGATCCAATGGGCGCAGAGCGCATTGAGTGATCGGATCAGAGAAGATGGACCAGAAGAATGGCGGCGACCACAAGTCCGACGGCGAGTCCAAGCCCGCCAGCAAAGACCTCCACGCCCAGGCGCATGCGCCAGACGACGCCAGCAGGACTCCCAAGAAGAGACGCAAGGTCAATCATGGTATGCGCCCGCCTCCCCCATGTCCTGCTCCAGTGCGCCGCTTCCAAAATGGCTAATCTTGCACCTCGCGTTCTTACAGCATGCGTATATTGCCGTCGATCTGTAAGTCATAGAATGCGCCGAACCCCCCGTCTAGCAATTGGCTCTCGCCCTCGAGCTGGCGCAGACTATTGCCCTGCTCGAGAGCTACAGCAGCGATAGACTCCAGCAGCCCGCATGCATCTATACATCTATACATACATACTTCCAAACTCGTGCATTCTTGGAGAGAAAAAGCCATGGCTAATATGATCTACTTGCTCTGCGTCTAGCATATGACATGCGACCTCGTATGTGATTTCCCTCTCCCCCAAGCCCGTCAATAGCTTCTGCAGCATTGCGCGCTGGCGGTAACTCCTGAGCACGCATTGACCATGGGAATTTGCCATAAAACAGGAAAGACCGTGTACAAGATGCATCAAGCGCAATATCGGCCACCTTTGCCATGACGAGCCACGAGATCCGGACTCTAAGAAGTCTAGGAGCGTCATGGGCGCCTCGACCGTGGACGAATCAGAGACTCAGTCCGAAATGGCACGCAGCTCCATAGATCACACGGCGACCTCGATGCGGCCCCCCTCCTTCGACGCCGGCATGGGTGCTGGCACAGGGCAGGCGGCCAAGTCTGCCTTTGACGCAAGTTCGCTGGGCCGGGGCAACCCCCTACAGCTCGTGCAACCTACGCCAGTCTCTGGGATACAAGCCAATACCTTGAACAGCAGCAACATGAACCAATGTATGTTTTGTCACCCGTCAGCACTTCTCTTGTGCACTAGCTAAGCTTGTTGCGATTCCATAGTTGCCGGGTTTTCGGATGCTTGGTTGACCGCCCAGAACCACTACCACGATATGCACAATTATCATCCTAATTACATGATTGCGCCGGAGGTCACTAACGAGTTCAACCTCCTCAATGACTTCCTGCACAGTAGCCTTCTAGATGACAATGCTCTCCTACCGGATGACCAGAACCAGCTTCTGAGAAACAACCAGAACGACATGCTGCCTGGGCTGTTTAATCAAGGCGGGTCCAACAACAATCTGCTCCCTCCTAGCGCTCTGTCAGGGGGCTCTATGCCGCCACCTAATGCCGAACAGGGCAACGCCATATCTCGACCGGCCAGTGTTATCCCTATAGATAAGGCGCGAGAGTACTACCTCCAGGCGGCTGATCCATCCGGCAATGATACGCCGGAAGAGCGTATGCAGCGTGTGCTTAAAGCAAAGTATGACGCCGGCTTGTTGAAGCCCTTCAACTACATCAAGGGCTACGCGCGACTTTCAACATATCTCGATAGCCACATTGCTCCGGCTTCAAAACAGAAAATTCTCCGACAGCTAGACCGCTTCAGGCCCAAATTCCGTGAAAAGGTGCAGGCTTTAACCGATATGGAACTCATCTACGTGGAGATGTGGTTCGAGAAGACCCTCATGGAGTACGATCGCGTCTTTGCGAGTATGGCTGTCCCAGCCTGCTGCTGGCGTCGAACAGGAGAAATCTTCAGGGGCAACAAGGAAATGGCCGAGCTCATTCATGTTCCAGTCGAGAGACTACGAGATGTACGTTGTTCCTCCCATTCTTGTGCGCGCTTGTTTGGGCCACTGCTAATCGTCTTATAGGGCAAAGTCGCCTTACATGAGATCCTCACGGAAGAGTCAGTCGTACGGTATTGGGAAGAGTTTGGAACCATTGCCTTCGATCCCGCACACGATACGTTGTTGACTGCCTGCTCGCTCAAGAATCCGGACGACCAGTCAAATGATCCAATCGTAAACTGCTGCTTCTCCATCAAGATTCGTAGAGATGACCACAAGATGTAAGGCTCCCTCTGAACAGCAAACACATCACTCCACGAAACTGACAATGTCCTCTTCTAGTCCGAGTTTGATAATTGGGAATTTCTTGCCTCATGATCCTCCTCACTAAGACATTCACATATTCAATCTGCTCGCGCAGCATACGTTCTAGTCACTCAGCCTCCGTTTCGACCAGCAGCGCCCCCTTGCCACTCCTTGTATAGAGGCAATATTGGGGCTAGGTACAGGAGCTGAATTCCTCAAAAACCCCATGGGATCACTTTCCATTCTAGCAGGATATAAAAATTAGGACATCTTCGAGGGTGTTTGGGCAACGTCGACATTGCGAACGGTAGCACTTGCAAGGAAGCTACAGGCCAGGCGGGGTTTTTGTTTACATTGGGAAGCGGGGGATGGAGTTCATGGGGGATGATGCTTTGGGAAGGAAGTCTTCGGTTAGATCCCAGAGGGCGGGCCCAAGGGGGTCGTTGCTTCCAGTTGGGGACAATTCTCAACTTCCTCTAATAGTAGGCAAAGAAATGTGGCACCTCTGATTCCAGAACGCTTGCAATCCTCGTTTCCCAGTTCAGCATTGCCCGCGCTCATTAGGTCTCGGTCCATGTCATTCTAGCCTGTCCATCTCAGGATTACCTTTCCCAGGCCATCATTTCTTCACAGTTCACACCGTTTCACGGCATCAAAGCCCTAACGGCGGTACCACGCTGGCTCCGTGACAGTGATAACAATGCCACCTGATCCAGATGCCGTACACGGCGGGAGCGCCCACACCGCAAAGACCAAGCGAGCCAAAGCAGTCATTTGTACGATCCGCGCCTCGATCCCCAGCCCAGCTGCATCTGCTGACCATCTGTAGCCTTCGCGGTCAGCGCTGTGAAGAGAGTGAACGAGACCGTCGAGGAACCGGTCAAGGCAACGAAGCTTGCCGATGAGCTGCAACATTACATCAAACTGGTCGAGACATCCCCTAGAATCCAGGGACTCTATGGCAACGTGGACCTTGATACCCAAGGGACCAAGCTGTGGAATCTTTGCATCAGCCCCAGACAAGCAGATGCCCAAAGGGCAAACGAAGCATTGCATGAGAGAAGGCTGCTCCTACTCAATGCTCGAGTCTTTGCCTTTCAAATTCTAGACCTTTCTCGTTACACCCCGAGCAGCGGTTATGCCCAGGTCCTACTCCTTCTCAATATGGCCTTGCGGGCCGGGGTAGCCTGTCTTAGTAAGTACTCTCACCTTGAAGTCTGCCCGTCTCCGAGACAATATATTCCTAACCACTTAATTGCATATGAATAGGTGGAAACAACGTTGATCTTGCTAGGATTGCTCTGCAAAGAGCCGCCGACTATAACGGTCATCTGCAGAATCTGTCTCAGTCACAGCGGCTAACGCAGGATGAGGTAAACGAGTGTAGGCAACTAGAAGTAGAATGGCTAATTCTGCGAATCACACTGGTAACGGCTCGAAAATGAGCTTTAATCATGCTGCCAATGCTGATCGAACGTCACAGGCCTGGAAAGAGGATCAATTCGACGTCGCAGAGCATATGTTCAGTAAGGCAGAAGCCTTGAGTTCATCGCTCAGTCCATCTGCAGCCGAAAAGCTTGCAGATCTCTTATTCAGAGTTGGAGAGAGTTCCCTTCATAGAAAGGACTTTCCAATGGCGATCAAATGGGTACAGAGAGCTTATGACATGCTCAATGACCAGGAGTTGGAGAAAATGTCTCGAGATGCTGTTGAACTGCGACTTACAGTAGCTCAAGTCCTTGTCACTGCACTCCTCGGCGTCCAAACCACTGACGGGTACGAGAAGGCGCAGAATCTTGTTCGCTATCTGAAGTCCGAGATAGGAGACAAGTTGGTGGTGCTCCTGTTGGATTTGGAGGTTTTGATCAAGGCCCCTGACGAGGTCTTCGATGCCGACGCTTATGCACGCATTCTTGAGCGAATGATGCAGATTTTCAATCATCAGGAGACCAACTTCAAGCTTCTGGTATATCACATTCGGAAGCTGCATGAGAAAAGCCCGAGCGATGGGGTCAGGATACTAGACATGTTTCTCCTCACACTCAACGGGCAGCAATGCGACGCTTCCTGGATCGAAAACCTTGTCATCACTCGAATGTGGATGATAACTTCGCACAGAGATTCCGACAGTGGCATCGACGAAGCTCAGAAGTTGTTGCACAAGTTGGACAAGCCTTTGGGTGCTGAGGGCACGGTAGCTGCACAAACAGTATGGTATTCCAGACACGGGCTTTGTCAGTTGACTAATTAGACTCAGTTGATCTGGAAGAAGCTCGAGTATAACTTTACTCAACATCAATTTGACCTGGCTGAGAAATGGTGTCGACTTGCTCTTAGCCCGTTGTTTCGCAACTCCGGTCCTCACAACATAGCGAAGCTTGAACGGTACAGTATTGATAAGACAGTGACTTACATCAACTGACAATGATAGGAAATTACTTCTGTGTGCCTCTGCAAGGAACGATCTCGACTCTGCAAGAGCAACCTTTCTCAGCATGTCCGAGAGCACACAAAAAGAGCCGATGACACGATATTTAATGTACAAATTCGCAGTTCGGAGCGGCGATCGTGAATTAGCATCTGAATGCCTCGAACTAGTCACCAAGGCGTCCAAGAATAATGACTTCTTATATGCCTGCGTCCTGGATTCCCATCATTCGGGTGATAACGTTGTGGTTATCGAAGCTATGAAAAAGCTGGCTGAGAAGTACGAATATTCGGAGGCTACCCCGGTACATCTGCCAGCTTTAATGCGATGCATGATCAGGCTACTCTATACTCTCCTAGAGTCAGAAAGAGAGGGCATCGACCATGAGGATGTTGTTCAAGAACTCTGTAACACGTTCAACAACGGTAAGCGATGACATTTTTATGCGCATGCAACGTTATACTAACACAAGCTTGTGGAGTGAATAACGCAATACAGCGCGACCCGAAAGATGCCTCGGGCAAAAAGCTATTCGATGTCAATGAATTGGAATGGTTTTGTCAGAATTCCTACAATCTTGGATTGAAGCACGCAGATACCTGGGATTTGCGGCACATTGTCACCATCCTCACCTGTTCCCTGAACATCATCAATCATTTCCCCGAAGATGTGCCTTCCCAAGTGGCTGTGGATCTCTCATTGAAATCAATTTTCTGCAATTTCCTCATTGCGTGTGCACTGGTGGCCCTCGCGAGGGCGCAGGATAATGTTGAGCAGCAACTTCAGGACTATCTTGTCATGCGGGGACACATTTCCGCCTTCGATACAGCTTTGCAGGAGCAGCTTCAGATGCTGGATGAAGTGTCGACGAAAGATCTCCTCAACAAGCTTTCCATGCTACTAGTATTTGATTTTGAAGGAGCAGCTTGTTTGAAACAATGGGAAGATCTTGGGCAAATCGTCCTAAAGGCGAGTACCTGCAAATGCCTCGAGACGTTTCAGGCGATGGGAGACTGTCTCCTCAGGGCGAAACCTCCTGTACAAGGCAAGTCTTTGAAAACCTAACTCCGATTCTGTAGCTAACACAGTGGAATCAAACAGTGCTGTTTGCTGCAATGAGAAAGATTGTCAACGAAGTAGCAGTCTTGCCAGGGTTCGACAGCATCAAGCTAGCACGGTACACTAGATGCCTCTTGCAAGCAATACTTCCATTTAGTGATGAGTTGGCTCAGCAATTAATGACAGATATCTGCAAGATGGCTCAAGATGGAGCAAAGGTAAGATCTCAACCGAAAATTCCTCGATTTTCCAAATTAGGGCACCTGTCACTTACCGCCATTCCCGTGGCACTAGAACGGCCTAGTTGCTAACTTTACCTCAGAGCAATGTGAAGTGGCCTAGTGAAGAGCTGGAGTGGATGTCAATAACGGCGTACAATCATTGCGTCGATCTCTTCTTCGCAAATCAAAGAGATGAATGCCGAATCTGGCTGGGCAAAGCAATGGAATTGGCTCAATACTGCTCTGCTGATGGCAATCTGGTTGGGCTCTTGCAGGATAAATATCTGAGGCTGAAGCTTGATGGCTGAATCATCATCTTAGTTATTAAGGAATATGAGGTTGGACGTGTCGAATTGCTACGCTTCACAGACGTCGTTGCAAAGAAGCAAGACTTGGGACGGTGATCCGCAGTCAGGCTCAGGGAGAGAACAGCGCTAGCTAGGCATTTACTGAACATTGTCACAATCAACTTCTGCCAACCCTGTGTGTGTTAAAATTGCTGTTTGCTGCAAGCGAGGTAGACTGTCTAAGTTTCGAGTAGTTGTAATGTCCGAAATGCATCCTGTACATCCGTGTCAACTAGCCAGCGACCATACTCTAGATTTTGTAGGAGAAACGTATTATGAGAACCTATGACCACATGCATAAGAATACTTGAACAGATGATTCTCCAGTAATATCTGCGGCTGGATTATCTGCATGAATATTGTCGCGGAATACCGCTGGACTTTCGGCGCTGAACTACACGTCCTTTCGGTGATAACATTTGAGTGCACCCACCAGCCATTGCTTAACAATTTCTTAACGCCGTCCTCGTCATCCCTTTGAAGGATGGTTTTCGGTGTTATTTCACGCGCCAACCACGCCGACTGCTCCAAGGAGATGTCGTGACTAAACTGACGCGCACAAGGTGCCTTTCCGACCCGGCGGTCCCAATGCTGGGCCGGCCATGAACGAGCTGGAAATGGAGGTAAGAATTCGGTATTGTACAATTTCGGGGAAACGGTCTAGTCGTTTCCTCATGAAGTTTTTCTCGCCGATCCAGCGATAGGCGATAAAGTTTCATGGCCTGCAGACGGTGGGTACAAAAGATGCGATGCCCTCGTGAAGATGAGAAGCTTGAGGAGAGGCAGTCCAGTCAACATCCATCATATCTGCAACCCCTTTACTCATCCCTTCACATCTATCGAACACCACATCGCGACTTCCATTCAACGCCATTAGAGTGCTTAGATAGCTCATATTTTATACTACTCTTCATCTTCAGCCCCGAGAGCCACAGGTACTTAACCTCAACTAGCACTACAGTCTTTTCTTCTTCTCAGTCATAGCGATGGCGAAGAGAGTTCTCCTCACAGGTGCCAACGGCCTAGTTGGCCAGCATACGTTAGCTGCCTTCCTCGAAGCAGGCCACTTTGTACGAAGCGTTGTGAGGTCACAGTCTAAGGTGGCCCAGCTCTCGTCACTCTTCTCCAAGTATCCCGCCTCACAGATGGACTTTGGCATAGTCCCCGATATCACAGCGCCTGGTGCCTTTGACTCCGTGCTGAAGGCTGAGCCACCCTTTGACGCTATAGTCCACGTAGCGTCACCGTTCAACTACCGCAAGAACTCTACAAATGCTGAGTTCCTCGATCCCGCTATAAAGGGCACTACGGAGATCCTGAAAGGAATCGTCAGGGTAGCACCCACTGTCAAGCGCGTCGTGATGACTAGCTCCATGGCGGCCGTCATCAACTGGACGCAGCCAAAGGTCGCCGACCCGCAGAAGGTCTACGCCGAGGAAGACTGGAACCCCGTGACGTGGGAGACGGCGACGACCACCGAGCTGCCAAACACCATCTACCAGGCGAGCAAGAAGTTCGCCGAGCTGGCGGCGTTTGACTTCGTGGCGAAGGAGAAGCCCAACTTCGACCTGGCGGTCATGAACCCGCCCATGGTCTACGGGCCGACCTACGACCCGAGCATCTTCACCAGCGTCACGGAGCTCCCCGAATCCGTGTACAGCGTCTACAACAAGACGCTGGCGGCCGGCCTGTCCGAGTCGTCGCCCCTGCCGCCGACGGGCCTGCATCTCTACGTCGATGTCCGCGACCTGGCGCAGGCGCATCTACTCGCGGCGACGGTGGCCCAGGCCGGCGGCAGTCGGTACATTCTGGCTGCGGGGCAGGGCGACATGTCCACGCAGCGGATCCTCAACATCTTCAGGGCGACCCTGCCGGGTCTCAGCGGTCGGATCCCCAATGGCGAGCCCGAGAAATGGGAGTCGGAGAAGGGCTTGTTCGGTGCGAGCAACAAAAAGGCGAAGGAGGTGCTGGGGCTCACCTTCCGGACGCCGGAGGAGACGATGGGTGATATGGCGAGACAGCTGTATGAGCTTGAGAAGAGACTGGGTTCCTCTCAGTGAAGTATGGGGATGAGATGTGGAAGAACATAGCACAAAATGGACTGGAAGGTCTAAGCTATGACTTTATGATATATACTAGCAATACGACCAAGATAGGCTCAACTACATGATCCTCTGCCGCTGTTGATGTGCCATGAAGATTCTGAGCCTCGGACTGTTCACTTCGCAAAATGTATGCTCTTGGTATAGCAGTACGACTTCAATCCTTGCTTTCCCATCTCTCCACCAACTCCACTATCCTTGAAGCCGGAGAAGTAAGCATTCGGGTTTGGCATCTCGTGAGTATTGATGTACACGGAGCCGGCGTCAAGCCTCCGGGCAATACTCTCAGCACGCGCAAGGTCCTTGGAGTAGACTGTGGCACCAAGACCAGCGTTGGCGAGGTTGGCACGAGCCAGCACGTCATCTTCAGACGACCATTTCAGAATTGGGATCACTGGGCCTGCCAGTTGTTAGTACTCGCTCGCTTGAGGATATGCCTTCTGAACAGCTCATGGATCGGCTGTACGCACCGAATTGCTCTTCCTGCACCACCAGGGAGTCTTCTGGCGGTTCGGCCACAACAGTGGGTGGGATCCAGTACCCCTTTTCCGGCAGCGGGCTATCATCGACCGTCACCTTGGCGTTTCGCGTCTTCGCATCATCGATGAACTTCTTGACGATGTCAAACTGCATCTTGTTGCTCACCGGCCCAAACACAGTCGGGGCGGCACCGTCCTCGACAATGGTGTACTTCTCCCTCGTCTCGGCGATGAACTTGTCGAGAAACTCGTCGTAAATGTCCTCGTGCACGTACACGCGCTTCGTGGCCACGCACATCTGGCCCGCGTTGAAGAAGCTTCCCGCTGCGATCAGCCCGACCGCCTTGGGGATGTCGACATCTGGACACACGACGGCGGCGTCGTTGCCTGCCAGCTCGAGCGTCACCTGCTTGAGGGTCTTCGAGCAGGCTGCCATGACGCGTTTGCCCGTGGCCGTAGTGCCGGTGAAGCTAATCTTGGCGATGCCCGGGTGGCTAGTCATGAGGGCACCAAGCTCGGCGCCACCGTTGACGGCCTGAAGCACGCCAGGGGGAAGGATAGGGATGCAGAGCTCGACAAAGCGCAGCACTGCATATGGCGTGAAGGGCGAGGGCTTGACGATGACGCAGTTGCCGGTGATGAGGGCCGAGACGATCTTGAGGTTACAGAGAATAACAGGGAAATTCCAAGGGCAGATAGCGCCAACCACGCCGAGAGGCTGGTGTGTCGCGATAATGCGGAACTTGTCGTCTTCGAACTGAACTTCGTCCTCGAGAGCTTGTGAGGCTGGAATAGGTTAGCTGGGAATAGGGAGGAACTGGTCGCTTGTGGAGAGCCGCAACTTACACACGACATGGATCTGATCAATGGTGTTTCTCATTTCGATATGTCCCATCAGGCTCTACAGCTCATATTGTTATGAAATTATCGAATGGTAGTCCTTCCAGTCGGTAGATTCTTACAGATTTGCCGGTCTCTCTCATGGTGAGCTCACTCAGCTCATCAGAATTGTCCTTGACGATATCCGCCATCTTTTTCAACGCCTCCTGGCGTTCTGCAATTGTTGATTTGCACCATGTCTTGAATGCCTTATTGGCTGCGGCGATGGCCTCTTCAAGGTCCTCAGCAGAGGCAATGGGGGCGTCCCATAGCGGCTCTTCCGTCCGTGGATCAGTCACCTGGTGATTCTTTACACTGCTGCGTTTCTCGCTGTTGATGATGTTGTAGAACTGAGGCTTCCCAAGGCTACCCATCTTGCTTGCAATCGCAAATTTGTGCTCTTGTATATCTTTTCGACCTCTGAATATCAAGCAGGAGAGAAAAGTCGCAGAAAGGAACTCCTTTCAACTTATATCGCTGTCATAACAGACGGAAAGGGTTGTTTCAGCAACTCTGCCGAAACGCGTTGTTTAATAGACACCTCGCTCTAACACAGCTGACACTTTAATATGCGCCGCTATTTACCCATTTACAGGGAGGACGGATCGCACTTTGACGTAGAGAGCCCGAGTCCACCTCCCCCGCGAGGCCATCTTGCCAATGCGGAGAATGAGGGGTCGTACCAGGGGGAATGGCGGCAAATCTGCCGGTGCGTTGGAGAGTTCCAGGATCCGAAGAAGGCGGCCATGGAGGGTGCTCGCCGCCAAAGGGGAAACGTGTGCCCTGTTCGGGAGATATAAGTGAAGTGCGATGCGCGCAGATAATCCGAGGCTATGGTACCGGCAGGGCTGGGGGTCCACCCGACGCGTTCATTCGGCCATGAGATGCTGGGACGGGCTGCTCGGGAGACTACCCAGAGGAGCGTTTGTGACTGCCCTTGCCCCGATCCTTAGCCATGCTTTCAAGACCATGCACGCCTTTTGTATTTGCTCAACTGGACAAGTCGTGATTTTGTGTGTTATATGCTCTCTTAGATGTCCGTTGGCAAGACTTGAACGCATCTTTCTTCAATGGCTGTATGTACAAGTTGGGCGAGAAGTGCCGTAAGCACTCTAACGCGAAGCTTGCACGGCGCTAAGAGGCAACACTATACAGTGGATCGTGCAGCCCCATGAGATCCATCGAGGCTGACCCCGGAGCCTGCCCAGGTGGGTGGCTCCTTCCTCGACTGACGAATCTGGGCTCAGCCAAGTCAGCTTACCTATTTCACTGCCTTGAGCACTAAAACTAAGATGAGTTGGGTCAAGAGCCAAAGTGCTTGTTAGGATGAGTGAGTGGTATTCTTTATGTGGAGCATGCCTCTTCATTGTGTATGAAACTTGGAACGCTTTGCACGACATTCACAATGCATTTGATCGACTTGGCCTCTGTATGTCTTTCAATAAGAAGCGAGCATTGTCGGCTTGTGAGATTGTATCCTTCAGCGCGAATGATGTAAAATGCAGAGAGCAAAAGCTTCGGCCGGGCGAGTTGGAGACGGGGCTCGGCAGCCTCCGACACGCCCCGTCTCGCCGCCGGTCTCCGAACGGTCATTATGCGGCTGATGTAAGAGCTCCAATTTACAACAACATTGTGTGAATTCAAAGTAGTTAGTGGTGACTAAAAGGCTATTGTCGAAGAGAAAAGTGAAGAGCTGGCCATACCATACAGGTGAGTGATGAGTGATTTAAGTATCTTCTGAGGTATATTGTCCAGTATCAGAGGCTGGGGAATCTGACTCAGTGAATCTGATGATTGATTGATTGACACTCGGCGGGTTGATCATTGAGAACCCCACCTAGAGGGTGCAGTCGCTGATAAGCAGCTTAAGCATCCCACTGGACGGGAGGATGGTCAAGAAAGCTGTGATTTGCTCTTTTAGGAAATGAGGCTTGAGACCGCGTTTCTTTTAGATCGGGGCTGCTGTCATCAGCTTGGATCTGGCAACTACCTAAGTGATATATATACATGTATTAGTGTGCGTGCATTATACCTATGATGGGTATCTCTGAAAAGGTACAGTACACAATCAATCGGGATGCGGCGATAGTGCTCAGGAGCTCTCCTCTCCATGGCACTACCTCCCTAATATTGCCACCCTGGACGGGCACTAAAAACCACCAAGTCATGCACTTCACTTTCACTCGCTGATAACAAACCACACATGCCCCAGTTTGTCACATTTAGATCCATCCGACGCCCTACCGCCTCACCTCACCTCACTCACTATAGGCTACCTATCTGGTATCTAAGCTTAGCTTGAGGAGCTTCTCTTTCCTCTCTTCTTCTCTTTCCATCACTCCTGTCTGTTCCGTTATGATCCGTTAATCTCTGTGACACGGACGCAGGTAAATCTGAAGAGACTGTCTGTGTGGTGACACTTACACAATGGCCCCGATTGCCATCTCTCCAGAGCGAGATCCTGCCCCGCAGGTGGGGTCCTTGACAACGTCCTTTGACGACACCATCCGCTTCTACCTCAACGGCACAAAGGTCATCCTCGACGAGATCGACCCTGAGGTGACCCTGTTGGAATATCTCCGGGGCATTGGGTTGACCGGGACAAAGCTGTACGTTTGTTCGCTCCATGATCAATTTTGATCGGACCTCGTACGTGCTAACTCTATACTCAGTGGGTGCGGTGAAGGTGGATGCGGTGCCTGCACGGTTGTCATCAGCCAGTACAACCCAACCACCAAGGAGATTTACCACGCATCCGTCAATGCCTGTCTGGCGCCGCTGGCCAGCGTGGACGGCAAGCATGTCATCACGATTGAGGGAATCGGCAATGTCAAGCGGCCACACCCGGCCCAGGAGCGTGTGGCCAAGGGCAACGGAAGCCAGTGCGGTTTCTGCACCCCCGGCATTGTCATGAGTCTGTATGCCCTGCTGCGCAACAACGAGAGCCCTACCGAGCACGATATCGAGGAGGCTTTCGACGGTAACCTGTGCAGATGTACCGGGTACCGGCCGATTCTCGACGCCGCCCAGACCTTCAGCGTCCAGAAAGGCTGCGGCAAGGCAACGACGAATGGGGGATCCGGATGCTGCATGGAGAATGGAAATGGCGCAGATGGCTGCTGCAAGAACAAGAGCCTGGACGATGGCCAGCCGATCAAGAGGTTCACGCCGCCTGGCTTCATCGAGTACAAACCAGACACCGAGCTCATCTTCCCGCCGGCTCTCAAGAAGCACGACTTCAAGCCCCTGGCTTTCGGCAACAAGAGAAAGAGGTGGTACCGCCCCGTCACCCTGGACCAGCTGCTGGAGATCAAGAGCGTCTACCCGACGGCCAAAATCATTGGCGGAAGCACCGAGACCCAGATCGAAATCAAGTTCAAGGCCATGAAGTACCCCGTCTCCGTCTTCGTTGGCGATATTCCAGAACTACGACAGTTCTCTTTAAAGGACGATCATATTGAAATTGGCGGCAATGTTATCCTCACTGACCTGGAGAATATCTGTGAGCAAGCCCTGGAGCACTATGGCCCGGAGAAAGGACAAGTCTTTTCGGCGATGTTCAAACAGCTCAAATACTTTGCTGGGCGGCAGATCAGGAATGTCGGAACACCAGCAGGCAACCTCGCTACTGCGTCACCTATCTCAGATCTCAACCCTGTCCTAATGGCAGCAGATGCCGTGCTCATCGCCAAGTCGCTGGAGAAGACAACAGAAATCCCAATGTCTCAGTTCTTCAAGGGCTATCGTCGAACAGCACTCACCCCTGATGCAATCATTGCATCTATTCGAATCCCGATCACGCAGAAGAACGAGTATTTCAGAGCATACAAGCAAGCGAAGAGGAAAGACGATGATATTGCTATTGTCACTAGTGCACAGAGGGTGCGGCTAGATGATGACGGTGTGATCGAGGAAGCCAATCTTGTCTATGGTGGCATGGCGCCGTTCACAGTTGCCGCGAAACAAGCGAACGAGTTCATGGTGGGCAAGAAATTCGCAGATCTCGAGACACTTGAGGGCACGATGAATGCGTTGGAGAAAGATTTCAACCTGCAATTCGGCGTCCCTGGCGGTATGGCTTCATACAGAAAGGCCCTTGCCTTGAGTCTGTTCTATCGGTTCTATCATGAGGTAATGCTCAGCCTCGGTGATATCAAGAACCTAGACGAGCAGGCGGTAGAGGAGTTGGAGCGAGAGATATCCACGGGTGAGACGGATGGGTCAGCGACCATGGCATACGAGAAAGTCATCCTAGGAAAGGCAAACCCTCATGTTGCTGCTTTGAAGCAGACAACTGGAGAGGCGCAGTATACCGACGATATCCCACCGTTGGCAAACGAACTCCACGGCTGCCTCGTTTTGTCAACTAAAGCTCACGCTAAGATCACCTCTATCGACTATTCTGCTGCATTGGAAATACCCGGCGTGGTTGATTACATTGACAAGGACGATTTCCCGACGCCAGATGCCAACCACTGGGGAGCACCTCATTTCGAAGAGGTCTTCCTCGCAGAAGACGAGATCTACACCACCGGTCAGCCTATTGCCCTCATTCTCGCAAAGACGGCGTTGAAGGCAGCCGAGGGTGCTCGTGCTGTCAAGGTGGAGTATGAGGAGCTTCCTGCGATCTTCTCTATGGAAGAGGCTATTGAGAAGGAGAGTTTCTTCAACTTCTTCAGGGAAATCAAGAAGGGCGATCCGGAAGAGGCGTTCAAGAACTGCGACTACACATTCACCGGCATTGCACGCATGGGTGGTCAAGAGCATTTCTACCTTGAGACTAATGCCTGCATTGCGATACCCAAGCCGGAGGATGGCGAGATGGAGATCTTCTCCAGCACGCAAAACTGCAACGAAATGTGAGTGATATGCATAGGATTGAAATCAGTTAGTCACATCATGATTTAAAATGCTAATATCCACATAGGCAAGTTTTCGCTTCAAGAGCTCTTGGAGTTTCAGCAAACAAGGTGGTCGTGAAAGTCAAACGCTTGGGTGGTGGTTTCGGCGGCAAGGAGACCAGATCTATCCAACTCAGCACAATCCTGGCAGTCGCCGCCAACAAAACCAGAAAACCAGTACGATGTATGCTAACCCGTGAGGAAGACATGGTGACATCTGGCCAAAGGCATCCGTTCCTTGGCAAGTGGAAGGTCGGAGTCAACAAGGACGGCAAGATCCAAGCGCTCGACCTGGATATTTTCAACAACGGTGGCTGGAGTTGGGATCTGAGCGCGGCAGTCTGCGAAAGAGCGCTAAGTCACAGCGATGGCTGCTATCTGATTCCTAACATACATGTCCGCGGTCGCATCTGCAAGACCAACACTATGTCAAACACCGCCTTCCGTGGCTTCGGTGGTCCTCAGGGCATGTTCATCGCAGAGACTTACATGGACGAGGTTGCCGACCGCTTGGGCATGGCCCCTGAGAAATTCCGAGAGATCAATTTCTACAAGGACAACCAGGAGACGCATTTCAACCAGCCTCTCACGGACTGGCACGTTCCACTAATGTACAAGCAAGTACAAGAGGAGTCAAACTATGCCGCCCGGAAGGAAGCGATTCGCAAGTTCAACGACACCCACAAATGGCGCAAACGAGGCATCAATCTGATTCCGACCAAGTTTGGTATTTCCTTCACTGCTCTGTGGTTCAATCAAGCAGGTGCTCTTGTGCATATCTATCATGATGGCTCGATTTTGGTTGCTCACGGTGGTACTGAGATGGGTCAGGGGCTGCACACCAAGATGTCGATGATTGCGGCAGAAGCACTCCAGGTGCCTCTCGACACGGTCTTCATTTCTGAAACCGCCACAAACACCGTTGCCAATGCGTCTGCTACGGCCGCGTCTGCTTCATCTGACCTGAACGGGTACGCCATCTTCAACGCTTGCGCTCAGCTCAATGAGCGGCTTGCCCCTTACCGAGAGAAGCTTGGCCCATCCGCAACGATGAAGGAGCTTGCCCATGCCGCATACTTCGACCGTGTCAATCTCTCTGCTCAGGGTTTCTACAAGACGCCGGAGATTGGCTACACATGGGGCGAGAACAAGGGCAAGATGTTCTTCTACTTCACTCAAGGTGTTGCCGCTGCTGAAGTGGAGATTGATACCCTTACTGGTACCTGGACATGTCTCCGCGCTGACATCAAGATGGATGTTGGTCGCAGTATCAACCCCTCTATCGACTATGGCCAGATTCAAGGCGCTTTTGTCCAAGGCCTAGGCTTGTTCACTATGGAGGAGTCGCTTTGGCTTCGCAACGGTCCTCAGGCTGGTATGCTCTTCACGCGCGGCCCAGGCGCGTACAAGATCCCTGGCTTCCGAGATGTACCGCAAGTCTTCAACGTTAGTCTTCTAAAGGACGTGGAGTGGAAGGATTTGCGCACGATCCAGCGCAGCCGCGGTGTCGGCGAGCCGCCCCTGTTCATGGGCAGCGTCGTCTTTTTCGCGATCCGTGACGCACTGAAGGCCGCGCGAGAGCAGTACGGCGTCGCCGCCAAGGTCGGTTCAGAGGGCGGCGAAGGAGACGGGCTGCTGCGGCTGGAGAGCCCGGCGACGCCGGAGCGCATCAGGTTGGCTTGTGTGGATCCCATCATGGAGAGGGCGCGTGTGCTGCCGAAGGAAGGGGAGAAGAATTTCTTCATTGCTATCTGATGTTTGTACGGCTAGGTAGGACACGGGGCAGATTGGAGTCTTCTTTCGCTGTGTACATATCCCGCTCGGTCAGGGGCAAGTTTGACAATGAATGATTTCATGAGTAAGATATGATTTGTGCCGGTTTGTGTGAAATTGGCAAATAACTTGATGTTGGTGACTGATATTTCGCTGCCTGCGCAGAGATGTTAAGTATGGTTGGCTTGCAATGCGTCATCGTGACATAGCAAACGAGGAAACACCAGTTGGAGCAATTGTTTGACTTAATGCTGGTAGTTAGAATCAAGAAGTAGAGGCTATGACGAGTGAAAAAGATTATAAATAACGAGATTATCCTCCAACGTTGTGCTTAATCTCCAATGCTCCATGGCTCTCGGTCGCTCACCGGCCGCAGTGACTTCAGTCCAGAATGGGCTTCAGTCTCTGTCTGACTGAACACGACATGTCTTGATGAGTTTATATATACTCCAATGTTCACAGTTGTATTACGGCCTGGTTTTTCTTCTATATACTATCATACCTAGATCAAGTCGGCACTTCCGCTTGAGAACGGCAAGATAGATGACGCTATCCCCGTCCAGTGAGACACTGGTCTTCCTTAACAGCACCGCGAAGCCACTCTCCTTGCGTTTGGAACACGTCCTTCAAACTTGGGACTCGAAAAAGTGGGCCACAGTCTCATACATGCAGTAGGAGAGACACACGTCGGATCTCAGTGCAGGGTCCTAAAATAGTATGTCCGAACTCATACAAAGCGCTGGAACCGTGCCAAAACAGCCTCGTATTGGCTCGCAACGGTTCTCTCTTGGCCTTTTGAAGAAGCGGACTGCCTGACAGCATTTAGGGCGTGCTACATTGCAATCATCGCAAACTATAAACGTCTCAGAGACATTCTCGACCGCCACCAAGGGTGATCAACAAACGGTGGCAAAAGAAATCACACTTACAACGATTGAAGATATTGCTGGACGCCTAGCCCGACATGCCGACTTCCCATCGCCCAGATTTTGCAAATCAATTATCACACAAGTAGGAACCTTTCTACAATGGTTCATTTCCCAGCAATTTGCTTTTCTTATATAGAATTCTCTAGGCTATTGATAATCTTCAGCACAAGAGTACCAGACACTTACTCCTGTGCTGATGACCCCCGACACTAACCTAACTGTGTCATATTCCTCCTTCCAGCCTCACCGGCTCTGGATGGTATCACGAGTGTCGACATCGAAGTCCGGGTTGCGAATCAGGACGGCGAGGCTGGGAGGAAGATGCCTTTCACTATTAACCGGGCTGTATAAATTTGATAAGTTCCACATATTTAAGAGCGTTAACACAATGCCCTATAATGCACGCAGTCATTCATGAACATTCTACATTGGAACGAACACTACAACGGCGACAACATCAAACCGACAGAATGTCTGTGGTTTTGGACGACTGGCTACGATGCATACCCAACGAATATAAGGTCGACAAAGCCCTCATTCTCAGACAATTACATCGAATAGGGCATACGATCGACAAAGAGTTCGCACCATCCAACCACATTGTCCACAAGAATACAACTAAATGTCTGGACGAACTCATCAGTTTCAAGCAACAACCTCCAAAGACGGAAAACTGGTAGGCTAAATGCAAAGAGGGATCTTTCAAATGGCCAGCATTTCCGCCACTCTCTCTGTATTGGGCCGCCAGAACCCTGGATCGGACTCGGCAGCCATTCTTGGTTTTAAATAGGTGAACCAACTAAACCAGTATATTGATACTGAAAGTAAGTACTCTATACTATCTCATTTGGCACCTATAGACCTAACATAATACAAGACTCTCCCACTCTGTCTTACTGTATACACACTCACTTATCCATCCAATAACCTTATAGCTCATTTGATACCTATAGGTATAGACTAACCCTACTTTTATAAACCTATAGGCGCCAAATCAGCACTAATTTATCGATATTACTTGAACCCTATCCTGACCAACATCTTACCACATCCATAGGTTTTAAACAATCTTAGCAATAATCACTAACGAGGACCAGCTATAGAGTTCTTTAGACCTATCTAGCTTCTAGAGGCAAATAGTCTGTTTAGAGTCTTCAAGTATCTATGATTTAAGAAGTGCTTCCTCCTCATCGTCAAGTCGAACTCTCGAAGCGACCTACGATATAAGCTATATACTATCGTTACCATCAGCTAGGCTGGCGAGTCTATCGCCAAATTGACGGTCGATGTTCGTTTTCAATGAGTTACACAAGAAGTTAGAACTCATTGCCGAGGACGTAGCGAGGCGGGGGTGGACAGTGCCCTTCTAACAGCACACACCAGATCGCCGTATCGCTGTAATCTTCGGAGACTCATAGTGTCTCTTCAGCCAGATGGCAATCTTGCCTCACCTTTACTTTACAAGAAGGTCGGCTTACATATAGCAGTTGATTCCAAGGCATTTCTACTACTTATATTTTATTTTATATCCATAAAATCTAGTTTAACTCCGGATCCCACCCTTGCAAAGTGAGGTAACAACCTTGATCTTCAACGAGATGCTTAGTGGTGTGGAATCAGGGGGCTACCGTCACCATCTGCCACGCCGTGCATGGCTGGCAGGGGGTTCTGGGCAACAATCACTTCACAGCCCAGCAGGGTATCCATGGGCCCAACCGTCATTCCCGCGCCGCTCAAGCTCTTGGGTCAAGGACTACCGAACTCTCGCAGTATATCACCAATGCACCAGTCTGCGAGATCCAGCCAAGACGTAAGGAGGTCCGGATGTTACCGCGAAGCAGCCAGCAGGGCTCTGACAACGGGGAAACCAAGAAGATATATCACATGATGGTATATATAAGATGATACTGCAGATGATGATATAAAAGAGGAGATGATAAAAGACGACATAACGTCGTTCGAAGGAAGGGGGGACGGGGCCTGGGGTTATTGAATGATGATGAATTGTAAAGTCCAGTTGCCGAACTACTTCAATCCTAGAAACCCTTGCTTACATCGCAACGAAGCATGACACTGTTGACAATTCCGAACACATCACCGCAGCCACAGACTTTTAGATGAAGACCCTCCAATCTTCTTTCTGGAGTTTATTGGAGGAGTGCGCGTACAACACTGTAAGCAATATAGATATACAACATTTTAAGCAAGTTCGACAGAAATCTGATGACGCGGCATGTAGAGTTGGACCTTCTAGAAACGCACATTGCTAATATACACAGCTATGTTATCTTGGTTTGGCGTGAAATCTGTATAAGTTAGATTTTGCCATGAAATGATCTTCAGATCCCGATACGGACGGCTAGATGTATACTCTGATAATGGAGTATACAAGAACTATAGATCATACGAGCTTGAGAACTCAGTTCTACCATCGCTAGATTAACTCTATTGGCCCTGCTCTACTCTCTATTCTTGGATGTACTTCTTCAGACCCCGTAGCCTCTCCTTCGCAGTCTCTAGAACATCGTCGGGTTTGCAGACGGCGAACCGGAGATAGTCCTCTACGATCAGGGCGTTCTCGTCCGTGTAGAACTCTGTGGGTGGGATAGCAGCCACTCCAACCTCCTGGATGAGGAACCAGGCCAGCTTGAAATCTCTTGGGCGGTTGGCGACGTGTGGCGGGAAGGGATAGTCCTCTGGGAGCTTGACCTTCTTCAGGTTCACCATGACGAAGTATCCACCCTCAGGGTCTGAGTATGGAAGGCCGAGCTCGTCCCAGACCTCATTGAACCGCGTCATGCGTCCCTTCATGTCCTTCACACACTCGTCCCAGAATCCTTCACCCTCGGCTTGCTCGAAACCTAGGAAGTTGATTAGTATACTCAAAAGTATGAACCAGTTCTGAGGGCGTCCACTTACCAACGGCACAAGCCTCTTGAAGTGGTGATACCGAGGAGTAGCAGATCCGAGTGTGTGCCGCTGAGACGTATTGGATCAGTTCAGCTGGACCCATCAGCCAACCGACACGCCAGCCAGTGGCGTAGAAGTTCTTTCCGGCGGAACCAACAGTGATGGTGATCTTCTCCACCTCAGGTGACAGGGTCGCAATGCGAGTGAATGGTACGTAGTAAAGCCGGTCGTACACCTCATCCGAAAGGATGATGATCTGGTTCTTGAGGCAGAGCTCTGCGATCTTTTCTAACTCTTCCTTTGAATAGACCTTGCCCACAGGGTTGTCTGTGGTTGAGTTAGCTTATCAAACTCAGTGTCATCGATGGATTTTAATGGCTTACGAGGTGTGTTGAGAACGAGCATCTTTGTGCGTGGAGTGATAGCTCTCTCGAGCTCAGCGAAGTCTATCGTCCACTCTGCCGCGGAAGATGTCTGGGTGCCACCTGTCTTGGGAGGATGCATTGGCACATAAGAGATCTTGCCGCCGGGCATCTCGATGTTGCTGATGTATCTGCAGAATATCAGCCAACGCTCTAGTAGTCCATCGAGTCCGATCTTACTGGTCAAAAAAGGGCTCAAAGACGATGACTTCATCACCGGGCTCGATGAAGGCCATGAAGGCACTCAACATGCCCTCGTTGGCGCCGGTGGTGATAGTGATCTCGGTCTCCGGGTCCAGCTTCCTCCCCCAGTACGGGGAGTAAGCGTCAGCAATCGCCTTCTTCAACCTGGGCCGGCCCTTCGTAGGGCTGTACTGATTGCAGTCCACACGGTCGAGAGCCTGCTTGGCCGCATTGAGGATGAACTCTGGCGGGTTATAGCCGAAGAAACCCTGACCCATGTTCACAATGGGCTGTACGGGTGACGCAGCAGCAGCCTCATTGATGATGGACCTGTCGTATGTGTCAGCATCAGTGCTCAACAGCCACTCCAGCTCTCAGACCCAGATTCCATGCCCATCACATCATCTAGAGCTACCATCGAATCCACCTAGAGCTTGGCAGCTTCAGCTTGACTTACCATACATCTTGACGCCTGCCCGCGACCCGGGCGGCGGGTTGCAGCTTGCCCCGTGCGGCCATTCCGGAGTGAAAGGTACGGACCGAAGGTGTGCTCGAGACGACTGGCCGCTGGAAGATGGAGCGAAGCCAAGTCGGGCGCATAGATGCAATCGATAGACGCCGGTAGTGAAGCAGACAAAATCAGACCAATTGCTGTTCTCAGAAGATCGGGATTTATAACCCTCCGCGCATCTGTGTCCTGCGCAAGTGAGTCTTCAAACGGGATGCCGAATGCCCAATTACAGGCCGTTCCGGGATCGGGACTGAGTTTACTAGGGGCATGACGCCATCCAGGCGGGTGGGAAACAGAAGCCACTAATTGGGTAGTGCCTGAACCAGAGCTTACGGGAGGATTGCCGCTAAAGCGCCTTCTAACTACTTAACTTATTTAGAGCTCAATGATATGTTAATCAACTGTTGGAATTGGCTTCCTCCCCACACATGATTATAGCTTGTTGCTAATTAGACAGGCACTAAATCAGTTGCTAGGAAACATCTAGCGAAACATTTACTATGCATATGCTGTATCTGGTGTATGTGTTGTATCTTGGAATGCCAAATTTAATAGCAGGAGGGGCAAGTTCGATAATTACCAGTGCCAAAGAGGCCAATATATTTACTTCAAAGGACATACTCCTTGTTAAGTCACCAAGGGGGACACAGCTAGATATCAATAAAGAGAGAGAGAGAGAGAGAAAATTAGAGCCTAACCTGTTAAGTCTCTTGTGGGCACAAGAACTTATATAAAACTTCTTGAACTTCTGTGACAAATGAGCCAAAGTCTCAGCAGTTGGAGAGTTGAGTTGAAAGCTGGGATGACATGTGGTGTAGTGATCACTGAAGGGTGAAGCCAATGTGAACTATTGTTCATCAACTTATTGCCTAGTTAGACAAGCCGCTGTCAGGTTATTCGTCCTCTCACCAAGAAGAAAAAGGCCATGTGCTGTAGCTTAATATTTGTAAAACCAAAACCCCAGTCCGAGATTACTCATGGTCGCGCTACCTCTTCTTTCCAAAATAAACACCACGGCAATCTTCCCTCTCCCTCTTTTCAAGCTCATCTAAGGAACCATTAGCAATCATGAGGACTCGGAACTCCGACAATGATTGCTCTCATGAGCATGTGTCCGCTCACAATTCGGGTGGCATGAGGGATCACAGGCTATATGGCATTCGGCGCAACCAACAAGGGCATGTTCAGTGGAACCATCGCTTCGCGGAATGGCTTGAGGATCTCCCTGGATCGAATTTTCACGAGAACTTCAACGCTCTCTCCTATCCTCCAGTCCTACCGACCCGTCCAGAGCTTCGCGTTAGAACCCCTCATCCCTTCCATCCTATCAGAGACTCCAAGCTGGTCACCGACGTGGAGTATCTCGAGTTCATGAAAGCTCCCCCAGCCCTCTCAGTGATCCAGTTCAAAAATCAGGCAGGCGCGCTGATCCAGGATTCCAAGTCACCATCGCACAATATCCCTCGTCCAAACTGGCCCGCTCGACAGTCCATCATCTTTCCCAGTGCTTTTCAGAGCAGGCCAAAGACAGCCTTGAGCCAGCGCAGAAAGCATGGACTTGATGAGGTAAGTCCATTTTCCCTGACGTAACTATTGCTTTTTGAGCAGTTATATAAATGTAAACCCAGACTGACTGCAAACACAGGATTCTGCAGCTGCAAGTCCAACTCCTAAGCGTGTCAAAGAAGCCCTTGGCTCTTTTAGACGACGCCGCCATTCTAGAGTAGAACCTGCTGGCTCTCAGTATGCAGCGGCAAGAAGCACTACTTCGAACATCTTCAATTTCAGGGATGTAGAAGGGGTTGGAAAGCAGCTCCTTGGCAGAATCACTCCCTCGGCTCTCCTGAACCGTGATGAGCCTGTTGGTCCAATAACAGCGGCTGGTGCTGCGAATCAGTCTCCTGAAGTTCCACACTACAATTTTCGATTTGCTTTTGTAGGGGACAAGCAAGCTGGCAAAACCTCTTTGTTATAGTAAGCAACATCATGCTGTGCTCTAGATCAGAATGCTGCTGACCTTAATTAGCCGCTTCATGAAAGGCCTTTTCCTCTTTGTATGAACCTGGCATCAGCTTCCATACCTTTGTCATCGGCTGATATCTTACTCACAGGACTATCATCCGACTGTCTTTGCAATGGAGGCTACGAGTGTTCATGTCGACAACTTCAAGGCGACTGCAGAGATGTAGGATGTCCCTGCACAGCTTGAGCCAAGACAGTCTGATCCTCTGGGAATGACCTACTTTGACCTTGTTTTCATCTGCTTCAGTATCGACAATGAAAACCACTTGGCCACGGTTATTGACAAGGTATGACACAGTCCATTTTATTCATGTTCATCAGATATTAACTTAGTTTCACAGTGGCAAGGGCATGTTCGGGGAATGTGTGAGAGTGTGCCAATTGTCCTTGTTGGCCTAAAGAAAGATCTTCGACCTTTCTGTCCAACTCTACGACTCCGCTTCCTGAATGAACCTGTTGCTGTGACACAGGGTCAGGTATGTTAAGAAGCCTTTGAATAGCTACTAAATAAAGCATTCGTCTGACTGTGATCAGGGTGAATTGGCAGCTCGTGATATCAACGCAATTGCCTACTTCGAGTGCTCTGCAAAGACCGGCGAGGGTGTGACCGAATTCTTCCAGGATGCAATGCGCCTTGCAGTTGAAGCCAAGGTCCAGCGGGAGCGCAAAATGGCAGAAATCCGACGCAAGAACAAGCCAAATATGCTGGCCAATTTGTTTTGCTTTACCTAAATATGATTTCTTTGCTTTTCTGGATCAGATGCTCAGAGGTTTTGTTCTGAGGCATTGCAGATGTTTGTGGAAGAGGTTCAAATATCTATTATATGCTACAGGACGAGCACTACGAAGAAAGCTCATGGAGCATGTCTGCGGTTGCAGGTTCAGCAATCCTCGGAGTCCCAACAAGACAGAATACTTCTGAAAGCCCTACTCTGGCTTCCTTCCATAGATGACAATGTGATCGTGCCATATCTTGGCCTTGCCTTCTAGAGCCTCCTGATGTCGCTCATTCCATATTGCATGAGCAACGGCAGGTGCCCACCCCAAGCCCTTGATAAGAATAGATCCAAACAGCGTGCTCATGCGAGTGTTGACTTCATTGTCATAGAGTATCCCTGAAGCCCTTTCTCTGGGGTTCTCCGACCAGTCTCCGTAACACACCCTAAAGGATTCCACACGCACGTCAACAAAGCCAGCTTCAGTCATGTATTCGTCGAATTTCCTGGCATGTTCCCAATTGTGACCGATACCATTGAGTGCTCTCGGGAAGGCATCAGCCCAGAGAGCCGAAGCTGACTCTGGGTCGGTCCCTTCTGCAACGCGGATAGGAAGCCCATACTCCTGAAATTCAAGCCAGCCACCTGGTCGGAGATTAGCATACGCTTGATGCATGAGACGACGCCAATCTATTTGCAAAGTGAAGATAAGTCCAGCGTGTATCAAGTCAAAGGGCTGATCAAACTGCCAGTCATTCTGCATATCCATGATCTGAAGGTGGAAGTTCGGTGGGGGCCTTTTTGAAGTAAGCAGTCTGATGATATACTATGAGGATCAAGATCTCTTACCTGGAATACAACGCGTCTATTATGTCAATGCCAGTAACAACTGTCTTTGGATGCTCTTCCACTACGACGATATCAGACATGTTTAGTAATATATGAATTCTGTAACATACGATAGTCAAACGCCCAGTTCGCTAACAACATCAGCTTTTGATAAACGACATTAATAGAATATTGTGAGCTCACCTGTTCCAGTTGCAATATCAAGTACATGTTCTGGCTCTTTGTCCTGCGGACAGAGGAGAAGCTTGCCACCACGAAGCACCTTGAGGGCTTCGTTTTGCATACCTTGTCACTCGTCAGATTTGGTCATCAATAATTTGAAGCCTACATACTTAGTCTAATCCTCTCGCTCTATCAAAAGGTTAGAGACCAGAAGTGAACACCCCGATGTTGCTTTAAGCTTACCTTGGCAGCACTATCGAGCAGATACACTGATACAATTTAATAACCACACAACTTGAGAGAGTAAGTAGACTTGCCTCTGGCTTTTACTTCATCCTCCTGCATGGAAGTTTTTTGAGTCCCGACATAGCGGCTCTCGGTGATGCTGTTTGTTTCAGTGGATGCTTCCATCTTTGCAAGCAGTTGAGGTTGCCTTCGTTGCTTGATCACAAGCTAAATCTAGCAGTTCAGCCATCCTTATATACCCTCACGCGGATCAGATAGCATGTTATCCACGCCATGTCAGCCTGGCCAGTAACGGCGGAGTTGATTCCAGAGCATTCTTACCATATGGGCAATTCTCGGCATCCATCCTTGCCTTGAAAGGCAAAGTCCCTGGCTCAGGCGCAACGAGTATAGCTTCACTAGGCAAGACAGGGTTACTTTGCAGATGACATCAGTCAAACTTCGTCCATGTGGGATGTCGATCTCAAGCATCTGCTTCCTCCGTGTCATGGCGAGACTAGCTTGATGCCCGAGTTTCACGGCCATTCGTATGGAAGTAAGGAAGCGTAACCTAGTCTCAGGTAGAAGCGGAACAGACTAATATCTGAGCCCTGCCAAAGTTCTGCAACTTATTGCAGTTACATAATTTCATTGGCTTTGCTAATCCAAATCCTGGTGAATAACTTTAGCAGGGGCAATTATAATAGCCTATTTGGAACAACATTGTAACAATTTTCACTTTGGCCGAGGTTCTTGAGTTGATCTCAAGAGCTGTACAAGCATGCAAATAGTTTCAGCCGTATGAATGTTGGTTCAGGACAGCGTTGCATAGGCTATCAGCCACGCAAGTACCCGGGTCAGTACGAGGGCTGCAGCGGCCTCTTTCGATCCTGCACGCAAGATGCGTATTGACCGACGAGTCATGTTTGCCTGCAAAAGGCAAAAAACATGGCATGTTGTATCGATGCAGCTTAGGTTATTCCTCTTATATCGCAGAAAGTTCGATGTCACAAGGTTGTCGTTCAATGTCATGGCAATTTAAAGGGGGGAGAATCAATGTTCCGTAGGTAGGAAGGAACGAAGCTTATCGATGTGGCGGTCGTGGCGCTATCTTATCAGTGATATGCATGTGGTGAGGGCCAGCTCCCACCGACATCACCATATCAAAGCTTCGGCATCAGATTAGTTACCTAGACTCAGCTCTCTTAGCTGGTGCCTGCCCAATTTTCACCGCCGAAACCCATGACGGCCTCTCGGAGTAGTCGACACCAAATATGACGGCCATTACGCCGAGAGTAACAATTAGACCCGCAAGATGAGTAGCAGCGGCCGCGATGAGCCCACACGGGGCAGCCGGCCGACAGCTCTGCCTCCCAAAGCACCAGCATCGCCAGCACCGCGGGCCAACAATAATGGTATCGCATGGCAGACTCCTCTGCTACTTACCGTGCGCTTCTCCACCTCCATTCCCGATCTCCTCCTCGACATCCCAAGGCCGTCGCAGACCACGGTCATCGCACTCAAGCACCTGATCCGCACTCGCCTGACCGAGCCCAACTCCCAGCGTCGTCTGCGCTTCATCCACGGCGGCAAGATCTTGCCAGACACTGCTGTCCTAGGCTCTGTCTTGAAGGCGCCTCCGCCCCCGCCTCGAACGGACGAGTATGACCCCAAGGGCAAGGGCAAGGCTGTCGAGGGCAGGGACGCCGCCGCACAGCGCGTCTACGTCAATTGCAGCATCGGCGACTCGCTGACGGATGAGGAGCTCGCGACCGAGGCCGAGGCGGCAAAAGCCCCGGTCCCAGAATCGGTCTCCAGCGGATCGGCGACTCCGATCCCGCACGTACACCCGGGCGGTGACGGCAGCGATGTACAGGGTGGTGGCCGGCCCAATACGGCAGGCCGAGGTCCTCGGGGATTTGATCGCCTGCTAAGTGCGGGATTCACACCCGCAGAGGTGAACCAGCTGAGGTTGCAGTTCCGCTCAATCCAGGCAGCTAGGCATACGCCAGATACAATGCCCTCCCCGGACAGTCTACGGTCGATGGAGGATGCATGGATCGACAACAACAATTCCGGCACAGGAGGTGTGGGCGGAGCCGGCGGCGACCTCGATGGGGTTGGTGCGGCCGAAGGAGGAGAAGAGTTCGGCATGAATGGTCTATTAGACGTCCTACTCAGAGGGATGATGATTGGTTTTGTGTGGCCTCTAGGAAGCATTGGATGGTTGATTCGTGGAGAGGCTCGGCTGTCAAAGAGGATGCGCATATTTGTAGGCTTTGGATTCATCTTGAGCCTCACTATAGGGATTATAAGAGCAATCTCTGGCCCCGAGCGATAGGTTTACGCAGTTGTAAGGTTTTGGACAAGTCTTTACATTGGACTAGGAATGGAGGACACAACTCGGGACCGGTCTCGTTTGCAAGCCAAAGATACCAATTTCAGTTATGCAGAAGTGGCTTCAATCACGTTCCATTCTCTCATTAAACCTATATTTGTCTGACAAAATAAGGTACAATGCCCTCAGGCAGAAAGTTCATGCCTTGGCAAGCCTGGTATTTTCCGACCTAAACGCCTTTATGAATGCAATGGAGCAGTAGCCATCAAGATATCTATGAATTCGTCGCTCTGAACGGCGAGACGACGATGTCGTGCAAGAAGAACCTTCGTCTTACAGATACAGACTCTGAGCGGCAACAATGTCTCGCTTAATCTTCTGTAGACTCGTCTCGAACTTCTTGGTCAGCTCCTCGCTGCCCATGACTTTTCCAGCTTGTGCCATTTGACGGAGCAGTTCCTCCAGTCGTCGGAAGAGTCGAATTAGGGATCCCTCATAGGCATTGGTCATTTTGCTGTCATCATAGTTAGTATATGCTCATGGTATAGTCAGTGATGGGCGAGAACACATACCAAATCTCAGCAAATGGGCGGCCTTGGGCCCATTGGTAGACCGTCTCCATAAGTTGCCATTTCAAGCTCTGCACATACTCATCCTCGTTGACATCTAGCTTGCTCTCCTGACTAACCTTGGCAATGACTCTTGCTTGCTGCTGGATCTCCCGAAACGGCTTAGCTAGCTCCTCCTTTAAATCTTGTGTTTCTACCTTCTCGTCGAAGATGAATACGCTGAGAACAGACGCGCACAATTCAGGGGTGAGCTCGTTGAAGAAGCGGTTGAAAAGCAACTCCGACAAAAGCAGCTCGTGGCCTTCTGTAGAAGAAATCTCGCAAGCAACACGAGCTTTCATTTGCACAACTTCTGCCTCGTTGATGAAGCCCAAGCGACGTAGCACACGCTTGCGAGATTTCAGCTCATCCAACTGGGCAATGCTGTGGGCCTTTGCGATCGCCTTCTTCTTCTCCTTGATCTTTTCGTTCAACTTTACCTTCGTGGCGTATTGTTCCCAAAGCTCTTGCAGTAGCGGTGAACCGTGCAACGGGTTTGACAACAGACGAGACTCGAGCACCTCGATTTTGCGCATGAGCTGCTTGAATGAATCGTCACGAATGTCCATATTCTCAATAGGATCAAGAATTGGGATGCCATCAGGGAAGCGCCTGTGAACCTCCTCCAAATGCTTGCCACACTGTGCCATCTCCTGAGATGTCTTCAGATCGCCTTTCATGAAGACGCGAATCTGGCTGAAGGCTACCACGCAATTTAGCAGACAAGGCACGACCTGATATCTGCCATGATCAGAAGAGCTCTTGAGGTAAGGACGAATGCCCTGTGGCATGACTCCAGGTGGATGAACCCGGACGACATCATCACTGTCCCCATCAAGCCTTAGCAGGACGTCCACAAAATATTGCTCCTGTGGAGGGTATTCTGGTTCACCAGCCTTGGGGGATCGTCGCGGTGTGAAGTTCAGAATGACGCCCCAATCATAATCCTCGCCCGTCGGCGTTTTGATATGAACCAAGCGACCGGGCTGCAGAAACTCGAGACAGTAATTCGGGTGCTGGATCACGGACACCATATCTTTTGTGTAGCTTTCCAGCTGTTGTCGAAGTCCATAGTACTCCTTGACTGTGCTCTCGTCCGCGATGACCATGTTATCGCGCTCTTGTTGGAGTGCAATTAACTCCTTCTCTAATTCAGGAACACTGGCCGCATTTTGGAACTGGTAAAAGCAGCGCTCTAGCATGAATTCGGGGGATATAGTCTCGATACGCTGAAGATTCAGCACCATATTGTAGCCCAGGTAAAAAGCCGAGTTCAGCTTGTCCTGGGCACCAGCAACGATGGACTTGGCGGTCTCTGGCTCAAGCTTATCATCAACCATCATGATAACAATACCTCGGTCATCAAGACCTCTACGTCCAGCTCGTCCTGACATCTGAATGTATTCGCCAGTCGTAAGGGGCCGACGTTGTACGCCATCCCACTTCGTCACTTGGGTGAACACAACAGTTCTTGCAGGCATGTTCAAGCCGATTGAGAACGTCTCAGTTGCGAATAGAACCTTGATCAGACCCTCTTGGAAAAGAATTTCAATCGTTTCCTTCAAGATAGGCAACAATCCTGAATGATGCACGCCAATTCCTCGCTCCAAGAGAGGAAGAATATGTTGTATTTGAGGTAAGTCACGATCCTCCTCGGACAGCTGATTGATGGCGCTGCTGAATACCTCACGCACCAGCTGTTTTTCGGAGTCGTTGTTGAAAGTCATCTGAGAGATCTTCAACGCCATCATCTCACAATCTCTCTTGCTGAAATTGAAGACGATGACTGGGTGAAACGACCTCTTCATGATCATCTTGATGATCTTATAGATGTCAGAACCTGAGTCGGAAGAGCCCCCCTTATTGGTCTTTTTGTTCTTGCCCTTGCCCTTCTGACGAGCCATGGGATCAGATGGGTCTGCCCCTTTCTTCTGCTCGATCAGAGCCATGGCTGTATTGAAGTTTTTCTCCTTGAAGACACCCTTTTCATCGACAATCAGGAAGATGCCCTCTCCACCTGCAGGGAAGAAGTAGTTTTGCAAAGGTGTCGGTCTGAAGTCTGTGTAAACAACGTGACATGCCTGTCGGTGTATCTTCGCTATCCATTCCGCGAACTGGAAAGCGTTGGGGATGGTAGCTGACAGGAAAACATATCTGACTTTGTCAGGGAGCAAAATAATTGTCTCTTCCCAGACCACACCTCGTGACTTGTCTCGCAGATAATGGATTTCGTCAAATACAACCCACGCGACCTCTCGCATGATCTCGGATCCTCGATACAACATCGATCTCAGAATTTCCGTCGTCATCACAAGACAGCTGGCCGTGGGGTTGATCGTGACATCTCCTGTCATAAGGCCAACATCTCCAAAGTCAGCTTGGAAATCTCGATACTTCTGGTTACTCAAGGCCTTGATGGGACTTGTGTAAATAACCCTTTGATTCCTCTTCAAACATTGTGCAATGGCATATTCTGCGACAACAGTCTTGCCGGCACTAGTGTGCGCGGAGACCAGTACACTCTCATCTCGTTCGATAGACGCAACGGACAGAGCCTGGAAGGGATCGAGCTTAAACGGGTAAACCCGAGCAGGCTCTTCTGGTGCTTTGTGTTCTGACAGTGGCACGTATTCATAATCGAGGTCAGGTGGCAATGCGACCTGATGCTGGATATTGTGCGACAGAACAAGCGACTCATTGCCTTGGGCGGCTGCAAAACCTGCAGCAGCGGCTACCTCTCTCGATGCTGCTGTCTCGAAAGTATCTGTGAGAACGGGTTCCGCTTCATCTTCCTTCTTGCGTCGCTTGTTGTCCTGGGCTCCATCTGAGTCGTCGTCATGTGTCTCGCCATCAAGTGAAGTGGGCTCGCCGTCAGCCATGTCCACATCGGCTTCCTCGTTTCCAGATTGTCCATTCTTCATATGACCATCAGCCTTTCGCTTCTTGCTCTTATCTGACTTGTCCTTCTTCTCCCTCTTCGTGATCGATTTCGTCGCTGGCGCTTCGGTAGCTCCCGCCTTCTGCGGTTGTTCGTCGAAGACGTCGAACAAGTCGCCGTCCATATTGTCGATTGACCGAGCTCGACTAGCTCGATACGTCAAAATGCTGTCAGATGCGTGAAGGGTTGCGGTGTGGTCGTTGAAGTATAATATCTCTTCAACGACCAATCTGACGTTCTTTTGCGAGCTCTGAAGCTCTCAAGAATTGCAGTGGGCGGCCGAAATCGTATGGCTGGGTGAGAGATCGAACGCGGGATGCACGATTGGCAGAAAAAAGTAAATCGTCGCTTTAGGGACAGGGGTCTAAGATAGGCGGTCAGCTACGGCGGCCCATTCTGCCAGAAGTGCGATTTCGTGACGGCTCCCGGTGACCCGAGATTTTCCCGTTCCGGACTGCTCAGTAGAGAATGTCACACCACTCAGGAATCGAGCTTTGCAACCTCCAAACGTCACAGCTATAGAGCTTCACCACCATCTCCACTCCATCACAGCTGCACCAGAGGACTAACTGAACCTTCGTCAAGGTGAGAATCACGTTAGAGATCTTTAATTGACCTCCCACAAAGCTAATTGAGTGTCCCAGATGCTCTCCCGTGCAGCCATCCGCGCGACTCCTCGCACCACTCAAGCCGTGGCCGCCCGCCGAGGCTTCCATGCCACGCGCAGCCAGCTCTCGTCGCCCTACCACTACCCCGAAGGCCCGTACTCGAACCTTCCGTTCAACACCAAGACCAGGTTCTTCGCGGTGCGATACTGGTCCTTCATGGTTGTCGGCTTCAGCGCGCCCTTCCTCATTGCCAGTGCGTGACACTCCCTCGCAACCGCGGTATTACTTTCTCCTTTCGCCTGTTGCTGACCTTTTTTCAGTCTACCAGACCTACAAGCCCCGAAACTAGACGCGATACCGACGGCACGAGTGTTTTGGGATGGTATTAGCAGAGAGATACTGGGAGGAGATCAGAGTGTAAATGTACAGCCAACAATAGACCTCATCTACCAACACGGTTCTTTTGTCACTTGCGCGATGGATCATTGCCACTCTTCGAATCAATCGCTTGCTTCTCCCACAACAGGAGTTCAAATGATTCAGGAAAACATACACTATTGGGAAGCAGTTCTCAACCCATTTCGCTGGACGATGACCCTCCACATATCAGCCTTGAATACCTTGACGGCGTACGTTGTTAATGATGCAGGCTCTCATCATCCAGATCTGATATAACCGTGGCCAATCCATTATTTCCTCTGAAACAGCCCGAGTAAGCTGAAATATCGATTCTTGATGTTTATTTTCATACAGGTGGTATCATCTCCCCCGGTGTCTATACTTCTAAAACCAGTCATTACCTGACGACCGTTTACTCCGCTTCCAATATGCCTTTTCATCAGAATATACAATAGACCTATCTTTACTCAGTAGATCACTTAGAAAGTCGTCCATAAATTTAGTGTCCACACGGTCAGGATCCCACTGTGAAGTAAGAACCTCAAAGGTCTTGAGCACCGTTTCCTCAGAACAACATTTGCGATGTGCTCTCAATATCCATATTGCCATCCATGTGTCGATACGGAGGTCTGTAGCTCCGGCATCCAGAGCTTGTAGAAATGCATGCCAGACGTTTGCTAATCGTTTGTCGTTCCAATCTGAGCCGATGCCCCCATACATATTGAAGCCTTTGAAGAGTGCCAGAAATATAGCACCATGTAGCGGCACTTTGAACCATTTCATCTCATCTAAGTACTGTGCCACTTTGGTGAGATTGCCGGTCTTTGTGGCATAGTGATTGACCAAGACTCGGTAGGTTGACAAATCTGGAGTGATAGGAGATGCTGCCTGTAAGCCGGCCCGTATGTCAGGGTGACTTCGACCAACTTTAGCAAACATCATCAGGACTTTGGTGACGACTCGTCCTGTCACATAGTTTCTTTCCGGTATCGATGATGTTTCTGAGTGCGCTGCTTTCATGCGCTCATAAATTCGCTCCGCTGCGTCTTCTTCTCCAGATCTTAGTAGGCTGGCGATGACACAATTAAGGACAACACTGTCGATCATTTCTCCGGCTTCAACCATCTCCTTGTATGCTGCCCGAACACCATCTCCGTCCATTCGTAGACCGAAGTAATGGATAAGACTGACATGGTGGTACCGATTAAACTGTATGCCACGCCCATTCATTTCCTTATAGAGCATCTCAGCCAGCGTGAAATTTCCAGCCTTGGATGCCACATCAAAGAGAATATTGAAAGTGACACCGTCGGCCTTAACACCGGCTTCCTGCTCCATCTCCCGCCAAAGGTTCAGTGCAGATGCAGTCTCGACATCTGTGGAAGTGCCGACGTATCTGCTGGCAAAAGCTATAGCTTGGTTCCATTCTTCGCGTGTGAGCGGGAAGCCGCTGTTTTTGACATCTGCTACGACTGCGAAATATCGAAGCATGGATTTGGAATCCTTCTTTTCTGTGGTTCCAAGCACTCGGAGTAGGTTGTGCCGTAATCGAAAGTGAAGATACGGCATCCGAGGCTCGGGAAGCCGGAGATAAATCCGATAGATAGTTTCGGGGTCTATGCTTAACGGCTTTCGCAGCCGCCGCAACACTGCAATCCTGAGATCTTTCAGAATCTGCTGTTCGTCATGGCTGACATGCCTAACATCTTCATAAGCTGGATACTCGATATCCTCCCTCCTGCTTGATATTGTCAAGTATGGCCCATCGGCTTGAGCATAGCCACTGCGGTACGGATCTCGATAGAACTCGAAGTGCTCGTCGACCGACCCTTCAAAGTTCTGGTCGACAAGCGACAGAAGTTCTTGTTTGTTCTGATAGAAATCCTTGGGTGGTTGTGGTACTGGCGACTCTGACTCTGAGACAGCAAGTGCTGTATGGCTTTCTCGAGTTATTGCCAAAGGGGTCATAAGTCGTGGTTTGCCCCTCCGATTGGGTCCACCAACATTGCTCTCGAAGAAGACTTGACTGCAGAGCTGCCGCGATATGTTCTGCGCATCAGATCGAGTAGTTGACCGACGTACGTCATTGCGGCATGAATGAATTGCAGACCTCGAACCAGGGATGCTCTGAATGTTGCAGGCTGGTCCTAACAAAAGTCGATTAGAAAGGATCGCGCCGCAGATCGACCCATCAACTCGGCCGGAGACTTTCATGAGCTGTCGCTCATGTTGGCTCTGCTACCACCGTAGCCTTTGGCCAGAACGTAAATGGTTGCTAAGAATTTGAAGGGGGTAACAAATGCCGAAGTGGAAGCTCGGGGATCAAGTTCAATCCGGTTCGATATTTTGCGCTTATCAGCGCGCGGCCCCAGCTTATCGCACTTACCAACCCGGAAGGAATAATTGATTAGCCGCCATCTCTAAATTTTGGTCCTAACAGACCATCGAAGAGCTCGTAACAATACACGCCGAACCTTATATATGCAGAGAGTTGCTAACACACCAAGGCATATTCTCAACACAATGCAATGCTGAAGCTGTCACTTCACTGATCCACACAACGACCTAATCTGTGCCCAATGGCACGTAGCTTACGATCCGCAAGGGTCTACCAGACAGCGAAGACCGCCTTGGCGATTCGCAATGTCGACAGCCAGAAGATGGTGCCTCCAGTATGGCTGAAGGTTATCGAGTCAATACCACCGTCTGAGATCCTCACACGCCCATATCCAGAGCAACACCAACCTCCGAACCCAAAGTTGCGACGGCCGAAGCACCTATTCAAGCCTCAACAGATCACATACGAAGAGGACGAGCTACGGCGGACATTCTTCCGGGATCATCCATGGGAGCTGGCGCGACCGCGAGTCGTTGTCGAGATGGACGGTATGGATGGGAGGCGGCTTGACTGGAGCAAAGGACTGAGGCAACCCGGTGTGCCCCTGAGTGGAGAATGGTAGGTTGACAAGCTGTGTAAAGTTTGGATTTTGAATTGTAAGACTCATCTTGTCACAGCGTTGTTCAACGACAGCTCTGGATGATGCACAATGTGCCCAACATCTCCAAGGAGCAAGCCTACGACGAGGCACGGCGAGAATTCTACCTCCTCAGACAAGAAGAGGAAATCGAGAGAAGGGTAGCCGTAGAGGAAGCCCGCATGGTTGGAGCTTACTTCGGCAAGTCAAGATTACAAGTGGGAATGGATCTCGAGGACGAGCAGTTCGAGAAGTGGAAGAAATGGGCTTCGGCTGAGACAATGAAGATCGAGTCTCAGCGTAGCCAAATGTACACCTCATTCGGAGATGAGGGATCCCCAGAGGCCGAGACTGCTGACCCTGTGGTTGAAGGGCAGACTAATAGTCTCTAGAAACAGCACAAACTTGTACAAAGCACATGTAATATCAATCAGAACTGTATTCATGACTATCATCAATCATGATCCGTTACCTGCCACTGAGGCATAATCCGAAGCAACTCCTGTTCAGAGTGCGACACGCCATCCTGAGATTGAGCGTATGCGGGAGAATAGAGCTATCCTTGAGATGAAGTCTTCCCAGAGAATTGTAGACTAGATCCCTCTTCCTTCTTCTAACCATCCATCTGCGCGTGGTTCAATCCAGCAGGAGGACCGCGAACGGCTACAAGACCGATATTGGGCTTTCCAAACTTCTTAGCGAGCTCATCCGACTGGACGAGAAAGAGATCTGCTATGCCGGTGTAGTGGAAGAGTTTTCCCGTGAGGCTCAAATTCTCAACTCGTGCCCAGGATTCGATATAGACCAGCTTAAGGCGGTTCTGAGGCACCAGATAGAACATTTTAAGGACATGAGCGACAAGGCAGACGATAAAGCCTGTACCAGGCCCGTTGGTGAGAACAACGTGAGGGCATCGAAATGCATTGCCATACTTCTTCTTGGGGCGCGCCTCGGGAACTGCGGTCAAGGCGACCAGAACCTCGAAGGCGCACAGCAGAGACGTGAAGACGGAAGTGACGTAAGACTGGCCAACGCTGCGGGCGCGAGTGACACTCAGGCTGTCGTAGGTACCGGCGGTGTCCATGATATATGCGTCATGAATGATAGCCTCCAAGCCTCTCTCGAGCTCCCAAGAGAAAACGTCACCAGCCCCCATGATATATCGACGATGCATGTTGGTGTTGCCTCGATACTTGTGCTTGATCATCAAGGCCATCTCCGTAGAGTGACCGCCAGAACCTAAGACATAGAGAAAGTAGGCCGCGGGAAGCTTGGTGATGTCCGGGCCAGGCCACTCTTCGCTGGCTCTAATATACTCTCGGCCCCTCGAGCTCAGATGCTTGTTCTTGACCTGGAAGTGACGATACTTCAACAGCTACGTTAGCGGAGGCGAATGGATATACGCTAGGGAGGAGAGCTGACCACAACAAAGGTTCCGAGTACGATGTAGCCCGCTAGGTTGATCGCAAGCGAGAAGAAGATGAGAGACCACGCGCCTACGATCGCAAAGGCCAAAAAGCCGAAGGTGATCGCGAAGGCATAATAGCCAGCCGGTCCGTACGGGTCGATCATCGTGGAAGTCATCTCGGCGATGGTGTTCGGATCTCCGTATGACTTCGGGACGATTGTTGAGATCAACCTGGAAATGATTGAAAGTTTGACAGGCGGAGAATTCGAGGAGCTCAAGGGCTGAGAGCCATTTTCAACAATTCCTTGAGGGCCACGCCCCGGGGAGCCATCAGGAGCCGAGGCCATTGGTGTCTTCTGCCTCACCAACTAGTGTCAAGGTCGGCCGTCGAGACAGCTGTCTGTTGGGATGGTGTCAGTAAATTCTAGATAAGTTAATGAAGAATGTTAATGTAGGTGAAAGTAGGTTTAGTTCCCACCATCAAAGCAACCAATCTGTCTGAAAGACAGCATGAGATTGACCTAGTGATTTCAGGGGTACTGTCCGAACTAGATAACTCTGCTGGATTGCTCTGGATGGCTGGCAGTGCATTTGCAAAAGGCTTTGAAAATTTAACCAACTTCAATAGAAAACTATTTGTGAGGATGAATGCTGAGTTTTTGAAGATTTCAAGTGATGGTGAGAATCGGATGAGACTCCAAATATATCCCTTGGAGTTGTGGTTTTGATGATATTGAAATGTACTTACTGAGTCCTCCAGATGAGATGAGAACATCAGCCAGGAGAGTCGTGAAAGCAGCTTCCCAAATATGAAGCTGTCACTGCCATAAATGAACACTCACTGAGCTCTTACTTTGCAAAAGACATAATATTCAGGTGTTAAAGAGTGTGAAAACAACACATGTTAAAGCAGTGATATCTATGACACCTAAGTCACTACAGCTGAACTTACCGACAAAAGGCGCTAAGTACCCGCTTGCAGGTCGATCCCAGCGCACGTGCCAAGCCTGACCGACCGACCAGGGTGTTCTATCTACCGCCTGGCAGAATTTCCAAGCTTCAGGTACCAACTCTCAAAGTCAACAAAGGTAAGAGTCTGTGCATCAAGACAGCAAACTTCCTTCAAGACTAGCATCGTCATCTTATTAAGACGAGGTAAAGAGGATGCTTGCAATGTTTTCTACGTAGCAATGGCAGCTCTACGGAGACCGAAATACTTGACTTGCTTCTATTGTGGCAAGAGGACATCCACTCGATACGATGGGCGGGTGAGGCGCTTTGAGTGCCCTAGCTGCGATGCAACAAACTATCTAGACGAGGTAAGTGCCAGTACCATATTGTAGTTTTATTGATGTACTGACAGGAAGAATAGAATGGCGAGATTACGGATCCGCCAGTCGCGACATCGACGCCGGACTCGAAGCCTCCGCAGTATGCGGTTGCGAGGACGGTGTCTCCAAAATCATCGACACCGTCGCAAGATATCTTTTGCGAGACTTGCCTAAAGAACCAGCACCTTTTTACTGCTTCTTTAGCTCAATACTTCCCGGAGGATATCGACCATCCTGAATATGCAGAGCTGGAGAAAAACTACTATAAATTTCGCAGAGGACTTGAGCAGCGGTACCCGCAAGTATGCGCGAACTGCGAATCGAAGGTGCTCGATCGTATTCAAGCGGCTGGATATACTGCGAAGACGGATCATCTGCGTCGCATGATTGACAGAAGTCGGCAGGTCAGGAGCGTTACGGCACGGTCACCGCTTGACTTATTCGACGCTGCTGGGAAATGGCTGTGGATCGCTGGGCTTATTCTTCAGCTCACTTGGCACGCCTCTACAGTGATTTTTCTGTTCCGCAATCAAGCCCATCATGACGATTACGCGGGTATAAGTCGCTATCTCAACGCCTTTGCCCTCTTCTTCGAGCATCTACCACCGCCTGCAACCCTGATATACTGGAGCGTGGCTGCGAGTATATCAAGCTCATGGTGGAATCCTCGATTTGTACAGATGGTCAGAGGTTTCACAAAGCATGTGATGGGGTTGCCTAAGTGGTACACCTATCAGGTAATGCTCGTCTTGCTCAAGGTTGCGGCATCAAGGATGTCCGACTTCCCAACATCGCAAGAACCTCCTTTCATGATGCAGATTGGCGCCCATGCGTTCATGGTGATTTTTATATCCTTCATATACAACACCGCCAGACGCTCTATCAAGACTGATACGACACCCCTATTTGGAGCTCGATCGAATACGACATCTCCCCAAGCAGTCCGGCCATCAGCCTCCCAAGATGTGGGCAAAAAGAGTATGTCCGACATTCTCGATGACATACTAGAAGAGCCATTATCGAACGGCGGCATTGCCATACCTGGTATTTCGACTGCAGGTGCGCCACACATATCTGACTACAATCGCCACGTGCCACCCCGAAGTTCGTACAATCCGTCGACTGCTGCCATAGCTGGCAACCCGTTTAAGCAGGCGATCGGATCTTCTGGCAACGAAATGAGCTTTGACTCCTTGAGCCTTGATACTGTGAAACCAGTATCACATCCAATACATTACGATCAAGAGATGGACTGGTCTCCAACGCAATCCCGCCATCGAGCATTTAAAACGCTTGGAGCCGCTCAAGGGCAGACTCAACGCTTTGGAGAGACTCCAACGGAACCGAAAAAGGGGCAATTTTGGTATAAAGTGCCCCCGGCGCCAACGAACCCGGCACAACGCATCTTCAACCCCCCGAACGCTCCCCGGATAAGAACGAGCCCAGCCGGGCCTTCAGCGCCCCATTTCCGGGGGAGTCAAGGTCAAAAGTTGGAGGTCTTAGGCAAGGCAGATGAGGCACGCAAAACTATTGACTTTGCGGAACCATCGTTCTTCTCGCAACCCCAGCAGGCCGATCCCCGCAATACGCTGTCTGACCTATTTGGCCAGAGCTTTACCTTGAGTCCCAGTCAAAGGGAGGCAGAGCAGCAGCACCAAGCCGGCACGTTGGCCAGTGCATCGACGCATATCAGGAGCTCTCGTGCTCCTCTACGAATAGCTGAAACAATGGTCCTTGTTGTCTGCCTGGCTGTCTGGTACCATGCTGCTTCGGTACAACATCAGTATGTGACCCATGTCAGCATTGGTGTTCTGGCTGTGTGTATTGCGATCTTGGCGTCTATCAACGGGGACACGCTCAGAGATATTGGCGCCGGGAAGGAGGTCAAGTGGGCGTCTGCAGGAGCGATTATCATGGGAATATCGGAGATCTATCTGGCAACAGTATTTGCCCTTGAGCTTTGGACAAGCGGCAGCGAGTGTGGAACTTGTAATAACCAGGCAGGGTGGCTTATTGGGCTGATGATCATGCATCAGCTGTGGGACACATTTTTGCTTTCGTAGCATGATAGGAGGCGCCTCAACGGCTTAGTATAGACATAAGAGATACCCTTTTCATTGTAATACTTTCTGATCTTTGGGACAGATCATTTGATGATAAATCGTTCTACCTTCCAGAGAGTCCCCTTACAGTAGTCGTCAAATGAAGTGCATGCACCAAATACCAATTATGTTCTACATTATAGGCGTCGCTTCCAGTACGTGATCCATCAATGTACTCGCGCACATCGATTTTTCTAGAAGCTCAAAACGACAGCCGTTTTTAGGTATGGCCAGCCAGCGAAGAGCGCGGGAATGGTCAGACCATGTGCGCCTAGTCAGCAACGCAGGGTGGCCAGGGTCAGCCTTAGGTGGTCGCTCAGTGGCTGGACCGTGCTATTTGCTCCCCTGCTATAGGATGCCCCAAATATTGGGGGATGTTAGTCGGATGACGTTGTATCGCATGCGACGCTGTGCCAGATGTCGTGTAGACCAGACTCAGACCAGACAGGTACTCCTCCGCCAGGGGAATAAACGTTAATTGTTGAAGGATGAGGATACTCAATGTCAAGAGTTATAATACTCATCAAGCTCTCGAATGTTCTGTTTATTACCATAGGTCTATCAACTTCTATATAGGTAGTAAACCCTTGTTGAGGAGGTAGTGGTACCCTTGCTGAACTAACATTTATTATCCTGGCGGAGGAGTATACCTCCGCCAGAGTAATAAACATTATTTTAGTAACTTGAATATACCAGAAAACCAAGGTTGAGAATACCTGATTGAGGCTTCAAAGATTGTGTTTATTTCTATAGCCCCGCT